GCATATGCATTAGTATCGGCAGTAGATCTTTACGATTAAAGCATGATATGCTTACATGGGAAGAGTGCGTTGGCTTTTGTCACATTGGGCTTAGGACCAGTGTCCACAGCATATGGAGCGGTTTCAGAAGCTACAGGTGGGATCGCCGAGTCGCGGGGACCGGTGTAATCCTGGGGAGGAACGGCAGGAGCGATGCCGGGAGCGGGACCGTTGCGGGCACCGAAACGGGGTGTTGAGGCGAGGCATGGTGAAAGACAAAGCTATTGTCACCGTTCATGTTGTTCACGAAGGCTTTCTCGCTGGGAGCCAAAGAAGAATATCCAAGGAAAGCTACATCCGGGGACATTTCGGTTAAAATGTGATACCAGCAACTGTGAATGCATTAAGAGCATTAAGACACTTACATAGGCAAATGAGAGGAAGAATAGGCCCAGCAGCAAAGAGACCTCCACCGGATTTGGTACGACTAGGGACTCCAGGAATTGAAATATCTCCCAAGATGGAGTCCAAATCACTGGTGATAAAGACAAATCCAATCGCCAAAATGGCTACGAGCTACAGAGAAAAGGCTGTCAGTACCAGCTTCCATTGGTACCACAAAAAAGTATAGACTCACCGCGGTGCGGTAGTGTTCCATAGTAGCGGTGACAAGAAGCGCGGCTACACCGAGGAGAGTGAAAAGGTAGAAGAAGAGATGGAACCACGCGGCAGAGAGAGGGTTCTTTCCGCGACCGCGGAGGCCATCCTTGATATCGTCATACTGGCTTTGAAGGATGCATATACCGATGAAGGCAAAAAACCACCCCAGCTGATGAATAGAACAGCAATATTAGTTTTCCTCCCCAACTGTTTAACGCAAAAATGTCAAAGTCACCCACCACAGCCAAGATCAAGGTACCGAGGTATTTGTAATTCGACGTAATATTTTGCATAGCGTAAGGCATAGTCTGTGGTGTTTCCCGCGAAAAGCTTTGTAAAGTTCAGACAACTTGTTTGTAAGGAGGGGAGGCTCAAAAGGCGGATTCCGTTTTATACCAAAAGGTGTGAAGATCAGATGATGGTACGTACAGCCCGGGCAAAGGCTCTGAATACGTTCCCAGTTTGAAAAAGTCAAGGGCCGTCAGGCGTAACCCGCCAACTTTCTTTAAATAGCAACTGATTTCGATTTCTATTTTAAGTTAAATGGCGTGAGGCCCAGTCACGAAAGTGCAGCGGCAAGGCTGTTGCCCATAAAAGGCAAAGTCACGTTCATTCATTTAAATAAGAAATGCTGACAGCTGAGCGGAGATCTCCGAAAGGAGGTTTTGATAAAAAGCAAGATCTTTTTGTCCATGCATGCAGGAATATAAACAAACACAGACACATGCAAACAGGGCTGAAAGTTACGCACGCTGTGTGGATTGCCACAAATGATAATCTTATTCATACTCTGCTTGCATAGTTTAAAACATGTGCGTTGTTCATCTGATACAAGCATCAATGTTCTGCCCACGCGGAAGCAGATGCACAGAGCCTATGATTTCGTTTGAGCCACTGCTATATGTGACATTTGTAGTGTTTCCGATTGAAATACATTTGCAAAACTAAGTCGTGTGGTCTACGAAATAGTAGCACATGGACATATTTTAAAAAGGATCGCAATTGCTCTCAGCAAAGTGCCTCTTATGGTGACTCCAAGGAACTGGGTGCGGGTATATATTTAATGTTTCCCGCTCCTTGGGTCAAGTCCAAAAGGAGTTGAGTACACATTTGAGAACAAATTAGTTTTGTAAAGTGCATGGCACTTCTTTGACAGCATTCTGCAAGCTGTATAACCGCAACCAAACATTCACCTTCATAAAAAATACCTTGACACTAGAATGAAATGAGAAGAATCACCAAACATGCATGGCACATTAAAGGATAATGCGCCTTCAGTATTCACAGTTGCACCCATCCGCGGGTGGTGAGCATGGCTAATGGAAAGTGACCATCGTCAAGAGAAAGAATACGACAGTCCAGAGCAATTGGCGCAGCGACTAATCCTCGAGCTATAGGTATGGCAATCTTGCACAAAGTGGAACACCAGCCGAAACCAGTTACAAATGCCCATATTACTCTATATGACGCTCTCAAATGGCGCATGAGGTCGCGGAAGAAAATCAAAAACAACGGGAGATCCAAGACTCGTCAGCAACAGCTTGTATTTTTCCAAGAGAACCGACGCCCAAGCCCATCACAGATACACCTTAATACAATAAGAACTCCATCGTAATCTACTGGCGCTTTCCAGTCTTGGCAAGCCAGTCAGACCTTGAAAAACAGAGGACTGTTGAGAACACGTTCCAAGCACGTCAATAGCAAGAAAACGAAAACTCACCATTCCTGGTAGGGACTCTTGGAGAACTTCGTCTCGGCCCAGAGATCGGGGGTGAGGAAACCGTAAGTGTTACCGATCGCCATGAAGGTAGCCTTCACGAAGTTACCGAGAGTCTTGGTGGAACCCCTGGCGGTGGTGTAACAGTCCTGGATACCAGCGAGCTGAAGAAGCTTCTTGGGCACAGGAGCGGCAACAAGGCCGGTACCACGGGGGGCAGGAACAAGACGAGCAGTCACGGAACCGCACTTGCCGGTCACCTTGGCGGGGACGGTGTGAGGTTCACCGAGAATGGTACCCCAGTAACCACGGCGAACAGGAATGACGCTCAACTTGGCGAGGATGATGGCTCCACGGATGGCGGTGGCAACCTCCTTGGAACACTTGACACCCAAACCGACGTGTCCATTGAAGTCTCCAATGACAACGAAAGCCTTGAAACGAGTACGCTGACCGGCACGAGTTTGCTTCTGCACCGGCATGATCTTCATGACCTCATCCTTGAGCTTGGGGAGGAAGAAGTCTACGATCTGGTACTCCTTGATGGGCAAAGAGAAAAGGTAAATCTCCTCAATCGACTTGATCTTGCCGTCCTTGACGAGACGTCCGAGTTTGGTGACGGGGACCCACTCCTTGGCCTGGTCGTCCTTGCGGCCTGCAGTCACCACGTCAACATTCAATGCCTGTAGGCCAGCGAAGAGTTGTCAAAAGACTTACCACCCCGTCTTCCCCTGCCACGGTCACCACGACGGCCACGCCTGTCGCCGCCACGTCCACCACGGTCACCGCGACCAAATCCACCACGTCCGCGACCTTCGGCCGATACTGCGTCAGCCATTTGCTGTAAAACCAGAAAAGGTAATGTTAGTCTACAGTGTCCAGCCATCATGTCCGAAAGGATCCGTTCCCCAATCCATTCCATGTCCCATGCGCTGGTAGCCTTTGCACTTCCTGGTCAGACTGCGCAAATGATGCTACAATTACCAGTTACCGCCCTGAAAGGCACGCACACGCTATAGAACCAAAGAATCATTTCATCTCATCGTGTGCTCCAATTGTCCCCATGGCCCACATGTTCCCCCCGTTCCATCGCCTCCCCTTCCATCTAAACCTCTTCCATCCTTCCCATCATTCCACAGATAAAACATTCAACGCACTGCCTGAAGGATGGATGGATGGATGCGTACGTACAAGGATTGGATTGAGAGAATTGAGACCTATGAAAGGCTTTTGACGTTAACTTAGTCCTTCTTCATGCAAGTTGAGCGATTTGAGACCGCGCCGATCTCCGTTTTTGACTGGTAGACACGTGACTTTATGACTGGTTTGCATGCCGCTCACGTGGACTGCTTTTGTTGCCATGACAGTGCTGTTGGTCGCATTGGCAGCGAGTCTTTTTGCTTTCGATTTCTTCCTCCTCCTTGTTCAACGCCCTTCCCACCCCATAAAGTTGTAAAAAAACATGCCTGTCGACGAGAAGAAGCTCAAGAAGGTCATCAAGGAGGGTGGCAAGCGTGGTGTGGAGATTGAGGGAGCCGCCACCATGGGTAAGTCGTTTTGAATGGCACTTTTAAAAGGCGTAGCTAGCTCATTTGGACTATGTGAATATTTTAGGTGGTTTGGAGTTCTTTTGCACAAAGGTCGATGAGCCTGAGGGTGATGTGGATCTTTTGATCCAGTCCGTTGAGGCAATGAACGCTGAAGTCGACGAGAACGAAGAGGAGCGCAAGGGTGGATCTGGTGACATTGGCAAGATGATCTTTTCCACCAGCGATGAGCGCGTTGCCATCGTTGCCTACGTGCCCGAGAGCAAGAAGGACAAGGTGGGAAAAGTGTTGCTTATACCTTTCTTTGATGTTGTACATTACTCAATCTATACTTGTCTAGATCGACGCGAAGGCGTGGTTGGAGGCTGTCGTCAGCCAGTACGAAGGCAAGGTCCTTTCTGGAGACAACAAGTTGGCATCAGGAGGTGAGATCGGGGCTCGTTGTCTTTCTTTTTTTTTGGTTATACGCTAATGCTCATGTCCAAATGATCAGAAATCCGTGCCAACCCCGACAAGGGTATCTTCACCTTGAAGGTGCGTGATGAAGCCCTCACCAAGGGTGTCGAGTACCTTCGCAGCAAGGGATGCTTCCCCGAGGCTTCCAACGATGACTCGGATGATGATGTTGTGTTTGGTGACGACTTTGACTTTGACAATGCCGAATAATCTTGTGGTCACTCAAATGATTTGGGGATATTAGTAACTGTACAGAAAATACAATGCATTCCATACTCGTAGAGACATGTTTTTGCCAGTCAACTTTTCTATATCTTGCTATCTATATCGTTCAATATCGACTGTTTGGTTTTTACCCCACAATGGGGCACGTGCCTTGCGTCATCTCGTAGCGCGCATCGATGGGCTTCCCAAAGGCTTTAAACAAGGCCTCAAAGCAACTTGCATCCCAACGTTTTTGCTGCAAAATATCCCAAACTTGCTATTCGGAAATTCAATGAATAACATGCCTTCCCAGACTGTCAACATACGAGAGGTAAGATATCCAAAGCACATGAGCATGCTTGCGTCATTAGGTGCGCTGGTTTTGTTTAATTCCTCTATCGTCGTTATTTGGTCCTAGGTTCAAACGACCCCGTTTGAGGGACAGAAGCCTGGCACCTCAGGTGCAAAAGTCAATGATTTTTACATGTTTAATTGTCTCAATTTCTAATATTCGCCTGCAGGTCTCCGTAAACGTGTCAAGGTCTTTCAGCAAGAGCATTATACCGAAAACTTTATCCAGGCAACCTTGTCTGCAATTCCTGATGGACCTGCCGGCGCCACCTTGATTGTGGGTGGAGATGGTCGGTACTTTCTGAAAGAAGCAATTCAAAAGATTATACGACTATCTGCTGGAAACAAGGTAAGCTCAGTTTGTTCACATCAAACATTTGCATTCACATGCTTAACATCTGGATTTGTGTTGCATCAAAGGTTTCCAAGTTAGTGATTGGTCGAAATGGTATTTTCTCTACTCCGGGTATGTGAGCTGTTCCAGTATTCTCTGCATGATCCTACCAATTGACAAGTACGTAATTACAGCGGTGTCAAACTTGATAAGGAAGCGCAAGGCCACTGGTAGGCAAATCAACGTAACATCTCCTCTCCATGAGCCTTTATGAACAAATCTTTTGTTGGCGGCAAAGGTGGAATCTTGCTCACTGCATCCCACAACCCCGGAGGCCCGGACAACGATTTCGGCATCAAGTTCAACATGAGCAATGGAGGTTTGTCCTACAATGTTGGATTTTGTGGTAATAGCACGAACGTTGTTAATCGATTCATCAGGTCCGGCACCTGAGAGCGTTACGGACAAAATATACCAGATAACAACCAAGATCTCCTCGTACAAGGAGGCGGATATACCAGAGGTACCTTTTGGAGCGCTCGTAATATTTATCCACGTTAACCCATAATACATTTCGAATAGGTGGACCTATCTGAACTGGGCACCAAAAGCTTTGGTGATCTCACCGTTGAAGTCATTGATTCCGTTGATGATTATGTCTTGCTGATGAAGGAGATCTTCGATTTCGACATGCTTCGAAGCTTTTTCAAGAAACGATCCAGCTTCAAGGTCCTTTTCGATTCTTTACACGGTGTAACAGGACCCTATGGGAAGAGATTATTAGTTGATGAGTTGGGATTACCTGCCTCGTCCGTAATGAACAGCGAGCCGCTCGAGGACTTTGGAGGAGGCCACCCAGACCCGAATTTGACTTATGCGCATGATTTGGTGGAGCGCGTAGAGAAGGAGAATATCGATTTTGGGGCGGCGTCTGATGGTGATGGTGACAGAAATATGATCATTGGAAAAGGCGCGTTCGTCAACCCGTCCGACTCCGTGGCCCTTATTGCTGCGTATGCCGACGCTATACCGTACTTTAAGAAGTCTGGCCTGAAGGGCTTAGCTCGAAGTATGCCGACCAGCGGAGCCCTGGACAGAGTTGCAAAGAAGAAGGGAGTGCAAATTTTTGAAGTGCCCACCGGTTGGAAGTTTTTTGGTAACCTGATGGACGCGGGCAAATGCTCCGTTTGCGGCGAGGAGAGTTTCGGTACGGGATCAGACCACATTCGTGAAAAGGACGGCGTGTGGGCGATTTTAGGTCGGTAGCCGTCAAATGTTTCGAAAGAGCCCCCTATAAATGCTGATGCTTATTCATAGCATGGTTGTCCATCGTCGCTTATGCGAGTGAGAGCAACCCCAACGTTAGCCTGAACGACATTCTAAACAAGCATTATGAAGAATATGGTCGCAACTTCTTCTCAAGGTATATTAATTGTTACTGTGCATGGGAAACACAAGAGCTCATATTCTCTTATAGATATGACTACGAAGAGGTGGACAGTGAAGGGGCAAACAAGGTGATGGCGCACTTGACGGCCTTCATCAATGACAAGTCCAATATCGGCAAAAAAATCGAGAACTACGAGGTTGCCCTCGCAGACAACTTTGAGTACAAGGACCCGATCGATGGAAGTGTCAGCAAGAACCAGGGAATTCGTATTATCTTCAAGGACGGCTCACGAATTGTGTTCCGGTTGAGCGGCACAGGATCCCAAGGCGCAACCGTCCGGTTGTACGTCGAAAAGTATTCCGCAAAGGATTACAAACAGGACACACAGACCGCGATTCAGGATTTGATCAAGATTGCTCTTGATCTGTCCAAGCTTGTCGAATTCACAGGCCGCAAGGAACCTACGGTAAGTAATGCTGATCATCGGGCGTTTTCTAACCCGTGAACGGATAGTTGATGTATTTCGTTCTTCAGGTCATCACATAAAAACGCCTAGAGGAGGACTTGTAGACAAGCTGCTAGCACCTTTTGGACTGCTTTTGCCCAATACATGTCTTGTTGTATCCCATTTTCGTCAAACCTCCCCCAAAGCTCATCAGAATCGTTCCGGCAGCCAAAATCTCTACCTATGGTCTCTATTTTAGTTATCTATTCTACTTTTCGTCGCTGTCATCAGCGATTGTACAGAAGCCTTCCAACTGGCCAAAACTTGCGTTGCAATAAAATCCCGGATTGTTACCCCCTATGCACAAGACAAATTGTCAGTTAAGGAATGGTGCACATGGTACTATATTCTAATTACCTCATCTCCAAGAATATTCATCCATTCCGCTGGTTCAGAACCAAACATGTCAGTCGCCAACAACTGTGGTTTGCAGTTTGATATCTCGCTGTTGCACCGAGCCAATTCCTTATGGAAGTCGGATAAAATGGATTGTAGACCAGTTATGAAGGGAGCTAGTTTGGGGGAGGTGATAGGCTTTCCAGCTTTGCTTTTTTTGCCAGCTGAGCCAAGCGAGGGTACGAACGATGCCAATGCAATGCCTGCATAACTGCAGCCCTGTTACCAAATCATCTGTTAGATATATTGAAAATCCGACAGGGAAGGATAACATGCCCACCTCTAACAAGAGAGTGTATCTCCGAAGCTTTTCATATGACAATTGCCATTTGTCGTCGGTCACTTTGGACAACAACGCTGGCAGATTCGAAGAAACGAAACTGATCATCAATGAAGACCTTAATGTCAAATTAGCCATGGAGACGTACCTCTCAAGTCTGATAAAACGCTATCTATCGGAGAAAGGTCCACCGTTTCTATACAATTGACACCAAGTTAAGGTCAAAAATGGGATTCAACATCAAACTAAGAACGCACTACCTCTTCGCGCGATATCCTCGGCAGCGCGGATCTGTAGGGCAACGCCAGACAGCTTAATGAGCACCTCCACTGGCGCGAGCTCTTCGCTGTCCTAGAATACCAAAGTCAGTTGAGCCAGAAGCCGGAGATGATCTTTGGGTCCATGAACTAACCAGATCTGCTGTACGGCATTGGTCTACGACTTCCTTCAAAGCCGCGTGCTGTAGCTCCCACCCCGAGGAATTCATTGTACACATCGCTTTCAGAACCAATGGTATGATTGCGTGCAACTTTAGCCATTCGCCCTAGAGATGCAATGGCTTCAGTTGACCGGGTGCCTGACAGTTAACAATGACTGGTCGTAGCACATACTCGTTTCCGAGGAAACTTGCTTCCTCGTATTATGCTACCGATCGGTTGCGTAGATGGAAGCCAATTCGGCATCAGGCTAGTATCGCGATTATCAGATAAGGTCTCGATGTAATTATCTACGCAAAATATGGGATCAGCCACTCGCTTCGTATCCGCATATGTTTCAGGTGAATTGCTGTCCAAACCTGAGTATTGCAGGGCATCCTCGTCCAATATTTGCAGGTACGACGTCAAATTTTCTATATCTGGGAACCTTCGCAAGATTTCCACTCTGTAGAGCTGGCGTTTGAAAATGGAGTGCTGGAGCGAACGTCTCACTCGATCCCGGAAGCGGATAAACTCTGGTATCTGCACCACGGCTGGACTAGTGAGCAGCAACTCGCACCCCCTTTGGGACAGTAGGCGAAATGTTACCTTGGAGAAAGTCCCGTATTTGAACGCCTGGACAATCATTTCGGGGGTCTAGAACGGCAGAAGGTTAAGTTAAGATTTAGAGCAGATAGGTAACTTTGACCCGGTTAAGGTGTTCCTACCTCACGCTCATTTGAAGCGTATATGGTCATTGCTTTGATGAAGGATCTCAATGCTAGTTCAGGACAACCCAAGAGCTCCAAATCGTCTGTGAAGAGGAAACTAATCAAAATCTTCAGTTCACCCCACTTACGGTCGTAATGAGCAGTAAGTTCTTACGATACCTGAGAGTGTCATGCTGAATTTGTTTGACATCCAGGGACGCTGCTAGATCGAGCATCCTCTGAAAGACGCCTGGGAAGAGCAACAAGATTATGAATACGCTAAAGAACCAAGTTGCGCACGAGGCACCACTCACCTAACTCGAAATATAATCGAATAAGTAACAGCTTGATCTGGAAATTGAATTTACTGCGCTGCAATCCGTACTCAAGTACAGCAACCGCCTCAGCGAGATAATTCTTTCGGTCTTGAAGTCGCGTTGTGCCAGTAAGTAAAGAAAGGCCCATAGCGGTTTGAGCGCTGCTGCAATCACTCACCGCGATCCCGCGAATACAGTTGAATCAATATATGGACGGCAAGTAACAGGTAGTCATCGCCAGGCTGAAGTTCTCGCTCATCAAATTGCTCTCCTGGAAATGAGGGTTAAACAATCGCGTGGGAAGGATGAACCTCGCGACTGTACCTAGCGAAATTGTGTCCTTATATGCTTTAACGTAGGTGGAAACTGTGGCGTGCATCTTTTCTTCAGATGGCAGAGGCATGCAGTAAGACCGGATTTTCTCAACATTCATGCTCCTCCTAACGTCAGCGACCGACGGCTTCTACAATATTATGATTACTCGCAAGTTCAGCTAAGGCAGAGCAAAGGGTTGCAAGGCTCATACAGTAGGGCTCGGCTTCGCGGAAATCCTATTCAGTAAGGCCGCGGCGTCGGTCTCAGTCAATCGTTTCAAATAAGCGCATAGGTCGTCAAAGCACGAGATTGAACTGCCAAATTGTTCAAAATAGTTGGCAATCAGTTCAACCATTGTTTTGTAACCAACGGTTACTCCTGTCATATCATGAACGTAAGATCAGAATCTTCCGTCAAGTGCCGTAAAGGTGATTCATGCACGACAATGGCGGACCTTGCTCAGAGTTGAGTTGTCTACCTAATTCCAGTGCCGCCAAGAACGGACCGCGCTTTACATGTTTATCGCCCAACACCTTTGTCTGCTGCTCTTCAATAAATCTTTGGAACTGCAATATAAGATCATCTCTGGAGGATACGATTAGGTGCTGATAGCCAAATCCATACGAGGCTTGGCGTGATTTACCTTGAGGACAAGTTCTGCGTATCCAACTTCACCTTGAAGATTGCCTCAAGGTAGTTCGTATAGCTCAGCCAGTCATCTGGACTGTCAGGATCTCAGCATGTGCATCGAACGGACTGTTGGAAAGTTGCTCGTCACCTTACCTAGCCACAAGTAACTCTTTACTGATGCTGAGGACATCTTCCCATCGTCCTGCTGACTTTGACAGATCGACAATGATGCGTTTCCGCTCCGTCTCCACCTTACACAATCCTCCCAACTCTCCCTTCACCACGTCCAATGCCTCCTGGAATTTGCCTTGAGTTACAAGGATGTCCAAGTAGAGTTGCAAAGCTACATTTCACAAATCCAAAGGATCAGGCCTGCGGTTCGATTGCTGAAGTGACCTAGGTCCAGTACCTTCATACTCTTTCAGTCGGCCCTCCTGGGCGGCTTTGACGATCATCCTTTCGGCAAGTGTTGCCAGTATAGACTGACCTCCAGCGTTGTCGAGTTTGGCCTGTTGGAAAATGGACCATACTTTTACAATCTGACTGTTCCTAGGACATAGCTTTTTTGAAAGTACCTGAAGCCACACGGTCATAATCGTCCAAAAAAGGTAACGATTGTCCTTGAACTGCTTTTGCAGCTTCATTGCTCCCTGTGAAAATTATTGTGTAAGATCGATCATTGTCAACACCAGTGTGGAGGGACGCAGATGCTGCCAACCTGCTGCATACTCTTACGATCATCCGCCCGGGTCAGCGCCATGAACCAATGGTTTGCAAGCTCCTCGTTCTTTGGCGCCTGCATGTACGCACTTTCGTAAACGGCGATAATATCCGCATCTGTAAGGGATTGCGATTACGGAGGATCTGGTTCTGATCAATTCTCCACAACTACTTACGCTTCTGGTGCGCCCGATATACCATCATGATCGCTTGCAAGATCCCTTCATCCACAGGCTTGGCATTTTTAACCTCGTCGCATAGCTCGAAAGCCTCATCCTCCCGGCCCATACGATCTAGCGCTACGGCTTTCAGAGCCTGTTGCCTGTGTCAAACAACATACTTTGGGTTTCAGCCCCCAGCTTCAGCAATACAACTAACCTTCAAGATCAGTGCGTCCCCTTGCTTCTTCAAACCTTTATTACATAACTGTATCGCCTGCTTGTAAGAATATGAATCGAGGGCGTCTGTGTATGGGAATCAGTAAGCATGAATGCTTTTATCGAGCAGAGTAAAAGTACTTGACCCAAATAGGCTCATTATTCATTCCAACAGAAAGCTTACCATAAATAGGCCTTAATCGCCGCTCTTGCACGTCCGTCAGACTAGCCATCGGTGCTAGATCTCTTTTTTATTCTCAAGCTGTCCACCTTTGAAGATCGCGTCCAAGTTGAATGAATCACGTGATTGACTTCCGCGTCATCTCCTTTGGGACGTCCTCCTCGCAAGTAATTCTTCTGACGAGATCCCCAAAGGAACGACTTGACCGTTACAACTGGGGACTTTTATTTAACGCGACAAAAGTTATAGCTTCGTAATATCTGGTATATCATCTGGCGGTTTCTGCGAGAGCTATGCGTCATGTTAACCATAAATCCCGTCGCAGTGCTTTTCAGCACCTCAACCGAGTACTATGAGTGATTTTGTGGACGACGAAGCTATACTGAACTTTGTCGAGGTGACGGGGGCTGACCCTGATGTGGCAAAGAGCTATCTGACTGTTAGTTCGTCTTTATCCTCTTCTTGATGGCATCCGCGTAATCAACATTGTGACGTTGCAGGTCGCGGAGGGTAGGGTTGAGCAGGCCATTTCTCTGTTCATGGAAAATGGAGGTGCTCCGTTGACAAGCGAAATACCTGAGAGACCGCAAACGTCCTCCAGTGCGGCTTCTTCTACAAGCTCATTACCTCGCGAACCAGAGGAAGTTCGAGCTCCGATAGCAGTGAGTTATCAAAAGACACAGCACAAAATAGGGCAGAATAGTAACGTCTTCCCCGACAGCCCAAAAGGGAGGCTCTCTTCTCGAATGACGGACCTTCCTTCCATAGAGGCGGAGGTGAGTGGAGATGTCCGCAGTTTGACCATGCATTCAAAGTTAAATGATTTTGGCGGTTCAGGCAGACGGGCACAACCTGTTTCCACCATACCTGGATTGCCTCCCAGCCCTTTCATGCAAGAACCCTTGGGGCCAATCATACCATGTAAGTATAAAAAAGCCTAGACAAATTTCGTCAAATGCTTAACGATTGGGTAGCCATCGCCAATGACAGGAACAGCAGACTAGCGGAACTGTTCAGGCCTCCAACCGATATCATACATGATGCAAACACACTAGAGCATGTATGTTTTTGTCGCTCCAGTTCCGAGGTAGGAAAGCTTATCAGCAGTATATCCAGGCTCGCGAGTATGCCAAGCACCATAACAAATGGGTAATTGTGACGCTGAACGATCCATCTGAATTTGGCTGCCAAGTGATGAATCGAGATTTGTGGAAAGATTCTGGTGCGATTATTTTTTTTTATTGGCGATTTCCTACTCAGCTTACCCATGTACCCTTTCAGCTGTGCAAGATCTGATTAAGGAAAACTTTATCTTTATATATGTAAGCGGCAGGAGACGAGCAGTGCAAGCGATGAACTCGACTCAATGACATATTTTCTTCTAGTGGGGTGCCGACAGCCCTCCTGGTAGAAACCATCGAGCACTCTATCCAGTTGATAGCTACCCTTATGTCGCCATAATTGATCCCATAACTGGTAAGGGTAATATTATGCTCCGATAATCCTGATTGAAACTATACCTTACACCATTTGTTAGGAGAGCGAATGAAAACATGGAGCACAACCATGACCCCGGCAGAATTCATGCAAGATGGTAATAGAATTTGCAAAATGCAGCCATGGAGACATCGTACTGAATTATGCACACAATTTGCTTCCTAGCTTCGGAATTTTTGGCGAGGCATAGTCTTCACCTACCAGCACCTGCAAGAAAGAAAAAGAAGACCGTCACTCCAGCTGGGCAACGAGTACGTACTGATTGCAGCGCTGGTGTGGTTGACGAAAGAATTGGATGGACCAAATTTTGATGATGTTTCCAGCCGGTCACAGAATTATCGGAGGAGGAGCAACTTGAACTTGCCTTAGCTGCGTCAATGGGTCAGACGAAAGTTGCTCCTGCTGCGGACCAGGATGAAACGGCTGATGAAGTGGAGGCCATGGAAGATGTTGTCCCATCGACGAATGGTGCATATGTTACTCCTCTAGATATGGGTAGCTTGGCATCCTCCTAACCCATGGTCATAGTTTTCGACACCATTGAGCCCATTCTGAACGAAGAACCGACAGGAAGTGATGCTGTCCGAATTCAATTCCGTTTACCTGGTAATGAATTGTAATTGTTTCTTGCGTGCCACGTGCCAATGCTCCTGCTGACTCATTCCATCAAAAAGACGGAACACGCAAAGTCCGACGATTTAGAAAAACAGATCCGGTTCGCACCCTCTTCCAATATGTGCGAGCCGATGTTCCTGAAGCAAGGGCCAAGCCGTTCGAGGTATGAGTGTTGGCTCATTTTTTTGATTATAGTAGTTTGCTCATGAATGCATGCCTTCAAGTTGATGAACTTCCGGGATCCTTTATTGCCGAGGATAAATGATTCAGTGGAAGACGCGAAGTTGGCTGGAGCCTCTATAACAGTCGACTTCCAGTAAATGGGAGTCCCTCGTCCCTGCTCTCACGGAGGTTGTTTCATAGGCCACAGTTGGTATTGCATAATAAATCAAGGTATATCTCTCAGTACCCGAACAAGCATTGGTAGATTGAAATTGCATTCCGTCGGTCAACGATAGCGGGAGAAAAAATTTCCGTGGTCCAACCATATATACACTGTTAGGCTTGCACAGCCGATTTCTGATGTTGTATGGGATGTTGGATGTGCCTCGACGCCCCTTATGACAAGGATACTGTATCTTCTGCACATATTAAAAGTCGTTGGACGAGAGCTACAGAAACTGGCGTTTGAAACGCCGTTGCCGTCATTTTGTATTGTGGAGAAGATATCACACGAAGCCGATTCAGCCATCGCTAAGCAAATATCACCATATGGGTGGGACGTCCAGCCCCTTCCGTGCGCATAGAATCGGGGGACAAGGGGGAGCGGGGTTTCCCAACCGGTTCAATGCTTTGGGCATAGCGTCACCAGGCGCTGAGGAGTTTTGATCAACATTTGTCTCAAGTGGTAGACATTATTTTTTCATCTAAGGAATTAAAGCGATTATTATGAGAAAAGTAATACACAATCGGGCATATTTCATGTTTATGTACCGCTTTGACAAAGCACTCGCGGAAAGCTTTAAACTCCTTGGCACACGAGTCTTTTTGAATGTCCGCGAAATGGTGACTAACGCACTTGCCGTACACCGATGCCTAAGAACAAATATGGGGAGGAAGGGCGTTCAGTAAATGACCAATATCATACTGCCAGATCTCTGCATGCCTGTGCACCACATGAGGCAAAGCTGCTTGACAGCGTTTTTACAGTTCGCCGTACCGAGTGGGTCATTATCGCCCTTGAAGTCTAGAGTAGGAATAAATACAAGGAAATGCTAGAGTTGAAGCAAGCAGCTGGTGCTTTCATCTGAACAGAACAGTCATCTAGTCACGTGATTACTTAACTGCGCACGTCCAGAACTGTCCGTTGTTAAAGTCTACCCTGATCTCACTCATCTCATTGGTTTGATTTGCTTTCATAGACTTCATGGACAGAAGAAGGTATGTCTGACTACACTTGGTCGCACATTATGCCAACCAGAAGATATGCTTATACGATTGTCGAAAGCTATCGACAGGATGATCGGGGTCGTTATGATGGCCGTGACCGTGAGCGTGGCCATTCTGATATGAGAGACCGCCCTAATGAGCCGGACCGAGATCGTTATCGGGATAGGGATTATGATCGACGACGGGACTACGATGATCAGAGGCGGGCTGGCCACTATTATGACCGAAGGGACAACCGAGGAGATCGTCGAGGGGATGACAGAGGCCCACCTTCGTCGTACGACGATAGGAGGAGGGAGGATTCATATGGTCGCCCAAATGACCGAAGATGGGAAGAGAGGGACCAAAACAGAGACCGAGAGCAGGACGACAGGCATGATGAACCGCGAAAAGATCGGGATATGATGGATGTTGATGGCGAGCACAAACCAGTCTCAGACAGACCAGACGGTACCAACGGAGAAAATGGTGTGACCAGCGCAGAAGAGAGTAAACCGCCACAGAAGAAAGTGCCAATCTCGCTGGAAGAGCTACTGAAAAATAGGACGGAAGAGAAGGCCGCTAACGATAAACCGGTTTTTTTATCAAAGGCAGAAAGAGCCAAGCTTGCATTAGAAAAACGTCAAAAGGAGGTGGAAGAGCAGCGAAAAAAACAAGAAGAAGAGCGTCAAGCGCGCATGGCTTTCTTCTCAGAGTCTCAGAATGGCGATGGTAAGATTTTGCCCCTTCTTTCCGTGAATGATTCATTTGCTCATCTTTCTTGAAAGCAGCTCGGATAAGGGAGGAGCAGCGGAATTGGCGGGACAATCGATATCACGATGACTTTGATAGAGGCGGGCGGAGAAATCGAGATCGAGATTACGACCGAAGAGATAGAGATTGGGATCGTGGGTATGATCGAAATGATCGAAATAGGGATAGAAGGGAAAAGGATGTTCGTCGTGAGCGTGAAGAGAGCGTCACAAGCAATGGAATTGAAGAAGGTCTTGGGGAAAAGGAACTACAGGCCATCAGAGATCGGTATATGGGAACGGAGCGGAAGCGAAGAAAGATCCGAAGGATGAATGATAAAAAGTTTGTCTTTGACTGGGACACGGGAGAAGATACATCTCAAGACATCAATCCCCTATATGCGAACCGACATGAACCTCAATTTTTTGGTAGAGGGCACATTGCCGGAATCGACCTTAAGGAGCAGAAGAAGGCAAGGGCCGCCTTCTACGATCATATGCTGCATGAACGACGGACCACTGAGGAGGTGGACCGTGCCATCGCACTTGCGGAAATTGATCGTGCAAAGGAGCGCAAAACTGCGTGGGACGACCGTCATTGGTCGGAGAAACCTCTTACGGAAATGAAGGAGAGAGATTGGCGTATCTTCAAAGAGGATTTCAATATCTCGACGAAAGGAGGGAACATTCCCAACCCAATGCGCAGCTGGAGTGAATCTCCCCTACCACAAAAGCTTCTGGACGTTATCGCTAATATTGGTTACAAGGAACCAACTCCCATTCAACGGCAAGCTATTCCCATCGGACTGCAGAATCGAGACATTATTGGAGTAGCTGAGACAGGTTCAGGAAAGACCGCGTCATTCGTCATTCCTATGCTGGTTTACATCAACGAGCTCCCACCTCTAACTGAAGAAAACCAGAGCCAGGGCCCTTATGCCCTCATTCTTGCACCAACGCGTGAATTGGCGCAGCAAATCGAGCAAGAAGCGAGCAAGTTTGCCAAAGGAATGGGATTCATTTGTGTCTCTATCGTCGGTGGACACACAATAGAAGAGCAGTCTTTTAACCTCCGTGATGGTGCCCATATTGTCATTGCAACGCCTGGTCGTCTCAAGGATTGTTTGGATCGGCGCATCTTGGTGCTTGGCCAGTGCGCGTACGTAGTCATGGATGAAGCGGATAGGATGATTGACATGGGTTTCGAGGCGGACGTTAATTACATTTTGGATGCATTGCCCGTTTCAAATATTAAGCCGGACACGGATGAGGCGGAGAATCCAGAGGAGTTGCGGAAGGCGCTTGGAAAAGAAACTCGCTTCCGTCAGACTGTCATGTTTTCAGCTACTATGCCGGCGGCGGTTGAACGACTCGCCAAACGGTACCTTCGACGGCCTGCGGTAGTCACTATTGGTACTGCCGGTCAGGTTGTCGACACCATTGAACAAAGAGTCGAAAATATCAATGACGAAAATAAAAAGAAGCAACGATTACTTGAGTTGTTGCAACAAGGCTTTGAGCCGCCAATTATCATCTTTGTCAATCAAAAGAAAGGGGCCGATGTTTTGGCAAAAGCACTGGAGAAGCTCGGGGTACGTGGGATTTTAATGGTTCTCTTTGTTGATGCTGAAGAGCTAATGACAACCATTACCATTTTTCTAGTACAAATCCACTGTGTTGCATGGTGGAAAGTCCCAAGAACAGCGTGAAACTGCTCTTGCGGCTCTCAAGAACGGAACGAGGGACATCCTTGTCGCTACCGATGTTGCCGGTCGTGGTATTGATGTTAAGAACGTTTCGCTCGTCGTTAATTACGACATGGCCAAGAACATTGAAGATTACACACATCGTATTGGACGTACGGGTCGTGCTGGCAAGGCTGGAGTGGCCATCACATTCCTTAGTGAAAGCGATGCGGATGTCTTTTATGACCTTAAGCAGACGATTCAAAAGAGTTCAATATCAACGGTTCCCTCGTGGTTGGCGAGGCATGAGGTAAGCTGGTGATCTCTGGAATTGTTGCAAGTAACGTAGCTAACATGACATTCTTTGCCCAACTTAGGCTGCGCAAGCCAAAGCCGGGCAGTACAAGGCCAAGCGAAAGCATGAGGAGACGATTTATAATCAACCTTGAGCGAATCAAGGTGCATGATGGTACCGCAAAAAGCACAAGGCAAAAAGAAGTTATGGGCAGCATGACTGAGGCACCCTGTTGGATCAGGCATGAAAGTACACAATATAGAATAACTGCAATCTTCATTCTCAACTGAACAACCAATACTACAATGATCGAAAAATTGCCTTTCCCCGATGGTGCAGTGTCCGGAAGGATGGTCGCATGTCGATTGTATCCAGTGTCCTAATGACAGATTTGGTTAGTAAAAGGCCACGCCAAGCGGGGGTGAGTGTGAACGACTCACATTCGGGAAAGTTGCTTTTCGAGTGAAATGGGTCGCAGATCTCCAGCGACTAGGACGACACCCAGTATGCACAACAAGACGCTAAGCAGACATTCCCCCACAATCTGACGAGCCATCTGCCTGTTAGGAATGTATCCTATTTGCCGAGCCCACTGTGAAAAGAACCTACATCGATCGGTAGTTGAGCCTCGTGTTTGCCAATCACTTTTATATATGCCAAGTCTGTGAATGCAAGCAAAATGGTTAAAGAGGAATCCCCATTCAACCTCCCAAATGCTTTTTTCAGCCCCCACTACAGAAGCAGACCCTGCACACATGAACCGTGGCGTCCCAACAGCATCATGGTCCAGTGCAAACACAGCATTTCAACTGACAGCACTTCGCCAATCCACCCAACCCATAGGTAAGGACCACTTACGTTCGAACGCCGAGTAACCAGAATGTACGAGGAGAATTGCTCCAATCTACAAGAAGGCCAGGATCTTCAGTTGAATGAAAACAAACATAGAATGGTCTAGTTCTGCATGTACCGCCAAATCAAACCTACCGTATAAAATAGGCGGCCAATCCACGACGTCATGCCGATGCTGTAGTGAGTTTATTGAGCACGCTTTGCCAAAATGTACATGCAGCAAGATCCTAGCATTCGTGGTGAGAGTAACAGTAGCACACCGCGAATGCATATGGTCACGTGCCATTGAAATGGGACGTCCATTGCATGACTGCAAATCGACCTTCTTGATTTCATACCGCCAGGCGATTGCCTTGTAGGTCTATAAACGATTACAACTGAGTGAAAATGCAATTATGGGAGATCACAAGGTTGATATAAAGGCTCTGTCCCTCCTATCAAATTGGATTGGACAATGCCATCGCGCATGAACTGGTAACAATTATTATTAGGGCTGACGGGGACTGGCGTCATATTTGTCGCTCCAGAGAAGGGACCCGTACGGCTTATGAGCCAGGACAACGATGAAAATAACCATCCCCGTCATGATATAACGGCCTCAGGAGTTTGACACTCGGAAGATATGTCGTTAGTGTCCAACGACATGGCCACCAATGCATATGACGGCAGAAGAGTATGTCAGGCCCAGCAATGATAAAGGTCTTGATAGACCTGCAGTATAATGGAGAATGCGAAAAACATTGTCACAATATTTCTGGAGGATGCTGCGAACGACCAGAGAGAGGCGAAGCGCGTGAAACTGGCCACGGGAGAAAGCATGACATTGGCGAAGGAAACACAAAGGAAGCAGGAGGGCAACGTGATAGTCAGGAGTCGGGAATTCAGATTTCGAGGCTAGGCACTGCATACACCAAGAGCCGTCATGGTCTCTCTTACAAATGAGGCTCAACATTGTCGGTAAGGTATATGATGTTTATTGGATACGAGCGGAGCACGATATGTTCCTTTCGGCATGTTCAGCATAAACGGCTCGTAACAACTGACCGATACGGTACAACTATGTATTCAAGTAACTTTGAGATGGGAACAAAACGGTTCTTCTAAGCACCAATCGTGCGTCAGCTACTTGCTCAAGAGGCATAATTTTTTGGGCATGGTTGAAAGGTGTTTTATCCCAATTTCTGGCTCCTAGCGTGCTGGATATCTACTGCGGGTCTTGCTACAGTAGTTGCTCTGGTAGCCAAGCCTATTAGCTGGGTGTGTCCGGCTTGTCATTGGACATACCCTGCGGGAGCAACAAGACACTGTTTATTGATGATGCCCGACTTTCGCTAAACGGTGCAAATGCAGCAATCTGCAGCAATTCCACATCTAGTATATATATCCAATATGATCATCTCAAACGCAGATTGTCCTTTCATCGTCTCTGGCTTTCGACCGTACAAGTAGATCCACCTTGACCTGGCGATTGGATGGGAGACAAGTGGATCGGAACCGTGGTAAGGTTGATTACGTCATCCAAATCCTACAAATTCAACTCTCCACTGCGACGAGATGTAATGATCGTGCAAGCCTTCATTAGAAACCCAGTACGTATGTAGAGGGAACGAGCCTTCATTGGAGATTAATATGTATGTCGAGGGAGCCGTCTCATTGTATTGAGTGCCCTTTCCGCATCACTTGCCTTACACATTTCTGGTTCGGTGACCTTTTACAGTGTCGTCACCGAATTGCTTTGTTGCATTTATCACTTATATACATATCTACCGGACTTGCTCAATCAGCAAGTTTCCATCTGAGCTCCTTCCTTCTTTCTATCTATCTCTCAGACACCGCGGAGAATCTTAACCAAAGACATGGACATTGCGGAAGCCCGGAGACTCGCAGACGCGGTGGCAGCAAAGTAAAAAATGAATGAACCTTTATCGTTCGTCCTGGTCACCACATTCGCTAAGTCATGTGAAACAGCTACCTCACCTGGCGGAGAGCACGAGCAGCGAGAGGACAAGCGAATGCTGCTGCAGCAAGCACGGTACATCCGGCCAACTTTGTAGCCGGTCAACGTGACATGCTCGAACGGTAAGCGCATGACTAGAGTGTCCGCTGTCCTGTTATCAACAGTTCATCACCATATCTAACAATATGACAGCCTGCAGTCTACAGCCAGACATGTCATGAAATATGATGATATTGAACTCCAGGTTGATATACATATTAGCCAACCATGGCAACGTATATCCTTCAGTTGCTGACACTGGGCATTCACGTCTCAATAGGATATAGCTCGGAATGAGATACCAATCGACCGATTACACGAGGAAGCACACAAATTGGTAGATGCAAATCCTGAAAGCGATTTCCATGATCATCTTGTGAAAGCACTCTTAAAATGGTTCAAGAATGAGGTGGGTGCATCGGTCAGCTTAATCTGTGGCCAATTGGATATGCTATGGATTGACAAGCTCGATCCAGTATTTTGTTTGGGTGAACGAACCACCGTGCGATTACTGCAAGGTAATGTTAATTGCTGAACGAGGTTCCTCTACATGCTCTAAATGTGTCTTATAGAGTCCTACAACGAGTGTCGGGGGAGCCGCGCCTACCGATGCAGAGCTCCGACATGGCGGAGGTCGGGTAGAACTTTATGTATGCACGTCTTGCCGCCGGCATACCCGCTTTCCACGCTACAAGTACGAATCTGGCAGTGTGCTCTTTATCGTGCTTCACACACTCTGACGTTTGTGAAGTGACCCAGTGAAGTTATGTGAGACCAGACGTGGCCGTTGTGGCGAGTGGGCGAATGTAAGGCATTTCGCACCGTATGTACAAGGCCCTGATAATGACTTGCATAACTAGGTGTTCTGTCTTTTTGCCAAAGCCATGGGATTTGAGACGCGGTACATTCTGGATTTTACGGATCATGTAAGTTCACGGTTTCAAGGTACCGTGTATTATGAACCTTATGCATTAATATCGGCCGCCAGGTCTGGACAGAGATATATAATGAAAGGGAGAACCGCTGGAGTCGGTATTAGTATTGCTTAAGACTCAAGGGGGGATGACATTGCTCAAACTACTTTGCAGTAAACTGCGATTCATGTGAAGGAGAGCAATCCTATGATCAACCTTTGGTGTAAGTTACTCTTCTGTCGCGGCTATCTTGTGGTTTTTCATGATTAATGGTGTTGGCAGATATGAAGCGGGCTGGGGAAAGAAGCTGAACTACATCTTTGCCTTTGGCAGCCATGAAGTGGTGGATGTAATTCACAGATATACGCGCAACTTTGGGGAGGTGCAGACACGGCGAACTATGGTTAGCGAAGACTGGCTGGAGAAGGTAATCATGGGACGAGGAATTTCGGCGAGCCTTTTTGACCATCATATTTCGAATTAGACGATTCGCGACATGACAGCCCGGAAAAGAGCCGATTTACCTCCAAGTGTTCGGGCAGAGCTGGAGGAACGTGATAAGACGGAACAAAGCCAGTTGAAAACCAATTTCCAACGATCAGCACATTCAGAGGAGCTGGTTCCGCGACAATCAGGTTCACTTGAATGGCGTGCGGCAAGAGGAGAATTAGGGAGTGGCGGAAATCAGAGCACTGTCAAACCACAGCAAGGTATCTTCAGATCTGTTGGAGACTTTATATATGATCATTTCTTAACAAATGACAATAGGGGAGAATGTTGTCTTCAAGCTGGGGGATACATCTGCTGATTTTGTATTGTCAGGTAAGGAAAAATCAACCTGTGTCGGCATGGTGCGACTCCTGATCGCCATTATGGCAAACAGGAGCGGCGAAGAAAACAGGTCAATTGGTTGAGCTTACTCCAGCTCAGCCAGACAAGATTGGCAGTGTCTTTGCATCAAAGAAAATCGATCTCGGAGCGCCTTGCATCGTTGACTTTACCTTTCGCATTTCAAACAAGGATGGACGTTCGGCGGAGGGCTGTGGTGATGGGTTTGCTTTTGTCATTCAGTCGCATGCCTCGAGTGCTTGTGGCGCTTCCAATGTCGGCGGTTCTGGGTTGGGTTATGAAGGGATTCCTCATTCAGTTGCCGTTGAATTCGACACGTATGCCAATGGTAATCGCGGCGACCCGAATGGGAATCACATCAGGTATGTTCGACATGCACAACGCTATATAGTGGATGCTTGCAATTCCTCATCGATTCAGTATAGTGTGCAAACACGAGGAAATTTACCGAACAGTGCACACCATGATTATTCCAAAGGTCTTGCTACCCGTCTACCGCCATTTAACAATGGGACCAACTACCATTGTCAGATTATATGGATGCCATCTGAAAAGTCTTTACAGGTGCTTCTAACCGATAGGAGTGATGCAGCTGAGGATGTAGGAACAGATTTTGAGAGAATATTGACAGTAAAAGACATAGATTTGATTGAGATTTGCGGTAGTCCGTTGGCTTGGGTTGGTTTTACTGCTGCCACGGGTGGGCTCTGTCAACGGCATGAGATTTCTAGATGGTGTGTTTGGCAAGGAGGCAAATCTGACCCCTGAATAAAGAGCACTTTCGGAGCATTTCATGTCTTTGTTAAGGATCCATACCCTGTGTTGATCCCCAAATTTAGATCCGCATGTGATTTTTGTCCTCTACGGTGAATAAGCATTCCAAGTCCAACGTTTTGTTGCGAGGTCGGAACGCTAACGTTCTCAGTTTGGCTGTGAGATAGCCAAGATGGTAAGTGATCCATGGCTCCTTCGCTCTCTTTGTGAATCAAGCTGCTTTCCCTCGTCTCTGACACTCCCTGGTAATCTCACAAATCACAACAGAGTCAGGTATCTGAAAAGACCCGGTAAGAGATCGAACGACATTGTTCATTGGAAAGTCTCCTCGCTGACAATGCTAGTATCTTAGACAAGTCATTGCAAAATACGACCGGGATGGAGATGGATACTGGACAGAGGATGACTTTAGAGAGGTTCGGAGTGAGCTTTCTACCACGAGGTCACTTGCGACACCGCGCTGACTTTTTTTGCTCCTCTCTCTTTTGAATGCGAATCACTAGTTTATGAGGGATATGGGGCATGGTGATATCGGCGCAAGTCGGATGCATGCCTCGTTCCAGTATCTCGATACGTCAAAGTTGGGAAAGATTGATGCTGTGATGTTTGAAAAGTATGTGTGTGTGTGCTTGCCTTTGGGAAGAGATTTCTTTGTTGCATTGGACAGGAAATGAAAAACTGCTACGAATACTGGACATTTGCTAATGATCCCATCAAATTAGGGGAATCAATCTCTTGTACGAACGAGACTTTTACTTTGGCAAACCTCGCAGTGATGACGATCTAAGTTCGGTTCGACTAACTGTTCGGTCTCGTCGGTATCCTGTTATCGTGAAACCTGAAGTATGGGTTCTTCTTCTGGTGTGTGCCCAACCTCGTTGGATGAGATCTGACTCTTATGGAAAAAGGTGTCGGATCCTATGCTCCTCTATACTTTGGTGGAGAAAGTGGGTGAAGGGTCATTTGGGGAGATTTACAAATCGTACGTTGGGATATCCAAAGCACCATTTTTTTTTAGGAAGCGAGGCTGATGATTCGTTTTTTATAGCGTCTCAAAGCAGGATCCGCAACGGTTCGTCGCCTTAAAGATAATCGATCTGGAACAAACACAGGATGACTTGGAGGATCTGCTGTAATATCTTTTGACACCACGATCTTTTAAGATAACCTGCTTTGCTCAACTATTGGATGTTGGGATATAGGTATGAAGTGGACTTTCAAGCCAAGTGCTTTTCGCCACATCTTGCGCGGTATTTCGGATCCTGGCTTTGGCATAGCAAGCTTTATATCGCAATGGTAGGTCCAGTTGTACTTGCCCTATTTCGCATTATCATAAAATTGACAAGATAGCTATTAGGAATACTTGGGCGGAGGAACCGCTGCAGAATTGGTAAGTGCCTTACAATACTTGCAATGGAACTGACAGATCATCTCATTGACGTTGTGTCAAACAGATCAAGTTTGCAAAGCTATCAGAGGAGCAATGTTCATACATTCTTCGTGAGGTTCTGAAAGGATTGGATTACATGCATTCAGAGAAACGGATACACCGAGATATCAAAGGTCGTTTCAATGGCTCGCTTTGGCGATTTTCTGACAACGGCCACTTACAGCACTTATTTGATACAGCTGAAAATATACTATTTGACAATAGCGGCTCGTTAAAGCTCGCGGATTTTGGGGTTGCTGGGCAGATTGCGCCGAATAGTACGTCGAGGTCTACTTTCGTTGGAACTCCGGTGAGTTTTGTCAAATAGGCAATTTTTTTTATCATAGCATTATTTTTGATTTTGTATCGGTAGCTCTATATGGCGCCAGAGATTATCAGAGGCGAGGAATATGGAGTTAAGGTTGGTTCTGGCTGAAATCAGGTAATCGAACATGATACAAACCTCACAAATGTTTTCTCCAGGTCGACATATGGAGTGTAGGAATTCTGGCGATTGAACTAGCAACCGGCGCCCCACCTCGATCACATCTACATCCGATGGACGTAAGTTTGCGTATTGAAAGGTCCGTTTCCCATTCCATATGCAAACGTCGACTTTGTTGCAGGTGTTATATGCAACTGTTTCCGAGGATGCCCCCATACTGAAAGGATCACAGTTTTCTCCCGAGTTTCGTGACTTTGTTAGCAAATGCTTGACCAAACAGTCTGCAGAGGTAAGGTATCAATTGGTACCTTTTCTTATGGCCCGCGTGCTCAATAGCGAAATATGTGTAGCGCCCATCAGCCCGGGACCTTCTCTCCCACCCTTTCACACAGAAAGAACGAGATAAGGTCGTTTTGAGAGATAATCTTGAAAACTATTGGAGGAAACGGAAGGAACTTGCTGGAATTGCAGCCAAGACGGTCACGTAAGACAGTATGCTGTGTCAAGTATGCGATGTTGGAGTGGTATGATAATAGCTTTTGTTGTTCTTTTTCCTTTGCGTCGGTTGGGTAGCCGTGGCGATGATTGGTGGCAGCAGTATAACAAGGTAATTTATTGAAAGTATGCCAAAGTTCCCAGTCAAGTATACGGAACCAACTAATTCCGTTCACTTGACGCCTCAAGTTCCAGAGTCCAAAACCATCGTCACCAGTCGGTCCACAGGTCTCGGCAGCCGCTAGAGCGTCAATCCGCGCGGATCTCGCCCATATTGATCCAACCGCAACGTACGGGAAGAGATCAGCGACGCGGGTATCGGACGGTGCAATGATGGGGAAGAACGTGCCGCTAGGACGAGCTATGGGCGTCAATATGCGAGGTGTCCCAGGGGTCTCTATGGCAGTCATTGAGGCTGCGCAACACCGATTACGCCCGGTAACTACGGACATGGGGAGACCAAGATCAGATACTGTAGATGCTGGACGGGGACGACCGATGACCCCGGGAGGTGGGGCCTCACGGTCCAATCTGAGGGAACCAGGTGGTGGTCCTCCGGGTGGAATAGCATTGCCGGTACCAATCCAGCCTCCAAAATTTCAGAAATCCTCAGCGTCTTCACTAGAACCCTCGGCACCTCCTCTGCCGCTTGAATACCAACCCCATCCGAGGCCGGTCCAGCCCGTAGGGTACGCACCCAACATGCCATTGCTTGTTGTCCCTCCTGGCCCTCCTGGCCCTCCAATGGTCTCACGGTCCCCAAGTCCATCACCACAAGACTCTGCGTTTGTTTATTACACGCCATCACCACCTTCCCCAGCACCATACATGAGCAGTGCCCCATCTCCTAGTGCCTCACCGAGAATATCGTATGCAGAGTCATCATACCGGCCGGCTTCCACCTTTGTACCCATTGAACCCCCTGCACTGATTCAAAGGCCCTCGTCGGCAGGTCCCCGAATGCATCCATCGCCCCTTCAATCCACTGTAGCTCAAAATCGACGTATCTCTGCGCCCCCAGGTCCTGTCCAACCACAGGGAGGTCACCGGCTGGGACCTCAACCCGCTGTACGTGGACAACTACCCGACGGTGGGGCGTCCGAAGGGGTCATGCCCGGCCGAGACCGCTCAGCATCTACTTCCTCGTTTAATGCTCCTATTCAACCACCTCGATTGAGCACCGAGCCTCCCAAATTGAAGCCAGGCGGTCGACCAATCTCTACCATATCCGATCTACGTGAAGTAGATTTGTCAGATACATTCAAAAAGATCGTTCCAACGTCTTTGCAACATGCGCTCTCGTTTGATTCACAAGAGCGCACTCTTGGATTCCTCGGAGTTCTCGATGAGTTGTATTGTACTGAATTGCGTTACATGGAGACTCTCCAATCCATTATGGAGGTCTATGTGCGACCGTTGATTGCCCCACCAAAGGGCAAAAGTCAGGTCTTGAAGGAAGATCAGATAAAGACGATTTTTGCAAACTTGAGTCCACTGCATTTATTTAGTGTGCAGTGGCAGAATGAGGTGAAAGGGGCTATGGAGATGGCCAATGCGGGCAATGTGGTCGAGTATTTGATGAAAGCCCTGGATGCTTTGGTCAGTTCAATTTTGTGAATATCAGTAAAAAACGAGGGCACCTGGTTTAACCTTCTTCACCTGTGCTGTACAGACCCCAACGCTTCAACAGCTGTACACGCAATACGCTGACAATTTCTGCGCTGCAATGTGGGAAATTCAAAAGTGCTTGCGTGAGAGCTCCAAATTCCGAGACTTTGCGACGCATGCACAGCTCGATAAGCAATGCGGCGGACGGTCTCTGTACGAGTTGATGAAGGCACCTTTTGGACGGTTGACTCAATGCGTCATGCTATATGAAGGTTCACATCCGATATGGCTAGCCGATATGGGTCTAATCGAGATTTTTACTGACTGTCAGCTTTGCAATAGAACTTGCGGAAGCAGGCCAAGTGCAAGAATTCTTGACGACAGTTAGCTACATTTCAAAGTTGTCCGCTGACATGGCGGCAGCACAGGATAATTGGGAAAATCTGATCTCAATGTTGGTGCATATAGCCAACATCCCACCTGCAGTATGTCTAGTGTCGCTTATTCGTTGTCAATATTTTTGTTAATTTTCATATGATGGCATTCCCCGTTCAAAGGTCATTCTCAAACGAGGTCAGCATATCCTTATTGAGGAGACAGTTGACAAGGTCAAGATAAACTCCAACGGCTCCGTAACCTCCCGCAAACCCGTTCGACTATATCTCCTCAAAGATGTTTTCATTGTGACAAAAGTTTTAAAGGACGCTCATGAACCTGTGGATTTGGCGTTCTTGTTAAATCCGAGCAAAAATGTGAAGCTTCCTAAACCCACATTGCAATATCGGACACTGCAGTTGAGGGATTTTGTCAAGGCGGATGTAATTGCTGGGAAAGATGGTTAGAAATGAGCGATGAGGACTTTGTCGTCGTTTGCTGTGCATCTCATGCTATGCATTTCTAGGTGATCGCGGAACAAGCATGTTTAGTGTTACGGTGACGTTGAAGAAGGGCAAGACATATCACTTCTCCGCCTCGTCAGTAGCAGCAAGGGATCGATGGATTGAGTCTTTGAATCCTGAGCCAGTATGAGATGGATGATGACCGTTGGAAAAAGACTCGAATTGGCGTGATGGGGGAATGGCCTTTTTTTTACGTACCGATAATTGCCCAATACACACATAGTTTGCTGTACATTGTTTCCTTTCCCCAATACGTTCCTCCTCGTGAAATAAGCAATCAGCAGCAAACGTATTCCGCATCACAGCAACATGAGCCGGCCTGACGAGAGTCCACTTGATGCCATGCTGGATCCCCAAAAAAATCCTGACGCTCCACTTCCACCTCTGGATATCGTCGCACCCGTTTTGGGCGTCCCAGCTCCTTCGAGGGACAGACCTCCGCCGCTATCGGGCTCTCTCATCTATTTCGAGATCCCATGTCAACATGTTTCTCGAGCCAAAGCTTTTTACAAGTTGCTCTTTGATTGGTCGTACCAAAAGACGCCAGAGTATTCTGAATGGGACTACCTCTTGATCAACCGAGACAAGAAACACCTCCATCCTGTTTTTGGAGCATTCAAGAAGGTGGATGCACCCATTGCAGGGGCCGAAGGCACTGGCAAAGACGTGGAAGGGCCAATGCTTCACTTTTACGTGGATAATATTGAAAAGGCATGCGAGGAGGCGGTCAAGGTGGATGGGAGCGTTGTGAGGCCAAAGTTCAAGTTTGGGTGGGAGCAGGATATCATTGGATATTGTGCCTGGTTGAGGGATACTGAAGGGAATAAGTTTGCTATATATGAGGTCGAGCCGCACGGCCCCGTCGAGGAGTAACGTATGATGGGTAGCAATCTTTAGATGAGGTCCTGTTTGGCATTTTGTAACATGGCATACATCACTTTAGTTTGTTCATGTCCATTTCCTGCCATTCTTGCTATTACCTAGAGCTCTTGTCTTTCACGACCGACCGGCGAGCTGTGATAAAGACCATATGGGACGATGACTACCTCGCAACAAGGAATCAAGTCTGTGGTCTGTGCGTATTCACAATGAAATTCACACTCTTGCTACATGTTGCAATGTTTCCCATAACTACTGCCGTACTTTTGAGTACTGAAAGACCAGAACCAAAAATGAATTGCTTCCTCTCCTTCAAGAGCGACCTGAACAAAAAGACCACTCTTCCCCTCGTCCAAATAGACGCCGTAGAGGACTTGAGTACCAGACTCAATTATGTACAATTTAGTGTTCTGCATCATTTGTTTGAGCCTACACCTTCAACGTTTATTGCCTTCTCCACAAGCGCCGGGTCGACTGACGCTTCAGGAACAGAGCATGCCGATTTCTTTGGGCGGCCAATTCGCTTTTTTGGAGCGGCAGTTCCTGTCTCTTTGTACCTCTGGATGGTTGCCAAGATGGTACTCTTGGAAATACCAAATTCCTGACTGATGCGACGAGAGCTAGCCCCCATCTTGTGAGCGCCGATAATCTGCCATCGTACACTGTTGGGTAGCTCGGAGCGAGTTTTCGAACGAGCCAAAGCAGATTTAGGCTCTTCAATGGTCTGCATTTGGAATATCGACTGTCAAATCAATGGGTATCTACGCAAGAGCGTTTTGTCATGTTTTGTCTTGCAAGGAAGGAAGAGCCCTGGACGACGGGATGACCTGAAGAGTCTACTCGACGTAACCTTACAGCTGCGCGATACAGTCACGTTTATCAAAGGCACAGTCACACTGAGCATTCTGCATGTACGTTGGTCACTTGCCAATCGTCGCATGCCTTACCATAAAACCAGCCGCAGCATCATCACCCCATGCAGTGCTCTCTGCTCCCACCCTGTTCAACCAAGCAAATGTTCGACAAGCATCATCCTGTGGTAAATCAACGCCATGCCATGGTCGAACATTCTTGAACAGGCAGATTGAAATTTATTCGTCACATCAACTTGTCCGAAATGTCCGACCCACGTGCTTATGGTTTGTTCCGGAGTGACTGTAAAGACAACAATTGGAATGCATTCCAATGCCATGTACAAATCACATGCGAAACACAGATATGCGAAATACGTCATCGTTACCTCTGATGGATACATTTCCATGGGCGCAGTTGAACCAATCGCCCCGTTTTCACAAGTTTTTTTGTCCCATCCTCCTATCCTTTTTAATTTCTCCTTTTTGAGAGTAATTAACCATGGATCCACCCAAATGACTCATCCTTCGTTGAAATCATTTTGGGATTTTCCCACGCGCGAGATTTTAAACCCTTTTGGTTGAAGGGGAGGAGGAAGGGCAGCAAGCTTCCGTTGTCTTTCGTTTTCAACTTTTTTCTACAAGGACCTTCCCTCGTTGCGAACCTTTTGAAAATCCTGCGATGCAGAACGTCCGGGTGCTTGCAGGTCGTCACAGAATGTCACGTCCTGCGGATCTCCCCTTGCCTCCCGGTCCGAGCAGGAGAAAGAAGCGGGACAGGTACTTGCACGCTATGCTTGCTGCTTCCAAATCATGAGAAAACCGTTGATTAAATCGAAATGTCTTGTGTGTGTTGCAAGCAGGCCAAAGACCACGGGGAAACAATCTCAGCAAAACGCATCGAATTCCACGTTGTCTCGTACTCCCTCAACACTAAGCCGCCGATCTGCTTATGATCACCTTCATCGTTCCTCCTTTGCCGACTTGTGTCAGTTCCTCCGCGACTTCCTTGCCTATCCACGTCCATCGCGGAAATCATCACGTCGAGTGAGGCGGAAAAGATCTACGGCGAATGGACAAGCTCCTCTTTCTCAGCAGGACACGACCGCTACTGCCTCGGTGGTGGTAGTGTCCTCTGTTCCTTCTCGAAAGGATTTAGTCGATGACCAATGCACAGTCGCACGTAAACCGTCTACCGAGAGTAGATCTCGGGGCGGCAAGTCACTGTCAATACGAGCGCCGAGCATCAGCCTCCGTCGAAAACGCCCAACGACGACGAGCATTGACAATGGGAGAAACGGCAGTTCAGTAGATTTATCGCTTTCAACAAGCAGTTTACCCGAACAGGCTCAGACTGCAACACTTGAAGAGCAGTTGCGGGACTTGGCACTGAATCAACGAGATTCCTTTTCTTCAGCGACTACATCAGCGCCTTCCACAACAGCAGGCAGCATGTTGCTGAGCGGGTTGACATTATACGATGAACAAGTCCATGAAGACGAAACCAATACTGTAGTGAGTTTACCTCTTTCCCCTCCGCCCAAACCTCTTCCACGCTCCGTCACCCGCATGCAGTCATCACCATCAATGTCGGCCCTTGCTCAAATGCCGCCACGTCCTCGTGACAATGATGCTCTACCGAGTGCCGGAAGCAGGATGTTTTCACTAGACAGAGAGAGCATAGACACCATGGTTCCGCGACGTAGCACAGCCAGCTGCTCAATGCCGGTTCGTCATGCTACACCTAAAAAGAATGTTGTGGAAACCATGCGAAACATTCGACGCAGCATATCATCCTTTTCTCTCTTTCGTGCGCGAAATCAGCAGGGACAGTCGCTTAAAGGCAATTCAATGGATTGGGAGACTCTGGATGCGACTCCTCCAAAGCTCAGAACGGGAGAACCGCGAACGTCAATGGTCATTAATGACATTTCACGGGATACCGCGGTTGTACCAGGGTCTTCATATGCCCAGTGCCTAGCGTCTCTTGCTGACGAGGATGCATCGGACTCTGATATCAGCGTGCTAGTCATTGATGATAGAGAAAGCGACGATGATGATAGCTCCTCAGTGATTATTCACCAGCCATCCGAGGGATTAATTCGAAAATCTATTTCGGAGCCTCGTATGCGTGGACCCTGTTGTAGTCATCAGAAGCCCACCAAGGATTCATCTTGGTCCTACGTGCAAGAATCTACGGACATGTCCTTTGATCGCAAGGGACACACATACTATTGCGGTGCGTGTGATGGTGCGCATAGTAAAGACAAGGACGTGCTTCCAAGGCCGCCACCCTGGAGAGTTCTTTGGAAGAGGCTCAATCGTGTAAATGAATGAATATTCTTACTAACTAGTGTTAGATATTGTAGATCTAGATTAAAATCACAGTGTGTATGTACATAGAAGTTTGCACCTAAATAAATGGTGCTAGGTATCTTATATGCTTTTTCATGTGGAGGTTGACCGTTGACGGTGGTTGGATGAATCATTGAGCGTCCACAAGGACCACCGAGAGCGCACCTATGGACAATAGGAATGGCAAGAAGCGTCCACGAAGTATGAAGCCGACATTTTGTTGTTGGGTTACAGGTGGACTCCACCCGTCGCCGGCAGAAGCTGAGCAGTTGCGAGCCTTTGGATCTGTCGATGTCACTCGCATGACACTATCTGGGACGTACCCGCTCCCGCCCTGTCGTGTGCCAGCACTTTTTGGAGCGACAAGGTTCCCTTGTGAGGATGCTGAAATGGAAATTCCAGTCTGCATGTGAAAGGATCAAAGCATTAGCCTTGCACTAGCAAGAGGAATATCTATAACTCCCACCTGTATGACACTCGAGCCATCTACAAAATCCACCTTGACATCCATCAGTTCTCCATCAATGTTCAGTCCCACTCCAACCCATCCGTTGGCTGCATTTCGCTGGAGGGCCTTGAACGAGTCCACAGTCCGCACTGACAATCCTACGACGGGCAAGATGGGTTTCTCGACTCTAATCTCCAACCAATCCACCGTGCTTCCTTCAGTCACGAGGTACCGCATGTCGTTCAAGGAGGTTGCAGGACACGGCACGATTTGCCACGATATTTGGACTTTTCCAACATTTGGATCCGCGATCTGAGCAAATGTATCGGGGGATACATCTAAATCTCCTCTTGAGCAGCCTGGGCATTTATCTGTCATGCGAGCTGTGACGGTTGCGCCTGTCGGCCCTGTGATCTTTTAATAACAGTTGTTTTTAAAAAATGATCGTAGTTGTTAACTTTTTCCGCTGGAATGCCACACCTCGACGCAAGCCCCACACAATTCGCTCCCCATGTACTGCTCATGATTGACTGCAACAATATATCGCTGTGATTCTTCTTTAGGTGGTTCTATGGGGTATTGCAGGCCAGCTGCATCGAATCCGCACGCTCCCTGTCCGATCCACGGCGTGTAATGGGTCATGCATCCATATTGGGCCTGTGTTGCGGAAACGATGCAAGGTAGTGATAGAATGAAAAAGATGAGGTTCTTGGACAAGGACATGAGTGATTAAGGATGAGTAGGATTGACATGTCCTTTGTTGATCGTTGTCTTTTTGCACAGCAGCCCTTTGGACTTTAGTCAAAAAAGTTTTATAAATTTTGATGTCCCCAAAAGCCCATTTAGAAAAGCAACGCGGCTTTTGCGGACATGTTTGGCCGAGGATGCTTTTTAAACATTCTTGTTATTTGGAAATATCATCACAATGCATAACGTATTTGATTGACAAAGACTTTTCATCGTCGTCGTTGCAGGTTGTCATAAAGGGGACTTAATCCGATAATCATTCCGCCCATGACAAGGAACTTTTATGGCATGGAATCGCAATGATACAGCAACGAGCCCCTCAGTCTGTCTGGAACTTGGACCTCTTAATATTTGAAATCTTGATATGTGATGACAACAAGAATGCTTTACCTACACTCTACGCCCAAATGTTGGAATTGAGGTCGTCCTTGGCTTTTGGACATCCAATAGCAACTTTGCCGAATTATGCTTACGTAACACAGTGCTAAACCACTGCAAGTTGCCATGACAATAGTGGGTAAGTCCAAGAGCGAAACTTGGCCGATCGTACAGAGCTTCACAGCTACCTGCTGGCAAAAAGTTCAGCAAAGGGAGACCTACGGCTTGCTTTCTTTTGAACTCGCTGCCTCCATTCCCCAGTTGCTCATTGAACTGCGAGGTGGATGAATATGGGCAACCCGGCCGACATTCCTGACTATGTCGATATCGTGGGTGACGAAGACGAGGACCATGCACCGACAATGTTGACGGCTGCACAACTCGAGTTACCTTGGGAAGAGTTTGTTCCACATGTTTTTATTCCGGGCGTTGGCGCATCTAGTACGCGCAGGAGGGTATCTGTTCTTAAAGGACTCGCAAAGAAGATCAGTTCCGAGGGTGGGTTCGTTCTTGGCTGGTGTGCGGTATATTGTTAGATACCAACACCTTATCTTCCAATAGACTTTGCGGATGCACTCCTCCCTGCTATTGTACAGCACCTCCTCTTGACGGTGCCTCGGTTTGAGGACACGGCCTCGCGGAAAGCTGTTTACGCTGTTCTACAGGCCTTGTTTGAAAAGGCTCAGGCCAAAACTGGTCAGCCGCTAGATGCGCCGTTCATGAAAGGAACAGCAAAACTGTTGGAGAGAGAGTTGAAGGGCAACATGTGAGTTTTTATAAACTCATGATAGTGAAGGCAAGATCGCGTTTGACGTTCAATGTTTCGTTACAGCTCGACGATGGCCCCCTCGATACTGTACAATTACGCATCTTGGACTGCCCGCCTTATCCGATTCTTATTGTCATCGTCCTCAGCTTCCAAGCCAGATCTGTCGACCTATAGCGCGTCATATGTGTGGAAAACTTTGCTTGGGCTCCATGTGACATTACTTGATGCATCTGCGACTTCGGATGGATGCCGTAGCAAAGTCATGTTTGGCAGGACTGTTATTGCTACAGAAAAGGCTGTGCGGAGTGCTGGAGCGGAGGGTATCGATCTGATATTAGGAACGTTGTTAACGCCGTCGGTGGTGGATGGCAAGGAGGGCACAAAAGGTTGTGTGCTCCTTGGACATTGTCTAAAGGTTGCGATAGAGAGCAACTATTTGGATGTCGTCGATAAATACAAGGTTGGTATACACTTGGTCCACTTTCAACTTAAGGAAACCTGACTTCTTACTGTTTTGCAGAGCGCCGTCATTACCTTCTACACCAAAGCTATCCTACCCTCCCGAGCAGCTGTCCCTGTACCGTATCTCACCAGCCTGTCTACATTCTTCCAGCACTACATCACACCGGACGTTTTTCAAGAGATCGTTGCGGCCGGTGAGCGCTTATTGCTCCGGTCTCCGGAAGTTGTTATTCGAGTTCTTGATCACACTGTCCGCCACGTGCAATTTGACCTCAGTAGTATTTTCCGCGCAAAGTTTGCTGATACGTTGCTCAACAACATGAAATCGACGAATGAGGTTGTTCGCTTTGATGCAGCGAATTTCTTCCAGACGCTCTGTTCCAAGAGTGCCGACGAAGGAGAGCTTGCGAAGGTTGTAGATGTTGCTATAAAGGCTTTTGGGAGCAAGGCACCTTCTGCTGAACAGAGACAAATGTATTATACCGCATTATCCCAAATACCAACACTCCCTGCAGTTTCTCGGAAATTGATCGAGAGTGCACCTACCCTCTCCACTAAAGAGTCAAACGAGACTTCCTTACACGTGTTATTCCAAGCCTTAGCCCCGCATGTTCATGGATATTTAACATCACCGTCGCCCGATGCAAAGGTCGTCACCTCCCTCCTGCAGTATCTAACATCTGGAGTCAGCGACGCGAAAAGTGGAACGCGGCGAGCATTTTTGGGATTATTGGCAAATGCTGTCAAGGGTGGTGCTCTAGTGGCGGTGCATGATGGGCTTTCGAAACTTGTTGATGCTGTCATCAAGATTGTTGGGAAAGTGCAGGCGGCTGGAGTAGCGTTGCTGGATCCGAAGAAGGAGACTCCCGCGCTCGTCGAAGGATACTATGGCGTGGGATGGCTACAAGAGGTGGTTCAATGGGAACGTGGGCAAAAGAAAGTTGTCGTTGGTGAGTGATGCGATGGATTGGCTGTAACAAATAGCGCGATTTGCCGATTCACCATGGGTTACAACTTTTTCTATCTAGGAGCTGATTTGGAGAAAACGTCCTTCTTCGCCAATCTCCTTACTTCCCCACCGCAAAAATCATTCTTACTAAACGACAAGTTTTACACTAAGCTGCTACCAACAGTCGATGAGCAGCGACAGTTTATGCGCGTTGTTATTGCAATCGTTGAGAACGACGAATGGTTCAATATGGCAGGCGCATCGGATAGTACGAAAAACCAGCTCTCCTTGGCAGCAGCTCTTACATGGGGGTTGGTCCAGTCTGCTCACCATCAAATCCGTCGGGAAACGTATGCGGCCGTGTCGCGGATGGTAAAGACAAACAACGTCGGGCTATTGCAGCGTTTGGTGAGATTAGTACGACTCGGCCTTGGCAATGTTATTGCTGTTACGGGAGTCAAGGCACGGGATCCTCTCGGATGGAACGACAAACTTTCAAGAAGTTCTGAAAAGTTTGGGCATCGGGCTTTTGGTGCGCTTTGTGCAGTCTTGCCATCCGCCTCAGAAGAGGAAGACCATACTGTCGAATGGCGTCAGGCCGTGGAGAAGAGTCTAATGGACCTTGCTGTTTTGACTTGTCATTCGTCAATTACTGAGGTTATGGGGGAGGATATCTGGATCCGACTGTGTTTCCGCGCCGCTTTGGGACCTCACATCGTGGACGAATATGGCGGGATATACATCAAGAAATGGTTGACCCAGGACCAATGTGATGATGTGGGCGAAGGAGGACTCGGAGAACTCGTCCCCGACACTATTCGACAGGCGACATTGTCCGCATTGGTTCTTTTCACTGACGTTGCAACGGAAGCCGTTGTTCGGGAAGCGATTCCGTGGTGCTTGGCGATTATGGATAATGACGATGTCAAACAGGTGACTCCGACAGATGTAGACATATGGGCAACACCAGAGGGCACGCTCTTCCATGATCCGACAGCGAAAAAGGGCGCGGGACGAGCGGAAGATCGACCGAGAACAGCTGAAGAGAAATGGGAGCGGGAGCTGAGAAAAGAGCTGGAAAAGAAAGGGAAAGGGGGTGCGAAATCAGAAAAGCTGAGTAAGGCCGATCGTGAACTCCAGCAACAGCAATTGGAGAAGGAGAGCCAAATCCGTCGGCGCGTTGGGATCATTCGTCGCAAGGTTTTGACCGGCCTGGACGTGCTTGATGCTGTAATCGACGGAGTGAGGAAAAGTGTCGGCGAAGAAGCACGAGAAGCGTTTGGCCAGTCGGTTGGCGATGTGGTACGTGTGCTTTTGGGTGAAGTGATCACGAGAGAGTTGGTTGTAGCCGGGAAGACATCAAATGGATCACTAGGCCCAGTATTAGCGGGGAAAAGGGCTATCGATACCTTTGCCAACTTGGGAGTTGTGGTGGGTAACAGACTGGATGGATTGGTGGAGCCACCAACTCTTGCCATGGCAATCTTGAGAGCCATAGGAGTCATTGAAGGGAATGAAGGTGTAGAGCAGAGATTCTGCAAGCGGAGTGTTGCAGGTAACCTTGCGTGATGCGTGAGTGCTGTAAGACCAATTAGTTAACCGTTGGATTCGCACAGACTTTGCAGCCAATGTGCTGGGCAGCTTGAAGGAGCTTTACTCTGTTTCAGATCTTTTCGAGCCACCAACATTTGCCTACCTCTTTCCACTTCTCCGTGCGATCGTTCTCCGCCAAGGCCGAATCGGAACTTTGAACGAGCGAGCCGTCACTGACTTGGTCATGACCGCCTCTGATGTCCTTTTAGCCCATTGTGGTCTCGCGTCTACACCCGTTGTTCCTCGTCGTGAAATGCTGAGGTGCTTGTTAGAAATGCTGGGACGATACCCCCGGTTGCGCGGTGCCGGGCGGGAAGGCCTTTTGACTTTGGCTTTTGCGGTCGGTGCTGGTGACCATGATGAGGACGCCGACGAGAATGGTGAAACAACGAATGGTGATTCGGCTCAAACTGATGTGGAAGCTGTTGTTCGGGAACTTCTTGATGGTCTTTTGAGCTCAGAGGAAGCTGTACGCGAGAGTTGTCTTATGGCTCTATCGCATCTTCCAGTTCCTAGCGGCATTTCGGATCTGTTTGATGTCAGAGTATGGGTGGCCAAGTTTGATGAAATTGAGGACATCAGGAAACATGCGGACGCGCTGTGGGATGAATGGAATGGTGATTCGACCATTGAGTTTGAGGGTGTTCCGAGGCTGGTCGAGCTGGCTGGTGAGCCCCATGTTTTGTTCGTATCATAAGTCGATCATGTCTTTTAAAGTCCTGCAATAGTGTACAAGGTTGAAGCAGTACGCACAAGTGCCGGTCGCGCGCTATCGGGTGCCTTGAAAGAATACCCAGACGCAGTTACAGCAACGTTGGAGGATCTTTATCGCACTTATACGGAAAAGGTAAACACGTGCTCGTACTGACACGCAAGTGGGTTGTGAGATGCTGACAGAAAACCTTGCATTTTTCATAGGTTGCAATTCCCGAACCTGAATATGACGATTACGGGATGGTAATACCAGAGTCGCTGAACAAACCTGATGAATGGGAGGCTCGAGCTGGCGTCGCTTATGCGTTGCAATCATGCGTTCCTGTCATCACGGATCTGGAGCCCATTCAAAAGCTGTTCCATTTCTTGATTGAAGGCGAGGCTCTGGGGGACCGAAACGAAAGAGTGCAGCGGCTGATGCTGGACGCGGGGTTAGCGGCGGCGAATGCTGGCGGTAAAACCCATGTACGAGAGTTATTGGAGGTCATCGACAGTTATCTTTCGAAGCCCGCTATGGCGTCGGAAACGCACGATCGGATCCGAGAATCGTGTGTCATTCTTTTGGGCACATTAGCACAGCACTTGGAACCGACAGATCCATTGATTCCCGAGGTGATTGCCAAGTTAATGGACACTCTCAAAACGCCATCAGAGACTGTGCAAGTCGCGGTGTCGGAATGTTTACCTGCTCTCGTCAAAGTCAACAAGCAGGGCGCCCAAAAGCTGGTCGAGCAGTTATTACATCAACTATATACGTCGCAAAAGTACGGTGAACGACGAGGTGCAGCTTATGGTCTGGCGGGAGTTGTCAAAGGATGTGGAATATCATCTTTGAAAGATTACCAAATAATGTCAAGCTTGAAGGAGGCTGTGGAAGACAAGAAACGGGTCGAGAAGAGAGAGGGGGCACTTTTCGCCTTTGAGACGCTTTCGCAAACCCTCGGGCGATTGTTCGAGCCGTACGTCATTCAGATCTTGCCGTTGTTGCTTGTTTGTTTCGGTGATAATAGCCGCGAGGTTCGGGAAGCGACTGAGGACGCATGTCGTGTCATCATGTCAAAACTCTCAGCACATTGTGTCAAACTGGTTTTGCCCAGTCTTTTGAATGGACTGGAGGATAAGAATTGGCGGACAAAGACTGGAAGTATTGATGTGCTTGCCAGCATGGCCTTCTTGGCACCGAAGCAGCTCAGCGTAAGTCTGCCAACTGTGGTCCCCAGGCTTTGCGATGTCCTGGCGGATTCACATGCCAAGGTTCAAGAATCTGCAAAACAAGCTTTGAACCAATTCGGAAATGTGATCAAAAATCCTGAGATTCAAGCCCTCGTCCCTGTGCTGCTGGCGGCTCTTGTTGATCCAAACGGCAAGACCAGCGCAGCCTTATCAGCACTGCTAGATACGGCGTTTGTGCACTATATTGATGCACCTTCTCTAGCGCTGTTGGTGCCTATTTTGCATCGTGGTCTGAAAGAACGCGGCACCGATATCAAGAAGAAGGCGGCGCAGATCATGGGTAACATGGCGAGTTTGACTGATCCCAAAGATCTGGTTCCCTATTTGCCGACACTGATGCCAGGATTGAAGGAGGTATTGGTCGATCCTGTGCCAGAGGCGCGCGCAACGGCGGCAAAGGCATTCGGAAACATGGTCGCAAAGCTCGGGGAGGACAATTTCCCTGGGTTGGTGGGCGAACTTCTTGACACCTTGAAGAGCGATACTAGTGGGGTAGACCGTAGCGGTGCTGCACAAGGGCTTAGTGAAGTCATTTCTGGGCTTGGTCTGGAGAGGCTGGAAGGTCTTCTACCAGAGGTTGTTGCCAATGCGGACAGTCCAAAGGCGTACGTTAGGGAAGGATTCATGACACTGCTAGTCTACTTACCTGCCACACATGGCGAAAAGTTCCAGCCATATCTGGGTACTATTATTCCATCGGTGTTGCGGGGGTTGGCTGATGAAAGCGAACCTGTGCGAGATGCCTCTATGAAAACCGGTCAGATGATTGTTCGGAACTATGCTACAAGGGCCGTGGATCTTCTTCTTCCTGAGCTTGAGCGAGGCTTGTTTGACGAAAATTGGCGCATAAGGCAAAGTTCCGTTCAGCTTATGGGTGACCTCTTGTACCGTATTGCGGGTGTATCTGGCAAGGTTGAGCTGGAGACGCCAGAAGATGAAGGTCTTGGTACGGAACATGGACGACAAGCTCTTGTCCACGCTTTGGGCAAGGAACGATTCGACAAGGTCCTTGCCAGTTTGTATGTTGCACGTGCGGATGCAAGTGCCATCGTCCGACAAGCATCTTTGCACGTCTGGAAGAGCATCGTGTCTAACACGCCCCGTACGCTCAAGGAGATCCTACCAATCATGATGGACATTCTTGTAGCGAGTCTCGCGAGTGAGAATGTAGACAAACGTGGATCTGCTGCACGGTGCCTGGGAGACCTTGTTCGCAAGTTGGGTGAGAGCATTCTGAGCGAGTTGCTCCCGATTTTGGAGAAAGGTTTGGATTCAGACCGTGAAGAAATTCGGCAAGGTGTCTGTGTTGCTATGACGGAGATCATGGCGTCTGCTGGAAAGACCCAGGTCGTGGAATTCGTTGGCGATTGTGTGGGACTGGTCAGGAAGGCGTTGGTGGACGAAGAGCCGGAGGTTCGGGAAGCTGCAGCCCAGGTAAGCACTGTCGCTTTTGGTATGTATCGCAAGCTTACTGACCTTCCATTTTGTAGGCGTTTGACATGCTCCACCAGCACATGGGCAAACAAGCCATTGATGAGGTTCTCCCGAGTCTTCTCAACATGCTCAAAGCCGGCCCAGAAACTGATCGCTCCAGCACTTATGCTTTGGAAGCCCTTAAGGAAATCATGGCTGTGCGAAGTAATGTTGTGTTCCCCGTTTTGATCCCTACTTTGATTGCTCGACCTATCAGTAGCTTCAATGCGCATGCGCTGGCAAGTCTGATCACTGTTGCGGGACCGGCATTAAACAAGCGACTGGGTACCATTCTTCCTGCTTTGATGGATGCCGTCGAAGGAAGCGAGGATGCTGTCGAGGATGTTAGGGAAACAATGAATGTGCTATTAGTAAACGTAGATGAAGAGGGCGTCCATCAGCTGATGATGCTGCTCACGAATGCTATCAACGAGGGCAGCCCCGAGAGAAAGCGAGTTGGCTGTGAATGTCTGAAACTCTTCTGCGACGGAAATCGTGAGGTTCTGGATGCCGAGTACATTGGTGATTGGATTGAGCTTTTGGTTGCCATGTTGAGAGGTGGAAAGAAGGGCGAAGAGGATCTTGTAAAGAGTGCTTGGGCGGCGTTGGACTCCATTATCAAGAGACTCAAAAAGGAGGAAATGGACAGATTTGTGCAGGTTGTTAGAAGGGCAGTGAGGGATGCGGAGGATGGGCTGGATGAAGGAGAGGTTTTGGAAGGCTTCTCATTGCCCAAGGTAATCTATTTGTTGTCTTCAAGCATCTTTAATTTCCCATTCATAATATTTCTATTCTGCAGGGAATATCACCTGTACTGCCCATCTTTTTGCAAGGACTCATGTATGGAAGTCCCGACAATCGCGAGCAATCGGCACTTGGATTGGGTGACCTTGTCCGGCGCACTTCTGCCGATGCGCTGAAGCCCTTCGTGACTCAGATAACCGGACCCCTCATTCGTGTTATTGGAGATCGGTTCCCTCCTGGCGTGAAATCTGCAATTTTGATGACATTAGGGTAAGTCGGAAAATATTAGTAAGGACAATACATGGAATCTGTGCTCATTGCATTTCTTCTTAGGCAACTGCTTGACAAAGTTTCCGCAATGCTCAAACCCTTCCTACCGCAGCTTCAAAGAACCTTTGTCAAATGTCTATCTGAACCGAGTAGCGGCATGGTTCGGGACCGCGCGGCTCGATGCCTAACATCATTGATCGCGCTTCAGACCAGATTGGACCCACTGGTAGCAGAGCTTGCGCAAGGTGTCCGCGGTGCCGAGGACCGTGGTGTCCGAGAAGCCATGTGGGAGGCGTTGTACGGCGTTGTCAAAGGGGTTGGAGGGCCTGGACGGGACCTGAATGCCGCTAGCAACAAAACGATTGAAGGACTTATTACCGAGGGGATAAGTATGAGCGGGGAGCATGACGGTAAGAATTTCGTGCTTTTTTGGATGATATTGGCCTTGAAAGATCACCCGTTGCTGACATTTTCATTAGATGGAATCCGTGAGGGTGCTGCTAAGGTCTTTGGTGCCTACTGTAGATATGTTCCAAAGGAAGAGTCGAGAGCACTCGTAACGTAAGGATACAGTCCACATCTGCCATCGTCTTAGTGCATAAGATTTACCAACGTTTCGAATTTTCAGCTCTCAAATATTAGGAACTGGATCGGATGCGCCATGGTACCGGTTGGCAGGAGCATTACAATCGTTGTCGTGGGTGATGACAGATGCTCCGGAACTGATACACCAGCTCGAACTAACGGACGAAGTTGTCCAGCTTGTTCTAATCGGGCTTGCGAATGACAAGGTGAGGTTTGAGATATGCTAATGGGTGGTGATCACGAGTTTTAAAGTAGTTACGATTTTTGATAAAGCCACAAGTGATGGAGGAGGCAGTCAAAGCAGCCGGAAGAATGCTCTCAATTCAGGAATATGTGGCGGAAGGTAGTGCAGACAAGTTGCTTCCAGCGTTGGTAGGCGTTCTCCCAGCCGGGCAGGCATCAAATGATGCACGACGCGAAGTGGAGGTCGTGATCAAGAATGTCGCGAAACAATCACATCAGGTTTGTCAGCGTGCAATTTAAAGAAAGGTTTGCCGGCCCGTTTCGCTTACACATTTCGCAGGTTGTTGCCCCTTACTTGTCAACAATTGTACCGGCTCTAATGCTGTGTGTTCGTGACCGGAATATACCCGTCAAGCTTGCAGCCGAGCGGGCACTGCTGCACGTATTCGAAATTGGGAAGGGAACGGATGTACTGCAGCGATATCTTGGTACACTGGATGCCCCAAGCGCTAGAAATATTGGGGACTATGCTAGACGGGTTCTGAGTAAATTGGTGGAAAAGGATAGCGATGACGAAGGGGATGTGTATTAGTGTTGTCATGCATTGTAACTATGTAGATTCTGGTTTCATTTATCATTTATGTAGCAATACAGTTGCGTAGGGTATGGCCGCTCGCTCTGCTCTATCTTGCGCATGAAGCTGTGCAAAGTATTGATCGTTGTAATTAAGCGTCCCTGCGCCACAATAGAATGAACTTGAGTTCGACGCGATGTGCTTTCCTTCCATCTTGACATTAGCAAAGCTGCAGCATGACTGAACAGGTTGCAGAGGTCAGCTCACAGCAAGGGGCGGGTGAGCAGCGACCCAGCAAGCGGATGAGAACGCAGCCAAAGGAAAACGTCTCAGGGGCATCAGCCGAACCGGACGAAGAGATCGCGACGGAAACACGCCGAGGCTGTGAAATACAGGTGGAGAAGGTCGAAGGGAGTTTGGACTCTGGTAGTAAATCAACGCTTACGTTCATCATGCGGCATGTCCAGAGCTGAATTATCTCGTCCTTGTCTGGCCTGAAGAGGGGCGACCTCACGGAATATGCAGCGTTGCGTACGCGTCTGGAACAACATACAAAGGCGAATTCAGCAATGGAACACGAAATGGACATGGCACGTTTACGTACGAAGATGGTTCCACCCTCTCTGGACCATACGTGAATGACAAACTTCACGGCTTGGCAACCTATACATATCCTGATGGAACACGGGTTGTTGGAGAGTACGTTGACGGAGTTTCGAATGGGAAGTACTTTGAGTACGATGATCAGAATCGTATCACGTTTCGAGGCACATGGAATGAAGGAGTTCGTTGTGGAAAGGGAATTGAATTTTTTGATGATGGTGGTCGCTTAGAGGGGACCTTGGATTTGTTCGGTCGCATGAATGGGGATTCCGTCAGGTATTTTTATCCCGACGGAAGCGGATTAGTGGGGATATGGAAAGAAGGGAGAATGGACAAGTCGTGGTATTTCAAAGACGAAGATGATGCTACTTGCGTGGAGGCAATGACTGATGAGGAACGAGTCAGCCAAGGCGTATCAGGGCCGTACCGCTATGATCCACCTACTCATGATTGCATTTCCTCCGATCCACTGCTACCGGATCCTTACGAATCTCGAGCCGTGGCTGTGAGACCGTCACACATAGTAGATGCTGGAGAAGGATTATTTGCAAAGCGTGACCTGATGTATGGGGAGGTTGCAGCATTTTACAGCGGATTGCGACTGACCCTTGCGGAAGTGGAGGCCAGGGGTTGGGATCATAATGCCAATGCCATCTCAATGGGTCCTGATAATGAATCTGATAATGAGCAGGACGAAATGGGTTTCGAACCGGGAGAAGATCTTGAACCTGATCAGTCTTGGGGTGGAGTCATCGATGTACCTTACCGATATTCACAAACATCGCAGTATGCTGCAACATTAGGGCATAAAGCCAACCACTCATTTACACAACCCAACTGTAAATACGAGTGGTATATTCATCCACGGTTTGGAAACATACGGTGTATTCAAACAATTACATACGTGCGGGCAGGCGAGGAAATACTAGTAAACTATGATTATAATGAGATATTGGAAAATGGGGAATTGCAAGCACCAGAGTGGTATAAGGACGGATTAAAAGCGTTGAAGAAAGAGGAAACTTCAATATAAATGCTCTTGTTTCTAAACAACGACATTCCGCTGGCCGTCAGACAGCAGTACAGGAGAAAGGTCGGGGGACTCTGCCTGTGTGCTTACTCATCTGGTACAAGCCACAGACACAGCCATCCATGACATAAACCCGCGATCGAAGGTGAACTCCATCCCTCCTCCTCTACGATGGCAAGCATTCTGCGCTGGTATCATGCTACGCTTACGCGGCGGCCGATTGCGACGCAGGCAGTTACGGCAGGTATGCGTTCGTTTCGTCGCATTTCCGTCATCCCGCTTTGGACCAAATGTCGTTCTGTCTTCGCGAAGGATGTCTCTTTACTGCAGGGGACTTTATAGCGCAACACGGTGTCGAAGGAAAGTCACTGGCCAATCATGATTGGAAGCGTACGGGGCGGCTGGCGACTTACGGAACTTTGGCTCTGGTGGGTGGAAAGCAACAGGCTACGTTACCAAGTTGGGCAACGCAGAAGTTCAGAAGTCTCGTCTGAAACCCACGCATAGGGCCCTGCGATAGCGGTCTGGTACCGCTATCTGAGTACTGCAGTCACAATCAAGAATCCACTTGCAGGTGAGAAGGATTTCTGCGCGCTTCAACCGTCATCCCTCATATATCCAACACTTTCGGTGCAATGATCAAAAACAGCGACCGTCGCCCGCATGTCCATTGACCAATGTGTTTTTGCACCTACCAATCTATTCTGCTTTTTCACAGCCATTGGATTCATGGAAGGCAGATCATGGAAGCAGATCAAAGATAAACTTCGACAGGTGCGCTCGCTCATACGTTCCTATTAAAGCAGCGTATCTTTGACCCAAACCAATAGACATACATGCCAACTCTGAAAGCAAATTTCACTGTCTGGCCACCTGTTCAGCTAGTGAACTTTTATTTTACACCAGTTAACTACCAATCTCTCGTTGTAAATACTGTTGCCTTGGGATGGAACTCGTATTTGAGTTGGACCAATGCAAAGCAAAAGTCTACTTAAAAGAGTATTGTCTTCTGGCAAGGGCGACATACGATAATAGAAACATCCCGTTTATGCCGATATCTCAATAAATGAACACCGCAAGTGTATTTTAAATGTCATCATGCAAACGTTTACGCTCAGTTCTATATTCTATCCACATTACAAAAGGTCTTTTATGTACACAGGTTTCCGGACGGCGTTAGAAAACCCTTCGTTGTAAGAGAACCGGACTTTTGCCTTCATTTGCGCCTCTTTGGATGCTGGATTTTAAGAGATATAAGCAGATTGATTTATATACATTTAATACTATCACCATAGATGGTACCTGATCCAACATTCCCTTTTTGCCCTTGGATGGTGTTCTCACCGTCATTCGTGGCCTCGTCGATGATAATCAATCGACCGAAAAAGTCTCGAGCCGGCTTTCAGAACGACGTTGGTGTTACGAATCAGAATCATTCACTGCTGTTGACAATTGTTAAAAGGATATGCTCACCTTTCGATCTTCGAGTGGCTGTATTGCATATTCTTGGAAAGTCTTTGGTTTCGGCGGTTTACTAAATAAATCAAAGTACATACAATGTCGTTCGTTTTCATAAGCGCGGAACTCCCGAAAGGAAAATGAACACAATATCCTACCTCTTTGGTGGTTTTTCCTTTGTGGCTCCTTCAGTGTCGCCTTGCGCACCGCGCTTGGCCGTGACCCGCTCCAAAGCAGCAGCTTCCGCACGTCGCAATATTTCACGATCGACCTTATCGAGAGAGGAAGTCAACATACGCAATTACCATCTCCTTCGGCGACAGGTGAGACACACCTCCAGTGCAACCATCTGCTTGACAGCATACGGAGCCCCTAGAACCCGCTTAGCGGAGAGCACAGCCGCCAAGACCGAGCGTCCTAATCCAGCTGTCAGTGATTTGAGGAGGACATCAATGGGACTTTGCACATCAAATGAATCGCCGTCGCTTTAGTTAGCTATCAAAAACATAATCGGCGTGCATGCGTGAAACTTACGGATCCAGAAGAAATCCATAATACCCATCCTCGCCCTTCTGCTGTCGAAATCTGATTCCCAAACCGACCATCACATCAACAAGTCTGATAAGGTCTTGCCGTTCGGAAGGTTTTAAGAGTTGAATATTCACCTGCAAGTGTTGCAAGCCCATATCAGTTGAGATTCAACATCTATGCGTCATACGACCATGAATTGCACAAAAACGCACAGGCCTCATTTCTGGTGATAATATTCTCAGCAGGTACGAAACAAGTTCTACCATGATCACTGCAACACGGTTCCATGTTCTTCGGGCAATGGGCGGCATGCCAGTCTGAAGGTTGATCAATATGTTCTGGTTGGACTGTTTCGCTAGCGCTGTCTAGGTATGCAAATCAACCCATCAGCGAGACGTACCACGCAAATTGAAGAAACAACCTGGACGCACCGCAACCTCTGCCCGAGGGTATTCTAGTCTCAATCTCTTGGCACTTGCAAAGAATCGATGGAAATTGATAATGGCGTATGGTAGGTAACCACCCACTTCCATGATATGTTTGGCGTGCGCGGTATACTGTATTCGGTCGTAAAATGCTAGCCAATCGAGAGCTTGTTCGATTTTGGTCTGGGGTAAACCTCCGGTAACGGTTACTGTGCTGGAGACAGTATCGAAGATCTTTGTGCGGAGGTAGTTTTCAAAACAACCTTTGAAAAGAAATCTAAAGTCTTGCTCCAAAGGTGTCAGGCAGTTGTTACGAAACATACCTTGCATGATCTTTTCGTACTCTCCATTGGAGGTGATGATGGAGTGGAGCCGAGGAATGTACCGGCCCGTCTCTTCAGCAGCTTCGACCATGCACACAAAGTCAATACTAAGGCTAAACCGTCCAGCAAAGCCAAACTTTTACCGCGAATGGCGGTCTTACCTCCTTTCATATTCCCCCTCACACTGCCACCTTTCTTTATTCCAACCCGAAACATCTCCTCCCACACAACCCACAACCCTTTCCCCATGTCCTTATTCCCAATATCCAACTTTGCCAAAGCGTCCACCGTTAAAATCTTACATCGTCTTTTCAGAAACTGTAGCGTATGAAGACAGGATCGAATGTCCCCGTCAGTTAGTTCGCACAGAGCGGTTAGCGTGCGCAGATCCGTTTGAAGATTTTCCCATCGGCAAATTTCATGGAGCCGTTTGGCGAGGGTTTTGACTGGTGGTGTGCGAAAGTTGACGATATGAGCAAGATGACGGAGGGGTCGTAGGACAGGAGCATAGCTGCAGAATAGACAAGTCATTATTTGGGGACGAGGTAATTGTTTTAAAGCACAGAAATCTTACGGATCGTTGCAAATGCAGATAATAGGGCGAATTAAAGCGCGGCGTTTGGTTGGTTTTTTGGAATTCGTACCCGAAGCCGCTAAAGCAAAGTAGTTCATCAGAAACGTTTCACTGAAAATAAACATAATGTCTCTACCTTGCGTAGCGTCATCCTTTTTAGTACTTGGAGTCTCCCCAAGGATAAACTCTGTCAATAGCTTGATGAAATTCTATACATGGCGCTCATCAGCTTTGCAAAATTCCTTAGACTCGAATGCGAAGACCTTACTTGGTCACCCTGCCCTGAAGCACTCGCACCATCAATCTCATCAATCAGCACTAGACAGGGCTTACGGGATCCTAGTACAGACTGGGTCTCTAGGGCGCCGACCAGACGCTGTTTGATGGAATCACCGGTGCGGTCATCACTAGCAGAGGAGATTCGAGCTCAGCCCTTGTTTCTGGTAAAACGGGCATCATCACCTACCTAGCATTGATCTCTACAACTCTGTAACCTGCATGCCGTGCGATTACGTGCGCTAGCGTGGTTTTGCCAAGTCCAGGCGGACCAGTCAACAAAAGAACCTGGTCAAGAGGGTCAGATGAGCGTTTCCAGAGCTTGGGACGGCTGGATTTGCCATTACCTTCTTATCTGGTCGGTGGAAATGATCCTTGCTGTGGATTTGCTCCACTTTCTCCGTACCTTTGGCACTGGCGCGTTTACTATGCTTCTTGAATACACAATAGTCCCATTCTTTCACCCAAGTGAGAACCTCTCGGTTGATCCTCTACAACCAAAAGGAATCGATAAGACACTGAGTTCGACGTCGAGAGTGTCTCAGCATACCTCATCCCCAACAAGATCGACATACATCCTCGGTGCATACTTGTCCACCCATAACTTGGCCTTCCCTTTCTTCCCCTCCCCCGTTACCGTAATGCCTGCCTTATCTCCTTCAACCTCTTCAACTTCATGATCAAAATCTGGGGGTGATTCTCCCATTTTCATATATTCTTCCCTCAAATACGCCTTTGCGGACTCCTCTTGTGCGGCTCTTGTCCGCTGGGCGTCGAGCTCTTCCATCATTTTGTAAATGGAGGATTCCAGTAATTGCGGTTTGTTGCCACGGGTATCGATAGCGGCGGTGGTTAAGGGTTGCTTTCGTTTGAGAGGAAAATAGAGACGTTTGCCGGTAGATGTCGTGGCGACACGGAAGCGGTTAGTATCGGCAGGGAGGACGGCGTAGTTTCGAGGGATGAGAGTGAGTGATGAACGAGTGGACTTTTTGGATGCATTTGGGCGCTGGTGTTCGATGTTGGGTAATGTGCTTCCTTCCGGTCTTTCAACAATTGGTGGCAAGGCTTTACTCTGGTTGTTTGGTTGCAGATGACTCCGCGAAGGAGGATTGGAAGATAGTTCCGTATCTGAATCCGAATCAGGGTACTGGAGCGGTCCATCACCATCATCATTCTCCGCAAACATGGGTCGCCGGTGGGTGCAAGTATCCCCGACACGATTTGATTCATCATTCCGGTCTTCCCGCAGCCTCGACCAGAACGCATCAGAGGAATCGTTCTCCCTAGCTTCTAGCGGACGCTTGCCCGCCCGCTTTTCTTCCAAGGCGCTTCGCGCCTTATCCCTATCACCGGGAACATCTCCACCGAATGCACGGTCTATCACAGAACGTTTGCTGGGTAGCTGTTCATCCTGCCCTTCCAGCGGCCTCTTTCTGCTTTCCAAACTCTGCCCAAGCATGGAGCGTTTTCCAAATATATCACCGATCAATGCTCGGCGCACATTTTCTTCATGTGCGGATATAGAGTTTGTGGTTTGCAGCGCATCGGAATCATTTCCTAGCTGGTTATTGCCAAAGGTTGAGGTCAAGGTAGGACTCTTGCTCGCAGCCAGGCCATCAATCTCCCCATCTGATGAGTCCTCGTCTCCCCATCCAAATCCCAAATCTCCAGATGTATTTCGCTCTCTCGGCATAAGCTTCTTTTGTCCGCCCGTCAATGCATCTTCACGCATTACGATCCCATTTTCATCATCATCGCCAAAACCCAAATCCATCATTCCACTTTCGACGACTGTAGATCTCTTTGCCGGTGAAGATTCTGGCATCCCCACCATGCCACCAAAGCTCGATTCATCCAAGCTTTCGCCAAAACTGAATCCTGTTACTTGTGTATCGGTCGCGTAAAGGGCAGGACCGGGTCGGAGAGATTGCAAAGGAGATGATGCGTTTTTTAGCTTTCGCTGTAGAGTGTGGTAGTTGCTGGATGTGGGTAGGGGTCGACCGACGCTAGGGGATGAAAACGGGGGCGGAGAGGACGAAAATGGATTTGGACGACTGGAATCGGCTGCCGATACGAGATTTAGACAATAGAAATCCATCGAAAAGTTCAGCCCAGTAGCAGGAAGCGTGCTCTACCTTGTTGGTCTTGTATTCGGTTTCTAGCGTCAGCGTTAAACATACTGTGCTGGCGGTTTGTGGGTCGGTGTGGTCGGCTTTGAAAAATGTCTGCAAGAAAAGGAGCGTTCATGAGCTCCAAATGAAGCAGGAAAAACATCTGACAATGCATCACATAACACCATGTCATGTTCTTGGCTAGCATGTAACCAAAACATGTACATAAGTTACAGGCAAACCCTATCTGCCATACCTTGAGCATCCTGCAAACCCGCCGTCGCGGACTCCATTTCCGCGAATGCCTGCAATTCATCACCATGCTCCGCTTCCCAAAGGTCAATATCATCCACATCTAGGTCCATGGTGGATACGTGCTGACCGCAGAATACTAGTATAGGAAGTAATAGCAAGACGACGACGTCGACCAGCGGGGATCTGGGAGTGGAGGTCGATGAGTCATACAACATGTCCGAGTCAAGCGGACTACTACTTTAATTTTGTACATGTAATTTGGTGGTTTGAAGTTGTACATGAAGCACCATAGCGCAGAGGAAGCGCGCAGGGCTCATAACCCTGAGGCCCCTGGATCGAAACCAGGTGGTGCTATTATTAATTCGACATTGCTTGTTTTTTGTCAAGTGTCATGGCATAATTTTTGCGTAAATGTAAGAAACCCCGCGCAGGACAAGCACGAATGGTAGCTGCCCATCCTCGACAAACTAATGACTTACTACAAGGCAATAAATCTCTCATAATATATTTTAATAAAAGAATGAATTATCCAAATCATCATATCAAAGATTATGCAACACCATACATACATTTGAATGCTATGCAAACAACGAATATCCTCAAAAAAGAAAAAAAGACAGAGTATACTAATGCAAACACTTTTCACTCTCACCCAACAACCACAACCCATAATTTCTAAAATCCGAAAACTTGTCGGTCCACCACCAATTTCCATGTATTGCCCCTCTTCGTCCGCCATCCATTTGAACACGGCGTTCATACTCTGTTTCGCGGTGTGGCACGTAGAGGGCGCCGTTGATGTAAGTTGTTTGGGAAAGGAGCTGGACGGAGAGGGAGGGGAGGGAAGGATCGTGATTGGGATCTGGAGGTAGGCCGAGACCGGCGGGGATGGGTGGGACGAGGACAGAGTTGAAGGAGTAGTTGAGGATCCAGTCGAGGGCATACTATGGATAAGAGTGAGAAAAGAGTGCATACAGATTATGTGTAAAGAAGAATGTATTTACCTGGTCATTACTTGCGCCAGCCTTCATTTGTTCAGCCATAATTTCATATATGCGAACGGTTTGTTGATTGGCTCTAACGCCAAACAGTCCAGCGCAAATCCTCGGTACGCGCGGCTGCCCCTCGTAAGGATCTTCCAAGAGATCATAGAAATCTCTCGCATCCGTTGTGATAACAACGTCCGCTCCCCGGGATTTCCGCACAATATCCCAAGGATCAGAATAAAACACAATATCCGCATCCACAAATAGTACACCCAGCTTTGTATCCCGCAGCATGGTCAGGAAAAAGTTGGGACGTTGCGACATCATACGCCAGTAATTGTCTGATCCGCCGGCTTCAAAGCTGCTGACGCTAAATAAGTTGGGATCATGGTATATTCCAAACCGAAGTGAATGACGTTGACGGTAGGATGCAAGATCTCTAACCGCTTCCATGTCCAACGCCCAAATGACGGGAACAGCGTCACTCCCGACACGCCGCAGAGAGCACAGAAGATTATATGCCATGCTCAACATGCCCTTGTTAGCGGGAATGATCATGACAAACTCTTCCAGCGTTCCATTTCCAGCATCATTTGTCCATATGTACGGCTGCAGCTGCTGTCGTAATGTCGTAATGTACCCATGTTCTGCCGCCATCCGTATGTCTATCGTTCCTTGAACGCGAATGTCCGGACGCAAGCAATATGTCAACAGAGAAGTACTGACAAGGAGAACGGCGACGATAACGAGTCGGAGGTAACGGGGCAGCCAGCGCAGTCGGGACTGCTCATGTTTTGTATAGGCTGCTTCCACCGACGGCCGACGGTTCGCAAGCGGACGGTAGGTTGCCTGTCAAGATAATGGGCAAAGAAGACATGAACAAACAGAGGAAACCACTACGTTTGCTAGATTCTGCTTACCATGCCTGATTACGGCAGGCTCTTCTCGTTAGGAACCGTCAATTGTGTTGCTCTTGCTTTCTGCAGACCCGCCTACTCACACTTGCTCCTACGACCACAGCTGTGGGCCGTGTGCTTGTCTAACAAGGTTTGCTTTAAGACCCAAAAACAAAGCGACAACACGAAGGGTCTTTTACGCAACCACCCTGCGTTCACGTGGACATGCATTGACGCCGCCACCAACAAGTGTGGCACTTATTTTAGAATGGAATCATTGACTTCCATCCCGATCAGGAGTCATTTACCATATTTTGGGTAATATAAATGCATTAATTGCAAAACGCCAAACAAATACGGCAAACTTTCTTGCTTTAACCTTCTTATTATATATACACAAACAAATAACATGCAATACCACAAAATGTTGCAGGAATCAAAGTAAGTTACGACACTTGACGAGAGCTCTAATCAATATCACTCTCTATGGCCGTCTAGCTATATATCAACAGATTACATAACGCCTTGCCAGCATAATTAGACCAGTTTCTTCTACATCAAGAGGGCAAAAGCAGCGCCGAGGGCAGCGAGACCAACAGAGGCCATGCCGGCAGCGGAAACTTTGACGGCACCGCTTTGGTTACCAGCCTGGGGTTTGGCGGTGCTAGATGGGGTGGACGACGAAGTCCTGGCGGCCGAGGTGGTGGAAGGTCTGGCAACCGCTAGATACACCACCAAAGTCAATTTCAAACGCGTCCATGACACACGCGCCAAAATGCATTGTTTACTTACTGCCAGAGGGCAATGGGATGGGCGTAACGCTACCGCTGGGAATAGGCAAGGCCGTGAGGGTTCCGGGAATAGAAGCGGTGGCCGTGCCAGTGGCAACGGGAAGAGCGGGAAGAGTGCCAGTGGCAAGCTCAGTGGTAGCAGCAGGACCGTCCTCAGTGGTTTCTTGAGCCATGACGGCAGGGGCCGCAAGGGCAAGGACAGCAAGGACGAGACTCTTGTTAAAGTGCATAATGAATGTGTGTTTATTGAAAGTGCAAGTAGGATGAAGGGGGGAATTCCAACAGCCGATCCCCTTTTTATATCCGTTCTAAAACCGCCATCGGCTGCCCTGCGCCGCTCCGCCCCCTTTTGCTCCTTCCCGCCCTTGTTAAACCCGACAAGCAACAGCAACAACAAAAAGTCTTGGCCACTTTTCCCAACACAGCGCTCGATGACGAGAACCGCGCCCATCTTCCAATCTCACCTAATATGACTCATTATGAACTAAGCCCCCGTCCCGCAAAAATAAGCGCGCAAAATCGCTGCAAATTTTTCGCTGTTCCCCTCAGCCGCGAACCCATCCCTTGCCGCTTTACATCCGCGACCACGGACTCCTCTCCCAAAGTGGGCAATGATTATCAACGTCACAGCCACATGGAAGCTTATGCGCCCACGTCCCATCCACGTGCACCGCGCTCAATGAAACGGAATTGGATCCAAAAGTGGCAATTCACATTCCATTCCTGGATTATTTTGGCGACTGAACACGGACCAGTGACGTTTAGTTCCAGATCACTCCCGTCAGTGCTCGGCGATAGCTCGTCAATAAGTGATCGTCAATCATGCGTGCGTTCATGGTAATCTCTGAAAAATAGTTTGGCATGGATCGGAGCAACACATGGCGTTGTTGTTCTTGCGGAGCACTGTGGCCATCGTCGCCTTGCCCCTCGCTTTCCAAGCCATCTGCCACAGCCGTTTGAGCGCTTGGAACCACGTCGTCTTGTGGGGACCCATCTTTCCATTCTCGCAAGTAGTAGAGCATGGCAGGTGTCAGTAGCACCTTCATCTCGCCTTCATCACATGGCGCACTGCCATCGCCGGGGCTGCCCGTGCTCCGTGATGCCGTCGCTTCAACCGATTCGGACACTGGCGCCTGCTCTACATTCGTCGCTTGGTTGCCTAAATCAATCTCCAGCTTGCGTGCTGTGTGCCGCTTCCAGCGCATGTAGCCAACTTGGCTAAAAGCTGCTATTGCGGCTGAAACGAGCGTGAATCGGAATGTGTACCGACGGAGAGCGATCCGAGAGGCATACGTCAATGTAACTGTCAGAAGCGTGGATGTTTGCCCAATGTCCTACTCAGACAGTCAGTGGAACATGTCTTCTGAAAGCCTGTATGAGCAAAACATACCTTTTTCAAATCTGTCATCCACTGCATCAACCGGCGTCTGCATCGCTGCAGCACCGTAGGTTCGGGCGGAATGAGTCCTGCTTCCTGCAGTGACACCACAGTTTCGCCCGCAACTTCAGCGACTTGGACGACGGTTCCATGTGCAGTGGTTGCCACTGTTGCAATAGTCTCTTTGGCCGCGCTTCTGCAACAACAACAAATGCTTCAATGTTCAACTCGCCTCCTAGTACCCCGCACAAGTGCACTTACGCAACGCTCCCGACGGATCTGCGTACTGTACTGACTACCTCGCTCTCCCAAGCGCGGATCACAAAACTTGTTCTCGGATTCGCCTCCAAAGCACCGTAGACGCTTTCCATCTGCTTATGCCATGCCTCGCTCAACAGTTTTCTATGCTGATTTTCCTTGCTAAACTTTTGCAACTCTCGCAACAGCCAAATGAGATTTTTCTCGCTCAGGGCAGGTACAACATCGTAACCAAGTACAAGAGAATCGACGACTTGTTCCGCGCGGTAGGTTAGGTCTTCTGTGCATATCGCGGGAGTAGCAAAACATACACCGCGTACAGATGGGAAATGTTCTTTGTAAGGCGGGGAGGTAAGAAGTAAGGTGAGAAGGGAGGCAATGCCAGCTCCCAGGCTGTGTCCAGTCACAATAATGTCAAAATTGGGATGAATGTGACGGAGATGAACCAGTTGCGGAAAGACGCGTTCGAGGAGCTTATGTGCAAGGTGTGACATGCCTTGATGAGCATATCCGCCAAGGAAAGGCTCACAGTCCATTTTGAGGTCAATGACTGCATCGTGTAAGCTGGCTGTCCCGCGTATCGCAATAATGATCTATGCAATATTCGGTACATAAATATTCAATCCCTGACAGCACTCGAGAAGCCACACCCACCTTCCAGTTATTCACATCAACCGCCAAAAAGAATGCAGGACAGTCTGCACTGGATTCGTGCACAACATCAATAATCGCGTCTGAGGACCGAAGATTTGGACAGCGTTCCAATATGGTTTTCACGTCTGGATCATACGCTGCATGTGCAAAATCGATACAGTACATGAACCTGTTTTGAAGGATTAACAGCCTTGTCCAACTGACAAAATGATCGCTTGCTTTCCTCGCACCTGACTTTACCTCTCGTACGGTTCCCGCTCAGTGACACGCGGCATTTGTTTAAAGATATCCTCAGAGTCTAACGACACCTCGTCGTCAAGGCGTTTCTGGATTTGATAGTGGCAATACATTCCAATGCACAGCAGGAGCTCGCCGATATCTAATGGCGGTACCTGTACAAACGCGTGAGCAAAGTATTGGTACTTTCTTGACCCAGAAATCCATAGCTAACCTCATGTGCATTCCTAGACAATACAGTCATCAGCAACCCAGCAACATCTCGAAACATCTCCACATCAAATGGCAACGCATTCTTGACCGCCTCTGCAACATTCTGCACTCCCGTTGTTACTGTTTCACCCACAGTCTGAACGCCCGTGACGACTGCTTGAGACGCCACGACAACTGGTTGGGAATTGACTATTGTCTCTGCTGCGACGGACACGGTTTGCGGGACCGTTGACATTGAGACTGTGATCTGTTCCGTTAGAGATTGGGGGCGGGCCAGTGGAGGTGTTGGTAAAGAGTCGATGTAGGTTGGAAGGCGTGTGAGGTGAGAGGGTAGAAAAGCTGGTAGTGACGTGGGTCTTGGTGGAATGCTTGTGGATGGATCGGTGTTCAATGCTGGTTGCGGTAGTGAGGAACTCTTTTGTGGCGATGGTTCGTCCGCTTCATCGAGTTGTTGAGTATCCAAAGATCCCACTAATGGAGATCCACCAGTCCTCTTTGAGGATATCATACTGTTTGCACGCATTACAAGTAGGTTTGTTTAAACAAAATTGGGAGAGCTGGGGCGGAAGACACGACAGTCAGTTTATCTAAACGCTTTAGCATGATGTCATCCCTCCTGGCACGTGATCATATTGCCTGAAGATCCTTTCTCGTCTTCAAACGATGTTTAACCTTCGAGTGAAGAACAAAGGATTTTTGGAGGAAAGGTTTGAGCATTCGCAGCAAGTTTTCTGCCCACTAAAAGAATCAAAGATGGAAAGGATTGCATCCTAGGCCTAGTAATGTAGCGCTCGAGCTTATGTCCTGCCTTACATATTGTGCATAGTGCAGATGAGATCTTTGAATAATGAAGATGTGATAAAGATGCTTGGCAGATGATACCCAAAAAACCTTTCTTAAACCTCCCATTGAAATGCTTTCAATAAAGTACGCAAATGAACAAGTCCATCGTTCGCCATAACGCGCGGCAAATAAATTTGGGTTAGCATTTCCCCACACAAGGTTTTGACGCAAGCTTCGCAACACCTTTCCACCAACAAACGCTTTAAAGGAACGCATCTTTTATCACAATGTACGATGCAATCTTGTCTGCCCTTGGCGACGACGAAGGTATCCCCGTTGAACCCCGAACAGACTGTCCTCACGTCAAAGACGCGGTGACACCTCTCCCATCCAAACCACATATCTCAAGTACGTAAAAAGACGATTGTAACAAGACCTTACTTGTTGATTCTTTTTAACAAACTGAACCAACATTTAGTTAAAACACCCTGCACATCCTGCCAAGATACCTCTGAAAATTGGGTATGCGTAACTTGTCACGACACGTTTTGTTCGAGGTATGTCAACCTTTTCTCGTTTATGATGATCAAAAGCAGTCAGTACCTCACAAACCATCAAAAGATTTGTACAAGGACATATGCAGGTGCATTTTGATCAAGGTGATCAGAGTTTGCGTATGCTCATTTTCGATTTGTGTAAGCTGACTGGTTTTTTTTTTTTGCAAGTCCGTCACCACATTGCGGTTAGTTACAGCGATTTATCAACCTGGTGCTACACATGCAACGACTACATTGACGACCCGGTAATTGAAAGTTTTCTTTTTTTATTGCTGTACCATCATTCTCAAATGCGAGCATAGGCCGTCGATCCAATTCGGTCCCTTCTCCACAAGGAGAAATTTGGGGAGCCTCTTCCAGAACGAAAGCGAAACGATCAGGCTGGGTCTAGTACTCTTTTGGTCACGATGCAGGAAGCTGGAGATGCCAAAGGAAAAGGAAAAGGACGGGCAGTGTGAATAGTTGGATATATATTTTTTTTTTTTGAAGAGTGGTTGCATCATGCTGACCTGTTGAGGCCTCTTGACCATTCCTGTGATGTCAACCTAATCTACCGTTGCCCGGCGCATAAGAGAAGGCATCTAACCAACCAAGAAACCGACATCACATTCATGATTCATGTATTACAGTTTGACCAAGAATATCGGCGGCGGTATGATAAACACTATTCTACGCCTTTTTGGCCAAATACTCTTTCCACCACTGCTCAAATGGTACGCACGAAACATTGATTCCGATTTGCTCCAGCCGTGTAGTCGCAAGATGTGCATCGTGTGGGCGTGATGCTGCTAACAATAATGAGAAAAAGTAAGAGTATATGGGAACAATGGATACAGACCAACAGGTTCCTTTGGAGCGTCCCGCAGTGGTGTCAAATGCGAATAAGGAAGATTTGAAAGTTTTGCTATCGTTTCTGTATGAGCGTCATCAGAGTTTGAGACATTGATGCATTATCGCTAGCAAAAACTTATGATCCCAAGGAAGGCATACCGCATATACTGTATTTACTCATCTTTTCCTTGGAGCTGAAATGGTAGATTCCAGACAGCTGCTGCTTGTTCAATGCGACCTTGTCTAAATTGCGTACATGATGGAATTTAACATTTGGTGACTAAATGATCAAAGAAGCATTGATATGATGAATCTAACCTGCCATTTGTTTGAGGATTTTGGCCACATCAGCGACATTTGTTGGATACCGGACTTGATAGTCATCCATCGAAACTGGCGCATCCGACTTCTGTAATAAAGTAAAAGTTGTAAAAGGTCCTACATTCAAGACTGCTATTCTGGCCACACATTCCATCAATGTACCTTAATCACATCGAGGAGAACGTTCACCGCCGATTCGCCATTATATTCCACTTCTCCGTATAGAATCGGTACGCGTAGAATCGCTGCACTTGGATTCACTCTTTGCACAGCTTCTTCTCCGGCGTACTTAGTTTGTCCTAGACAAGAGGTCTCAATCGCACGAATGGACAATACATGAATAACCCAGAAATCGGCTTCTTACCATAAAAGTTCAAGGGGTTCACCTGATCTTGAGGTTCGTAAGGAGGGTTTGTCCCGTCAAACACGTAATCGGTAGATATGTAGACTAGCCATGCGTTATTGTCCTTTGCAGCTTGGGCAAGATTCTCTGTTGCAGCAACATTGAGCTAGTTTAAAGCAAAAGGATGAGTATCTTATTATCAATGCTCTTGTGCCCTGTTCATGAACCCACCTGTTGAACTCCCTCACGATTATTTTGTGCTACATCTGGTCGACGCTCTGCCGCGCAATGAATGATAATTTGGGGCTTTTGCTCTGCTACGAACGCCTTCACCGCTGCAAAGTCGGTAAGGTCCAACTACAAATGACGGACCATACAACATATAAGAATGCAGAGGGCTAAAAGAAACCATTAAAGAGACCCGAGAGAGCAGATCTCACCTTTCTCAAGTCTTCTGTCGCCCTTGAATAGGCCGTTCCAACGACTGTATTATGAATGAAGAGTTACATTCCCTATGAAACCTCAACAAGGCCCATATACACGTACCATCATATCCTCCTTCCTTGAACGCTTTTACGACGGCGCGACCCAGTAGTCCCGAAGCGCCAGTGACGACCACACGAGGAGGGTTCGATACGATGAGCGGCATAGTGTTGTTTGCAATTCGGCAAGAGCCAGTAAGCTCGAACATTGGGACTTTGCCGTGAGATGAGTCACGTCGGTTGCGTAATCGATCGCCAGCCTCACGCTGGCGTCTTGCATGCGGGCGCTGACAGAGAGCGTAGGTGAAATTCCAACTTCTGAAGCTTGTAACAGCAATATATCGTAACATATTCAGCCATTACGAGATGCTGTTGAGTGCTTTCTTTGTGTATACTAAAAATCCAGGTTTAGCATCTTGATAGATGGACATACAAGTTGTCGTGCATAACATGACCTTCTCTCATAGATGGACATACCGCTCTATTTGTGGATGGGGTAGAAACTGTTTTGAGTAAGATCATCTACTAGTAGGTCGACCATCTTGCAGTCTTCCAGAACAGCTACCAGCGATTGCATCCACCATCGACTTTCCAGAACTGCCCTACTATGGAAAATATACCGGGAATTGTTGCTCACAAATGCGGAATATTCGACACTACCTACAGATTGCACCATGTGGATATGTGAAATTGGAATACCGTAGATCCGTTTGTGGCCAACGACAAGCCAATAGTCGCTCTACACTCTCTCAGCCGTGAAATTTCCTACCAGCAATCTAAACATAACGTACGCCGGTCAAACACAGACTCTCGCTTGCAATCTCATCTCTACAATGTATCAAATGAAATGGTGCACGTACACACTCTTTGATCCCGCTGTCGATATTGAAGATCTACACAAACCCAAATCTCCCCAGTCCGAGCTGAAATAAGCGTAATGCAAAAACTGGAACCAGCATGGCGTGAGATGGCGAGGTGCCAAGCAGCCAACGTCACTGACAGAACTTTGGATGGGGTCGATATTGCCTTTCCTTTGGAGACCGCGTGTTCATGATGCATTCGACAGACTCGCATCGTGGACAGGGACATTGTGGTGTGCCAGATCCACTGTAAACTCTCTTGGTAAAGAGCACTCCGTTCTAGTTTCCATTTATGATGCATACGACGTACATGCCTACGACGACAGCTATCTCATCACATTTGTTCGATGCTACCTGCATTTTGGATAGATGCTGGCCTTGCCTAGAAAGTTAAAGTAAGAGCGGAGTACGCGTTGCTAAGCCACTAAGTAAAGGCCGTTTTTTGACAGCTGCAGTCTTGGATGGAAAAAAGTACCTTATCTTTTTGGAACTTTTTCAGACAGGTTTTCAAAATAAGTGAAAAGAAAATTATGGATGTAAATAAGGAAGCAGTTGAATTGATGTCCCCGCAAGTGTCCGAGCGCTCTTGCGAACATCCCGTACTGATCCTTACGACCTCATTCATCGGCAACATACGGCTTTTCATCTCGCCTACAGGGTGAGCACTCTGCCAGTAACATCATGAGCAATTCGAAAAAGAGTATGATCAAAGCATTCAAGAAAGCGATTTCGAACAGTTTTTCACGAAAGCGCCGACATCAGAGTCTAGTACGCAGGTGGTGGAACGTATCAGAGGAAAGCGAAGTCTCGGCCTCTCCCAGCTTGGCCCTGGATCCATCAAGGCCTGTCCTTTCCACGTCAGGTCACTCCCACACCGGCAGCAACATAGAGGTCAATCTAGATGAGCCGACCACTTTGCAAAAGCGTCGCATGGCAGAACGAATGCTCTGCTTCCAGGATCCCATCACAGGAATTTGGGGCCGGGTGCCATCGGGGTCGAGCCACAGTAAAGCGTCGACCAAGAATAAACAACACCGTGCTACTCTGCTTGATGTGAAGATACCTACTCCCTCTTTATCCATACCATCTGAGCATGTACTTTCCACAACAGTAGACCGGAGCAAACGTAGTGTCGACATCCCTCCAAGACAATTATCATCCACCGTATCTGTTCGTCGAAAATCGTCTCTCTTTTTGTCACGATCGACATCCCAGCGCACATTTCTCACGACCCGATCCCGATCCCGTTTGTCAAGATCTGTATCCCAAGCCTCCACCGGCACCAAGAAAAGTGCCTGCTCTCAAAACCGTCGGCGAAATGCGGCCATGAAGGCGCTGACGTCCATTACGGTGCTGGTACAAGAAATGCTTGACAAGCAGATGGTGATATCCGACGATGATCTAGAGGTTGTCACCGAGCATGTTGCCATGCTGCAAAAAGTTGTGACGGAATTAGAGACATCAATAGCCAGGGATAGTATCGCGCGACGGTCCACCTTTGGTAAAAACGCTGGGGGGAGGCCCCTGCGGTTTGCCAGTATCAATACCAAAGGCGACGGTGTAGAGACGTCACCTCATCCAGAGACGATGGACAATAGAGAATGGGAAGACATTCATGAATCCGAACCTGTAATACATACTGGACGCTCCGAGGACCAACCTTCATCAGCGACCGCCTTGTACCCTCACCCATTACGATTATCCACACATGCCTCATCTTGCGCAGAGATTGACTCATCAGCCCAAGGTTCCACCCATGAGTCAGATGCCGACCAACGTCGGCAAATTCCGATGGCTGTACGGCCATCACAGCCATCCTCGTCCGCATCCATTAAAGCCTACCGAAAAGTCATTCTCCGCAGCAACATCATCATCACTAATGACACCAAGATAGAATATCCTGGCCAGAATATTTCAATTTACAAAGAATCACCTACTTGTAGAAATGGGGAGTAAAATTTAGGGACGTTGGTATACAATAATGGTCATTGTAATTTTAATGCCATACTTGGCCTGTTGTGGTCTTTCAACATGCATGACAACAACCCAATTAGGCATCGTATTTAAGCTTTTACGAGTGTCCCTCGTAGGGAGACAAGTGAATGCTTTCAATAACACATATGAGGAATAACGTTAGTGCGCGGCAAGCTGGAATGTCCGTCCGTGCATTAAGCGTTATCAACATGATAAACATTGTTGACAACTTTCGACACACATGGTGCAACCGAGGGTGCAACCAAGGTGGGAAAGGACAAACCGCCGTCCGCCCCCTTCCACCCAAAAAGCTGCCCCCACCATCAAGAAAAAAAAAACAAAAGTCGGGGGGAATGTGCGCTGATCGACGGCCTCGTGAAAAGGAGAGGCCATAACATGACTGTGCAAAGTGGGTTGCCAAGCAACGGGAAGTGTTCCAGTGTTCAAATTGTCCCCTCGCCAAGTGTTCGTTGATGCAACACACACACACAAGAAACAAAGTGTGTGGAAAATGGGAGGAATTGCGCAGAAGTTTAATCCCGCAACCCACGGACGCTTTTTGAAACCTTTTTTTTTTTTTTACTTGGCCCCGTTTGAAGGAAACCCAAAAAGACCAAAACCGCTTGCAAAAAGCGACTGCAAAATTACTATTTTGACAAATAACCAAAAGTGGGGAATGAAGTGCGCGGTGTTTCTTTCAAGTAGTTCATGTGGGACGCACAGAAGGATGGAAAGTGCAGAAGGGTGGGGATTGAGGTTTGCAGCAAGAAGATAAGCACTCTTCCCATTTACAAACGACAAGGACGACGGTTGACAACTACAAGTCTTCTTGTTCAAGCAATGTGCTTTTAGTTGCAGTGGATTCTGGTCAATGTCCGATATTTGAACCCATTTTCTATGACAATTGTGGCTCCAGTAAAAACAACTACAACCACGACAGCCGCGGCGGTAGAACATTCCGCCTCACCGGTCCGTTCTTTGACCGACACGGAGGACACTTCAAGACTCGTGCGGGCCACGCAGTCTCGTAAGGCAACCTCTGTACCTCCAAAGCCGGTAGTCCCAAGTCTCATCGCACCAGGGAATTCCTGGCATACCGCTGCAAGTTCTGCTTTGTTTCCTACAAAAAATCTAAACGAACCCTACGATGGGAGTCTGTCGACCTGGCCTATGCCTTCACCCACTCTTGCATCAACAGCTTTTGTGATCGAAGACCTGGGACGAGGTCAGGAAACGTCCACCACATCAAATACGGTTGAGTCAGCTCTTGCGACAGAAGGACCTACCAGGTCCTCGTTTCAGAAGAAGCTTGGAAAGGATGTGAACGGGAGATTGGCATCTCCTGTAACGGTGACAAAGAGTTGGGAATGGTCTGGACTGCAAGAGACAACACCATCTCCAGAGGATCTGCAATCTACAAAAAAAGCGCTACCGACACCCACCGACCTGTCGCGGCCCCGCCTCTTAGAGTCCCTTTCGAATTCCCCCTTGATTGATTTTCCCAATAATTCCGAGAGTCTACCTATTGGCAATTTACTACCTTCACAGCTGCCAGAACCGGTAAACGGAATCATTCCATCAATACCCCCGCTCGTCCCGAGTCCGTCTAGCGATCCTGTGACGCCGCCCACTGATGTACCAAAGATACCCTCACCGGCGGCGAACCCACCGAGTGTTCCCAATGGCCCGACTACATCAATCACCTCTGGCCCCACTCTTCCTATTCCTTCGCTGCAGCCTGACTTGCCTCCACTGGAGAATAAGCCAGGAGTTCTTCAGCCACCTCGTTCCGGTCTTGTTAGTGCACCGAGGCCAGCCGCCGCAGACTCAGGTAACGGTGGAGACTTGTTGGGTGGGCCACCGCTATTACCACCCACGGCAGGTTCCCCATCCCTCGGGGCTGTTCCTGACAACGCTGGCGTTGTCAATGGAAATGACGGCAAGGGGAAGGACGGAAGCGGCATTAAAGGGGGGGACAGACCTGGAACGACGGACACCACTCGTAAACTGGACGCGGAACGAACAGGCACCTGGCACCCGTCGGTCGGCGTCATCTTTGGCGTGGCACTGGTCTTCTTTATAGGGCTTGCGGCGGCTGTAAAGTATCGAAAACGGCGCAGACCTCAACGACTGACTGATCGCGAGTCTTCTGTTAGTGGTAACGGGACAAGGAAGGAAGATGTGACGATAATTAGGCCAAAACCGCCCCCCTTGGAGCCCGTACACGCCATGATCGCGGTTCCAGCGCCGCCACCAACCCTACCGCTGCAATTGGATGCCTTTGCTCCTGCACTTGCGCCTATTGCATCTGTTGAACAACCAAAATACCTGAGTGAACGTGGCGATACCGCACCAGAATTTTCGACATTGGCTTCAGATGAGAATCACGTTCTCTGCAAACCTGCACCCGTCGTTGATGTTTCAAACATCAAGCCGGCCCCTTTGCCCTCGTATCCCACCTCAATACTATCTGAATCGACTGGAAGGGATGCGGATTCCATTCAGGATTCTTTGTCACTCCGACCAGATGCTTACCTTGTACTGTCACCGTCTGGAGCAGTCTATGAGACGGATGAGGGCACATTAGAGACTGGACAGAACGCTTCTAGAGCATCCGTGCAACGATCCTCTGCTTCTTCCTCAGATTACTCCAACCTTTCAATCGCTCTACATGCGATGCAACAGCCAACAAACCAATCATACCCATCCAGATCACTTGAACGTGGACGGCCAAGAGGCTTGTCGACATCGACTTTTGCTACATCTGTTACGTCGGTATGGGAAACCGATACAGAGTACAGTCTAGACTATGAATCTATTGGGGATGGGCGGTCGGATCGGAGAACGTCGGATGTTGAAATGTGCGAGTATCAAGAGATTGATAGTGAAACGGAGAGTATCGCATCGGGAAGTGTGGTACAGGTTGTGGTAGAAGCAAGGCGTTGTAGCTCGTAAAGACGAGATATTTGTAAATATGACCTTCTTTTGGAGCACTTTCACCTCGCTGTCGCTATCAAAGCATTTGCTTCTTGCTCTGGTTACATAAGCTTGTACCACGTGATTGCTCCAAGAGGTGTGGAGGTCGACGGCCTTCTTGGCTTGCCATCATAAGACAGGATCTGGGTCATTCGCTTTTTCATAGCCTCATATTGTTCAGTACAGCAACCGTAGCTGCGACACAGATTGAAAGTAGACCATAGGGATGGCCGATGCGTTAGGAAATGGCGAAAAGGGACAATACCGTGCCATTGCCAGTTACGATCCCGTCTACACCGGTAGGGATACAGGCTCTCTGTAAACTTTTCTGATTACTGAGTAGCTGACCTCGTTTTGTATACAGACGAAATTCAGCTGACAGTAGGCGACCGTGTGGCGGTGGTGCAGTCTTATGATGACGGTTAGGTGCTTGGGGCGAGAATGTTCCATAATCGAGCGGAGCTTCATACTCACTCCGCTTTTTTGTATTTCAGGATGGATATTGGCGTACAATCAAACAACTAATGCCCGCGGTCTAGTACCCTTCAATTTTCTCTCACCCGTTAAAGATACCCCTGCACCGCGAACGAAGCCCTCCATTGAAATACCGCCGCCGGTTCCAAGCAAAGATAGCCAAGAGGTGCCATCGCCTGCTACCTTGCAGAGGATATCGTCTTTGAGTCGAGAATCCAAAAAGGAGACCCCTATTCTTAGTGTTACTAATAGTGCATCGCCGCCGGACATTATCCTGGATACCGAGGCCACAGGCGGCAAGGTGCACGTGCCTCTGGATGAGCCGCGACCGTCTCAAGCCTCTCAGAAAACCTTGTACAATGGGCAAAATGGAGCACTACCAACTTCAGAGGCGGCCCCTATGGGATTGGTTGCATCTAATGTGTTCCCATCCCCAGTATCTTCCAAGCGAAGTGAAAAGGCAGTTTCCGAGGCGGATTCAGTAGCTGAGTCTGTCAAATCCGGAGTAGATACAAAGGAAGCGGACCTTGAAAGATCTTTGTCGGTCAATTCCATGGTGAATGCCGTAATGGCAGTTGCAGATCGCTCAGAAGGACAAGCTACACGACAGCAAATAGAGGATCAAGCAACACAGCCAAAACAAAAATTACAGCACCTGAATGCAAGCAAGAACGCGCGGGCGCGAAATCCGAGTGCTGTTGGGGTCTTGAAAATTGCGGTTGTAGGAGATTCCGGAATTGGAAAGGTATTTACACGTGCCGATGGAACTTTCTGAGTGTCACGCTAACAACCAGCACTTTTGATTTGCTCACAGACTTCCCTAATCCAAAATTTCCTGTCCGGACCTGAAGTAACTGCATCTCAACGAATTCCCACTACCGAGGGAAGCCATACTGACATCATACTGGCTAGTACGTCTACACATCCCACCCGGACAGAGGGCAACTACAACTTGACGTTTGTCGACACGCCCGGTTTTGGAGCACAGATGGACGCAATGGCAACTATCAAACCAGTAGTAGAGTACCATTTGGAACAGTTTAAAGTGACGGATCAGATTTTTGTTCGTGACATTGAAGAACTGAATCTCTATCGCTTCCTCATCGCTCCAACGGGAGCTCATACTCACGTGGATGTTGTGCTGTTTGGCATTTTACACCGTTTGAAACCCGTGGACATAGAATACATGAAGCGGCTGGTGCCGTATGTACCGATTGTTCCCGTTATTTTCAAATGCGACACGTTGACTTCAACGGAGCTCTATCGATTGAAGATGCATATTCTCCAGGAAGTCAAACGTGCTGGGATTGATATATACGGATTCGGAATGAGTGTTGACGAGTTGATCAACCTTGCGCGAGCTGGGGTGGATGGAGCCGTGCCATTTGCCGTCAGTACTCCGATCACGGAACGAGTTGATGGATTCGGTGGGGATGCGCAACCAATAACAACCGGGGAGCGACTGAATGAGTTCAAGCTACTTAAATCCCGCATTTTAAGTACACATGTAGACGAGATCCGAACGTTGACAGCAAGAAAGTTTGTCAAATGGCGCGAGGGTGTCAATGCCTACGAACGACAACGGCAGCTGGAAGCGGAGCGCGAAGCAGAAGAACGGGCCCGAGCACGTGCTGCAACCGCACAAGCTCAAGCCCAAGCGCATTTCAATCAGCAGCAGTACTTGTACCAGCAAGCTGTTCCTGTCACTTCACATCACCACAAGCCCTCAACAGGTGGTAAAATTCTCAACAGCCTGTTTGGGCGAAAGTCATCATCTGCGAGCACATTGTCCGTCTCCCCACCTGGATCGCTTTCCCGCATGCGTAGATCGAGTGAAGAGACCGCGACATCGGAAAGGAGTGGATTCTTTGATCGCGGGGGTGGAGGGACAAAACGCATGGGAGGGGCATTTACTGGCAAGAGGGAGTAAAGTGAGCTGCGATGCACCCTTGCAGTTGGGGCACCAGAAGTTGCAGATCTTTTGTTTTGGCGAACTACAAAGAGAATACCGCCAGTCTAAATTTGGGGGGTGAGCATGATTTTTTTTTACACAAAGACGTTTTTCATTTTCCATAGAGGCATATAGATGGGCTTGCCGATTTTGGACACGTATAATCTGTTGCAATTCAATTGTCATACTTTTTTTTGTTCATCATAACTATTACAAGACCTGTATTGTTATCCAGCCATCAGTGGGTTTTTAAACTGCTGTTGCCCACCTTTGGCTTACGCAGGATCGGAGAATGCATGACTGTGCCACCCGGCTGAAGGCACAGGTTGCATGGAGGAACCAATGTTGGATGGTTTTAAAGACGAGGACGAGGACAGCATGAGGATGAGGATGAACAACCACCACGGCGGATAACAGCACCCAAGCGTCAACGTCTAGGAAACATGGACCATGAGCGACTTATACGGGACGGCGCCCTTGAAAGCCCTGTGGATCGGAGCTTGTGTTCACAGTCTGGTTTGCCCTCAGTTGACTCCCCTTCACAGGTGATATTTGACTCGAAGACCCTGCCCACAAGAATGCGTGCCGGCACATCACTGCCACTACCCCTTCATGTAGTCACCCCACTGGTTCCCTCTGTGACACTGGCCAAACAGCTCGGCGTCAAGGCGGTCTACTTTAAGCTAGATGCGCTTCAGCCAAGCGGGAGTTTCAAGATCCGAGGGATTGGCCAAACTATCGCCAAATACTACCAGGCGCACCCCAACCTCAAGATTATTGTGTCATCTTCTGGCGGTAACGCGGGAATGGCCGCCACGGTAGCGGGTGTGGCTTACAATTTACAAGTTCGTGTCTACGTTCCAAACAGCACCCCAGTCATGATGATCGAGCGACTACAGGCAGCTGGGGCCGATGTCATTGTGCATGGAAGTGTATGGGATGAGGCGCATGCAGAGGCGATGAGATTCGTGGCATGTCAAGAGGCAGGTAGTGCGTTGTTGGTGCATCCTTTTGAGGGAGACGATCTAGTAGACGGACATTCGACCCTTGTGGCGGAGATTGCTGTGCAGTTACCGCCAGGCATTGTTCCCGATGTAGTGGTTTGTGCGGTAGGTGGGGGTGGTCTGTTAAGTGGGATTTTGAAGGGGCTGAAGAGCATATATCATGGGAAATGCAGGTTGCCAGTGGTGGTTGGAGCTGAAACTGAGGGCGCAAGGTCATTTGCGTTGGCGGTTGCGATGGGGTACCCACTTCGCCTCCCTGGTGGAATCACGTCCATTGCCAAATCCCTCGGTGCTCTTCAGGTTTCTGATCGTGTGATGGAATTGCGAGACACATATGGAGCACCAAGTGTCCGATCACTTGTGGTAACAGACGCACAGGCCGTATGTGGATTAGTGAATTTTGCAGATGAGTTTAGAATTTTAGTAGAGCCCTCCTGCGGCGCCGGTTTGGCAGCCTGTTATTCGCCAGAAACATTGAAAAGCGTTGTACCAGAATTGAATTCTGAGAGTGTCGTGGTAGTTGTAGTGTGCGGGGGATCAATGGTGACAACAGCACTGATAGCAGAGTGGAGGGAGACTTTTGACGTGTGACGACTCTGGGTTGGCTAACTTTGGTGAGTATATTGTAAACATAGAGAAAAAGCCCAGTACCGCTATGAACAGCATGACATAGCGTGAAAATTGTGAATAGTTAGAAAGAAAAATAATGTACATTCTAAATGCAAAAATGGTATCTTATAGCCCACGTCTGGGTCGGGAAATGTCTTTGTCCAAGATGATCTGGCGGACGTGATCCCATTCCTCTTTTTTCAAGAGTTTACGCTGAAGCTCGCTCACAGGTACACTCAAAATCCCTTCATGGTCGGGGCTCATCAGTGTTTTTAGGGTATCTTCATCCAAAATGCCAACAAGGTCCAACCGAGGTATACACAAACAGTCGCATGGTTGCATTGCGATTGCAGAAAGATCCAGTCCTGCCGCAGCCGACCCCGCCTTGGAGATGACAGGCTGGTTCTGGTTTTGTAACGCTTCTACCACCGAAATCCTCCTCTCCGATGTGGAGACAAGGAGTTGTAGTTTGGCGGCGGAGATGTTATGCATGCGGTAGGTTACAGCTTCGGAGCGATCAAGATGGAGACGGGGAAAGTAATCACCAGGGTAAAAGTTGCCGATGGAAACAACTGCTGGACTTTGCATCGTGTGAACGCTTGGCGGGCCAGGTGTGTCATCTTCTTCTTGCGAAACTTGACGTGCAGCGGTTTCCGGATCTTTGGAAACGATGTTCCCGTCCATCATGTCAACGATTCGAACAGCTTTACATTGTCCTCTCATCAAGAAAACTATCAAATCTCTTTCGTAAGGCGCTACGACGGTAGTATCTACCTCGAATCGAACTGCCTTTGCAGCCTTGGCCAGTTGCACAATGACTTCCTTGCTGGTTCGCCGGAAGACAGGAAGTGATGATAAGAAGGATATTCTGTTGTGCAGCGCGCTTGGGTCCACATCCTGAGACGCGAGATGGGCCAGATAGTCCTCCCTCTCTATTCGTATAAACTCACAAGGTGTCAAGGTGGTGACTGTTTCGCTCCGAAGGTCTGTGGACTGTGAGAGTGCATATTCGCCGAATGCAGCTCCGGGATTCAAATAACGTTGGATGTGTCCTCTAGGGCGGTCAGAAAGGAGGTTGTTTGCGATGGAGCTCCGCCTCTCAGGGACGCTCTCCCAATCAGAAATCTTGTTGCTTAAGCACGTCCCGCTCAATATGTAAAAGTAGTTCCAAGCATGATGCCCAGCTTTCACAACCACTCGGCCCTCGCCCACTCTTTCGAATCTTGCGATGTGAGCCATTTCACGACGTACTCGTTTGCTATGTTTGGCAAATGTCATTGGAAGACAGCGGCAGAGCATTGTGTCAAGTCTACTTTCTTGCTTAGCGGTCCGTTCTGCGGCGGCTATTTGAATTAAACTGGCAATCTTTGAAGTTATGGCGGCTGTGTCTCGGAGATTTAGGGACGTCAGATGGGAGTGGAGAGAGGGAAGAGCGGAATTTGCGTTGGCTGTCGCGGTTGTAAATTGGAATAGGGCCGCCATAGCCGACGTTGGTTCATTTTGGCTTTCATCATTGTCTTGATCCTTTCCCCTATTTTTGGATGCCCGGAAAATAAGAGTCGCGCGAAGGATCTTGCGAACTGTGCCAATGGCGTAAGTCCAATTCTGCCTTGCACGCAGAGATTCGATTCGCCCACTCCGCGCTCGCGGAAGAGTTGTGGCACTGTTGTTGACGCTGATCGAGGGACTTGTAGCCAAAGATCCCGACACATCCGCTTCTCGCAATGTCACTGCGGAACTACTAGCCCAGTCGTCATCATGGGATGTCGATTCTTGTGTACTGCTTCCTTTCATTTTGTGCAAAATTCGTTCAAATTGCTTATCGTACTTTCCAGCTAGGATTCCATCTACGTCAAGGCGTGCGACATCCGCCCGGAGCTTTTTAACACTCAGCTCGGACGCAGCATCGAATGCCGCATGCTTGGCTCCAATAAGGTGTTGCTGCAATGCCGCTCGTCTATCACCGCCATGGCCAATTGTTGCACGACGCTTAACTTTTGGCAGATGTCCTGTCAATGGAGGCTGTATATTCTTATCCGTCAGAGTGGGAGATGTCACGGATTCAACGCTCGTCACAGGCGGTGTGAAGTAATTTCGAGTCAAGCTTTCATTGTCGTAAAACTGGCCTTCGCCTAATACATTTACTATATCTCCAAACATCCCAGCCTCCCTTGCGATCATGGCCTTTGTACTTGGTAAAGCAGAGGATGCGCGCCGTCTACGAAGGGATGCATCGAAAGGTGGGTCCACCTCTGCAGGTGAGGGACCCTGACTTTGGCAAAAGCCAGTGGTATCTAAGCTGCAAGTTATGCTGCGACGATGAGCTTGACGCCGGGAGTCTGGTACTTGCAGGAGCGAAGAATTTGTATTGGACAGCTTTGGGGCATTTTTTGGCCTGTCAGATGCTGTCGCAGGAAGGAGCTGCTGCAAGCTTTTTGGTTTAATGGAAGAGGAACGTCGCCGCTCGGAGGCTACGTGATCAAAGTGGTCTGCCGGCGATGAGACGACGATGGGTGGATGACGAGAAAATGCTTTCTGTGGAAGGACTGCAGGAAGCATAACTCATATGCGAATGGAAAGTCAAATGGAAGGTCAGGAAATCGCCAAGATCCACAGGCTTTGAATACCAAGGACCACTTGGAGGATCTTCGAACCCGAATGCATCTCCATGGGGCGGCCCTGACGTAGTCATCCCTGAGATTTTCCCGCGAACCTCGGGAGAAAAGCGCCTTTCATTTGCTATAAATTGTCCCCATCCATAACATATCCTCAGATCTCCGATGCTGAGTCAGCATACCCTTGGGGTATCCAAAAACAAAATGAACTAGACCCTGTTGCACGTCTCTGCATTGGACCCACGGCCAATGTGCAAATGCAAACAAACAAGCTCAAAAGGAAGCGTCACCGCAGGAGTCAAACACGGATAACTCTGAAAAAAGAGCGACGAGAGCAACGAAACCCAAAAGTCGCTGTCTGGTCAAGAGTGGCACAACGAGTATAGCCGAACGCGTTTTTGAATTTCAGACGGGCTTTGTCTTCCAGCGTTCGTCGTCCTCGCAAGTAGCAAAATAAACTGTGTCGAGTACCCAGGACGACATAACGCAAACATCCCGATCATGCCCATGAAACATACTACAGAAGACCTGGCAGCCGCAAGGGCCACCAGCACATTTGATGTATCTAAAATGACGGACATCGTTCATGGACCCCGCAGAGCCAAAACGTTGCGCTTTCTAACAGACCTTGCCAAGAATGATCACATATTGCGCAAGGACGATCGGCCATATCTTGGTAGAACGGAGGTTAGGCTCTCTGGTGTGGCTAGTAATGCTGCCTATCATAGTCAATAATCTTTTGTTTTGGGACATTTTTCAGCGATTTTATCGATCTATGCAAATTCAGAAGCGATACATTGAACTTCGCAATCAATATGGTATTATTCTCGCTTTCCTTTTTGACAGCTTAATCCCAAGGCCAACATGTTTCATTTAGGCTTTGATGTTGAGGAACTCATGTATTTTCGGTGGATTTATGACGAATACGCCTTTACGGATCTCCACGAGCTCATGTTTCTTCCGACGCTGCGCGCCCAGGCATCCGCCGAGCAATTAGCAAAATGGATGCCGGAAGCCGAAAACTTCAAATGGATCGGGTGCTATGCCCAAACGGAATTGGGACATGGGAGCAATGTGAAAGAATTGGAAACTCGGGCCGTGCTAGATTTGCAGACTGATGAGTGGGTTTTGGACACGCCAACCATTACGGTATAGTACATGTAGTGGTTGAAGGGAAATGCAAAGCCCATCATTACAGAATCTTGGGGTAACACATGCTCTTTCACAATGCAGTCTTCGAAATTCTGGATAGGGGCTTTAGGACGAATGGCTACGCATGCAATCCTCATGGCTCAACTGGTCATCAAGGGACAATCGTTTGGTAGGTCGATGGTGGTGACTTCTCTTTGCAGGTATCACCCATTTTGACGCCTTGTTTTAACAACCAGGTATCCACCCCTTTCTTCTCCCTCTTCGTTCTCTGAAGGATCATACAGTTCTCCCGGGAATTACCATTATGGATATTGGTCCAAAAATTGGTGCAAACTCACAGGACAATGGTTTCATGCAACTTAAAGGCGTTCGCATTCCAAGAGAAAATATGCTTATGCGGTATTCGAGGGTCACTCGTGAGGGTGCCTACATCAAGCCGCCGCATGATCGTCTCTCTTATGGCACTATGACCTACGTGCGTGTTACACTGGTAGATCAATCCTTCTTTTACCTGTCAAGGGCTGTGACGATCGCTACCCGGTACACAGCCGTCCGTCGCCAGAACCGCGATCAGAGTATCAGTGGCATGGATGGAGGAGAGGTTACTGTCATGGATTATGGAATGGTCCAGGTACAAATGTGTTGCAGCCTGTCACAGTTATGCATGCTGTTTATTGATTGTCTTTACGACATCTTCTAGCATCGTCTCTTCCCTCTCATTGTTTTATCCTACGCTTTTGCATTCACAAGAGACAGAATGACTGCCATGTACCATCAAATGATTAAGCAAATTAATGACGGAGACATGAGTATGCTTGCCCAAGTCCATGCAGAATCATCCGGACTGAAAAGTTATTGCACACTTGTGGCTGCGGAAGGAATCGAAGAGGCCCGTCGAGTATGCGGAGGGCATGGGTATGCAAGTTTTTCATGTTGCCCGGAAAGCGGTGCTAAGAGTCAAGTGACCATAACTTGTATCATTAGGTACTCCCAGGCATCTGGAATTCCCGGCTTCTACGGCACTTTCCTTGCCAGCAACACTTACGAGGGCGAGAACTACCTATTAACGCAGCAAACAACAAAATATCTTATCCGACAGCTTCGATCCTTCCAATCCAAAAAGACTGGTGATCTCTCCCCGGATACTGCATACCTCCAGCGAGCCACTTCCGCCGACTTTGGAAGTGAGAAAATTCAGAGCACAAAGAAAGCAGACCTTGCATCTCGTTCCGTCCAAGCCCACGCTCTCGAGCACCGCGCAGCACGTCTCGTCTTGGAGGTAGCCGACATGGATGCGGTATCTGGGCGACGATGGACCGATTTGAATGTGGCCATGGCCCGTGCCGCTAGGGCACACTCTCAACTGTTCGTGTGGCGAGCATTGGCTGAAAAGGTGGACAGTGTGAAAAGGAGCGGTCCGGAGGAACTCGTGAGCATTTTATCCGAAATGCGAGACATCTACTTTTTGTGGATTTTGACCGGAGCAGATGCTGGTGATTTCCTTGAGGACGGATATGCGCAAGGTGCTCAAGCGAGAGATCTCTTGGCGGAAAAATTGAAGAATATGCGCAAAAATGCGGTTGCTCTTGTCGACGCTTTCGACTGGGATGACTATGTGAGCGATTGGCAATTTCCTCAGATCTGGACCAAATGACCTTGCTGATAAATGTGTTCTTTTCAGGTACTCGACTCTGCATTGGGTAGGTATGACGGAAAAGTCTACGAGGCTCTCATTGAGTTCGCCAAGAAGGAGCCGCTCAATAAGCAGCCAGTGGTGTTTGGCTATCAGGAAATTGTACGACCGCTGCTTGATGGACAATGTGGAACATACAAACCAAAATCCCGACTGTAGATAGAAGGTTAGATAGAACAGGGTAGCATATTATCGTAGCAAGTACCGTCTATTATCCGACATATTCAAGATCGCGGTTATTTTTTATCGTAACATGTTCATTCGCTGTGGCCCATCGAACTTGGTCAATCCTTGGCTCCTGGATCGTTATCTTCCATCGGGGAGGTCCCTGCACGAGAGAGTGTGGCGCAGATGCTGACTGATCGCTCCCCCCGCTTGCGGGAAGCTCATGCCCACGTACCTTTTCTCCCATACCCGGACAAGAGACTTTATTAAGCAGTTCACCTTGTGCAAATCCTACTTTCCAATATTCTTTGTCAACAAAATGCCAAAAAGGAAACATGAAAACCCAGTCGTCAACTCAGAGTCAGATTCTCCGAGCACTTGGTCCTCTTTGGATGAAGTACTTGAAGAAAAGGCCAAAGCAGCATCTCCTTCTACTAAAAAGACCAAGCAAGCAAACTCCAGTGATAAGAGAACGGTGCGTTTTCTTTGTCTGTCGGATTGCTGTATTTTACTTACGTGCCATCATCAGTCGCGGTCTTTCAGCTTCGACGAAGACGAGTTCCTGTTGGATATCGTTCTAGATTTTCAGGAGAGAAATGGCATAGGCAGTAACGGTCTGTGGCCAGAAGTCAAAAGAAAGTACGACGCAAAGTTTGGTAAATCGTCGGAACAGCTTCGCTCGCGTTACCGAGTTCTGGCGAAACGTCCTCCCAAAGTAACGAATGGGGTTGAAAAGAACACAAAAGTTGAACATTTAAAGGAAGAAGCAGAAGAGGCGAATAACTGACGTGGACTAGGGTTATCGCCCTTTTGCGGGATGTTTTGAAAATTGTATGGATTGCTTGTAGCATCTATCGGTTTTGGTGTAGCTTTGTAGAAACGAGTGTGTCTTGCAGCTTATAGTTCGAAAGATGTAGCACTTTACTGCTGGAAATATACTGTATATCCTAGCTTTTTCATCTTTGAACTTGTCTGTAGTTGCCAATTCCAAGCAGAGTGTAAAGTGCATGTTTTGTTTATACTCGTCCATCTTCCGTAATCTGTCCATATATGGTTATATGACCGTGTTCTAGAAGGCTGCGGCTGAGTTCGACGCTCACGGGAACAGAGGAGCAGGTCACCATCAAAAGTTGGTCCGCAGTCTGCTCTTCTTGCGGGAATTTTCTTGGCTCATTTACTTGACATTTTCCACCGCCATTAGACGTTTGCGCTCTTCCGTTCCTTACCTCCCGTTCGCCGGTCGTCGTTCACATCCACCTGGGTGCCCGCCTCGCCTCTCACCACCATCTACAACTATTGACAGGTTGTCGAACTATCAAAGTTGCCCAATTTAGTCCAGACCCTGGACCAACTTTAGGCTCTGTAAAGATTGTTTACGGTCCATCGTTTTAGTCACTCTCTTGACGAACGGCTATTCTCTTTCAACCTCAATTTGAAGACGGATCTGTTTCGTCATTTTTTGACATTTCCCTCTGCCAACCGACACGAAACTGGCGAGCGTCAAAGAATTTTGGTTCGCAATTGTCTGGGAAAACAAACGTGAGTTATTGATTATTCTTGTGCGCAATGGTGAATTTCAGATGGCAGATGGTGTTCTGCACACATTATCTGGCATTGCATTTCTGTGGGACAACTCGGGCATGGTCAAGGCTGGGGTGTCCAGGCACAGGTCTCTGTGGTCCTAAAAGTACAATAGCCAGCAACCTGCTCATGTAAAGGCGTATTTTCTTTTCAATCCGAACTTTTTTGTGCTGAAGCATCGGCCCAACCCTAAAAGAGCCCTGGCGGGCTGTGTGGTTGACGATTACGGGATCCCCGCCTCCGAGCCACCTTCTTTTACGCGTTCCTTTTGTTTGTTGGGGGACTCGCTTCTACAAAAAGTCGTGTGGCCTGGCCCGCTTTATAAACGTCATCATTTCAATGGTTGGCTGTTGGCTGACAGTTATGTCTAACTCTCCTAGCAAATTCTCCGCCTTTCATCTCGACTACGCGGTCCTAATCGAGAAAGCGCTTTCAAGTCCTCGCTCCGAGCAGTGCTGGCCAGGCTGACGAAGAGCTTGTATCACGCCGCTTAGCGAGTTCACCGAGGCGCGTATTCGCCGCTGGTTCCTCCTGTGCATATTCCAAACGCAACCCTCGTACCAGCGCCTCCATGCCGATGCAAGTGTATGAAGAAAGTGTCTCGGCGTCGGATAGTCCGTCATGGGGAAGTGTGATAGCTCAAGGAGCTTTGCCCGACCAAGAATGCGGAGTGCCATATCAAAGGGTCATGGAATTTATCTCAAAAATCGGTCAAGTAGTACTGCGTGCCCGTGTAGCTGTTCGAGACGAAAGCAAAGTTAGTCTGCAGCAGCGACAACTCCAGGAGCAGCAACGCAGGATAGATTTAAAGTTGGCTGCCACTGGCATGCATCGGCCACCGCCAGTACCTTCCGCTACTCGACCTCCAGGTCATCATTTCGATTCAGCCTCTGTTACGCACAATGCCTTGTTGACTTTGCTGCGGCATACTGAATTTTGGCGAACCAGCATGCCGGTCAACGTAGACATTTACCTTGGAGAGAGTCGGATCTTGTTGGAGCGATGGGTTATATCATACGAATCTAGGTTGGTGTCTCACACGGATGCCGTATGGCTGCCCTATTGTCCTTTGGCTAAGTTGTCCCCTTTCCACCATACAGTGAGCAGATAACCTCGACTGAGGACAGCTCGTCGTTCGTTGACAAACGACGGGAGGATTTGACGGACTTGATTCTTCTTGTCCAGTCGCTTTACTCGTACATTCGGCTGATGCCACTGCACGCAATTTTAACAGAGGGAAAGGTTGACAAACATGATCTCCGCTACTGCATTTCAACGGCGGATGGATATCCGCTGTCTCCTGTGTCAGATGATGAGGACGATACCGATGACCATCTTCGCGCGGAGTCACGTTCTACAGCTTCTGAGCGATTGGACTATTTTACACCTGCACGCAATAGTCATGGATTGTCGCTTCCGATAGTAGCCTTTGATGCGGCTGCCAAATTGAAAGTCTATAAATTTCGGTCCGCTTCAACTGGGTCTCATGGAAAGTTGCATTTGTCGGCGGTTTATGATTCGAGTGTTGCGGGCATGATCGCAGTTGGTGGCAGGCGAGCAGCAAGTCCTGTGAAGTCACCAGTGAAGGCTGGGTCGCGCCCAGAAAGCGGTCATGCAATGAAGGTTAGTACTTGTCGGGATGAACGTCGTAACGCAGTGATCTTAAAGACTGAACGGTATTGTGGTTCAGAGTACGTCAGAGGGAGACTTAACGGCTGGGAAACCAAAGGATGACTATTCTGTTGGAAAACCCCCACGACCATCTTCGGAACCTCCTCGCGGTCGTCGTAGCTCATCATCACTTGGCAGTCCTTTTCCCAGCCCTACCATGCAGAGACGTGTTTTAGGGTTGGCCCAATGGAAACTGTCGAGTACTGAGCGCCCAAGACCTGTTTCCGGTTTGGGATTGTCAGATAGCGCGCGGCAGGTTACCGAAGGCGGTCTGTTGTTCTCAGGGACAAACTGGGCCGCTGGGACTCCTGGTGCAACGCCGGAGCTGCCAGTAGAACTCAGCACTCAAGGTCCTGAGAAGGCAGACCACTCCGATCGTTCAAGGCCAGTGGGAATACCTTTTGCGGAACCCATTCGGGATGGTCAAAGTCCACCCAAGAATCGTAAACCAGATCTTCGCCTCCAAATCCCTACCATAACAACAACTGCACCCATCGACCATCTGGACGACAACAACATCTCACGCACTGCAACTACAACAACCCTCCGTTCCATCAACATTCCTCTATCGTCGTCACGTCCGTCATATCCCCATCTCTTCGCGTCCCAATCTAGTAGCACAACTCCGTCGGAACTTTGCGGCTCATTCGTCGGGTCATATGAAGAGTCAATCCTCTCTGGGAGAATGTCCACTCTACCCTCAAAACCGATTCGTTTCCAAGCTGAAATTGGTGTGGTTGGATTCGGAAAATGTGCATCCAGAAGCCTACGTTGTCCTCCGCATGTTAGTGTCGAGTTTGATGCGTTTTTCTACGAGGTTGGGGAGGATGAAGTGTTAACTCCGTATGTGGGATTTGTGGAAATCGGGGAAGCAAAACGTAAAAGGGAGAAGGCCGATGACGGTGGTGCGGGAGATGCGAATGGTCAAGATGAAGACAAGAAACGTGAATCAAAGACTAAAATCAGCGGCTATAGGATTCCACCCAAGGGTCAATTGCAAATCGTACGTATAGTAGTTGAAATCTCAATTAAGCATTGCTATCTGAGGGTTAATATTTATTACACGTATAGTTGATAAAGAACCCAGCACGAACAGCCATCAAACTCTTCCTCCTCCCCTACGACTTTCAGGACATGCCTAACAATAGCAAGACTTTCCTCCGCCAAAAATCTTACACTGTCCCATCTGCCACTTCCGCTTCATCCAAGTCTCCCAATGTACAATCCGATCATCATCCCCACCCTCATCTCCGCTACGCTATTCATGTACCCGTCTTCCGAACAGAGAAAGGTCGAGTGTATGTCGGACCGTCTTTGAGAGTGGTGTTCTCGCATAGGGCGCTGGATGGGGATGAGAAAGTTTTGGTTGTCAGTGAGGATCTGGGTGTCGGCGATGGCAAGTATGTCAAGGAGGCTGCTGCGAGCAAGCTTGATTCCTGCAGGGAGAAGCAGACTACCGAGGAGGGAGATAAAGTATGGCAAAGTGGCTTTCGATGAAAGGGTGTGAAGTGCTAGGTTGGTTGGATGGCTGATACACAGACCTGCGTCCTTGGTGGACGTAGTGCTTTACGAGGGATACCACTTTCTTCTCGCCCCCCTCCTTTCATCTTGTAGTATTCATGCAATACCCCCAGCTGATATTTTTTTGAGTATAATCTGTTTCGAAGTGCTGCAAAAGGGTTGTATATAAGATTTGCCTCAACAGAGTCCGATTGGAGCTTAATAGTGTTATCAACTAGAGGTTTATTTTATTATACAAGAAAAGAACAAGTGAACAGCAAAATCAAATCTCATCCATTGAGGCCTAGCTATCATATTGCCCATGTCTCCCCAACTGGTCTAAGAGTTCTCCATACTCTTTGTACCACTGAATAAACTCTCCGCCGCAGGTCTTCGGATCGGGATGATACCGTCTAAAGGGCCGAAGTCGAATCAGTTTCGATTACGCACTCTGATCCGGTATTATCATACGATGTGGATTTGTTAATACTTACCACATGACTTCTTGGTTGATCTAATTTGTCCCCATACTTGATGTACTCCACTGTGGCAACAGCAGTTTCCCCATCCAATGTAATAGTCCATTTTGCAATAACATTTGGTGTGGATGTGACTACTGCATCTGACTTTGACGTCCCATCTATTTCTTCTGTACCCAGAATGGGTGCAGTCTCTTTGGGTGACTTTTCGGGTTCTTCAGCGGGCTTTGCGGCATCTTCACCGTCATTCGCCAGCTGCACGGCGTCGTCGCCGAATTGTCGTGCGAGAAACATGGTTGCATACTCGACGGCACTGGTGAAATCGATTTTGCCTGGTCTGGCTTCAACGTCCGCTTCTGACTCAGACTCAGTTGATTCCGCATTGTCCTGTGGAACTTCCGGCTGCTCGGGGTTTGAGATTGCGATGTCAGCATCTTCAGCGTCGTCTTCAGTTTTGACCACTTTTTCTTCGGCCGCGCCGTCGTCAGCCGCTGTTTCAAGTTTTGCTACATTTTTAGTGTCATGTTCATTCTCGTCAATGTTTCCACCATCCACCGCAGGCGCTGCTTTGCCTACATCGTCGGTAGCCTCTTCAATTGGCTCCAGTTCTGTGATTTTATCGCTCGTTTCATGATGGTGATGGTGCCCATGGGATCCTTTTGTAGCTGTTTAATGGAAGGGACTGTATTAATACCAGACAACAAGGTTCAAACCCAATTACGCAACAAATTTATCCATACCTTTCACACTCGCAGGGCTACTTTCAGCTTGTGCAATGATTGCCACAATAGAATCAGCGATCATGTCATTCACAGCATTGCCCTCCCACTCCAACGTATATCTCCTTAAATCCGGCGACTGAGTGACCTTGACCGTATCAAACACTCTGAAGCTCCTTTTTCCCGTTTCCTCTATACTTCCATACATCATTTCCAGGTGCCATTTAACCAGACCTAGGGGAGCACGACAGGGTATTGTTTGGCGTTGCTCGAGTGTGGCGGGCACGAGATCAGTAAAAGAGGGTAGGTCAGACGGTGCGAGGAGATGGTATGTGAAGTCGCGACAGACAAGAATGCCGCTGAGCGGTGTGTTTGGGAGCGGGGTTTGGGACGCTAAAATACCAATTGTCTAGATATGATGGTCAGCTATGCATGCAGGGAAACAGAAAGAACAAGAACTGACCTTTGCCATTTTCTCTCCACGAAAATACAGCTCTACTGTTTCGCAGTTTTTTGGTGTATGGATGTGCAGTGGAACTTCTCGCTCTGCGTATCGGCTTTGTAACGCACTGCGCAAACGGCCCATCTCATTTGAGTCGCCATGTACGAGGATCTAAGGGTAGACACATAATAATAGTGTCAAGATCCCAGGCGACACCGCTGCCTGAAACGATGACATGCTCTTAGATTGAAGGGAACGTACCAAATTGGGGGCTCCGACTTCCTCAATGAAAGCAGAGTTTTCCCTGTAATCCACATGTGCCGAAAACGAGATGTATTCTACCGACAAGCGGAGTGGGAGCTTTGCACCCGACATGGACACAATCTCGTCCGGTTGGGATAAGATTTGCTGAAAGGCACATGAGAACGCAAATGTACATAAGTATCTGTACAAAGGAAGTTTCTCTTCGCAGCAAAGATACTCCACTCTCTCATCTCTTACCTTTCCTAATGTCCCTTCCACGACGTAACCTGGAATGATCACGCCGTTCCGTTTATCAACACACCACAGCTCTAAAAGCTCCCTGGAGAGACCATTCTGCGATGCAAATCATGTAAGAGTTAATTCACTGCAGAAACTTGGAGGAGACGGCAGAACAGCAGCAAAGGGAGACGCCTCTTAGAGATCTCACCTGCAACATCCCTGGACTCGCCATCATGACGCATGGCCCCACGTCATCAAAATGTGACATACTCTTCAGATTGCTAATGTGTTTGAACTGAAATGGATTGCTAATCTTCACTTGCTGCCGAATCCGTGCATTCATCATGTTTGTATAGGTTTGATATACGGTCATGCACTTCTTGGCCAAGCTTGATGCATAGTAAATTGGAACATTATGTAACTCGGGGTGAGCCTGCCAGTATTCGTCCAAAATGAGCAACAGCTCTTGGGCACGTCCGAGAGCAAACACTGGGAGAAGACATCGACCTCCTCGTTGGACGACATCGTGAACGAGTCGGGTGAACCGGGCTTCGCGCTCCACGCGAGGTTCGTGAGACTGGACTCCATAGGTCGACTCACAAATTAATACTTCGGGAGTGACGTTTGGTGGCTTTTCCGCCGCCATCAAATGACGATCTTCTTCACGGGAGTAGTCGCCAGTATATAGGACACGTACGCCCGCAATTTCAATTAGGAACATTGCGGCGCCGAGAACATGGCCTGCATTGTAGGGCGTGAATCGGATGCCTTCCACCTCGACTTCCTGGTGATAATCAACAACTTCAATTTTCTCGTAACTCCGTAACAGGTCTTGCTCATCGTAGAGTTGGTCTTCGGCAGAGAGATTGCTTTTTAATGAAAGCTACAAAGTCAGCTAACTTCCTTTCAGAGAATGGAATGGGTGAAGGCTCTCGCACCTGATTTTGACGTAGTCAGACAAGAGCCATTTGTAAATTGCCTTGGTAGGATGCGTCATGAAAACTCGGCCCTTGAAGGTTGTCTTCATAAATACAAAAGGAACAGCCCCATTAGAATCTTGCACAGCAAAAAAAAAGCACAAACAGAGTCCACACAGGGTTTAACAATATTTTATTAAAACTTCTTTTCACGGAGACAAAGTATAATAGGTACACATAAGGTTGCCGGCCAGGTAATAGGACACGTATATGCTCCCCATATTTAACCTGACAAGGTAACTCTTTGCAAAGATCCACCCGCTCCCCTTCCCCTTTAAGGAGGACTGACTTGGCTATATAACGCGCAGTCCTCACCTTTTCCATAAAGTATGGTAACGCCGCTGCATGATCAACATGAAAGCTGCGCAACAAAACATTTAATCACTGTCCACTTTCACCTAAACATCTGTCTCCGACTGCAATATTAAGAACGCTTACTGGCTGATGAGCAAAACGTCGATTGTGGACGGATCAACTTCATCGAGGAAAGGAAGTGCTGCAAGGCCGTTGTATGCCGGATGGAGACCACAGTCGAGCTACAGGAGAGATTACCATCAATATGTCGCTGTCGCAGAGAGTCAAGAAAGGAAGTCAACCCAGAGCATCTCTGTGAAGACTGACCATAATTGTCTTTCCCTTATACTCCAACAACAAACAACTCCGTCCCACTTCCTGTCCCGCACCAAGAGGCGTAAGCCTCATAATGTCCCCTTCGTCGCCAACTGGGACTGGAGTCGGAGCATCCTTGCGCTTCGACGCAGAAGCCATGTTTTCGAGCACGGCTTGAGCTGGCCAGGGAATGTACAAACGGTGCAAATGAAGGTTGAGACGAGATTACGTGGACCCGTGCAGCGTTGCCATGACCATAGTTGCCATGACCACAGTTGCGTAAAGGCTGCTAGATCCGTCACCGTCATCATAGTGGTCGTGAACGAATGACAAGTCAAGAAAACATTTGAATTCAGCCGGTGATATCCTGGTGTCATTGATATATGGTTGGCTTATCTCGGATACCGCCAAGATAGCAAGTTGACAGACTAAGACAAAAGGAAGGAATCCCTAAAGAGAGAGCAGAATCAAAGCCTAGACAAAGATCGAAAGACGTAAACACCCTCAAGCAAGAGCTGAAGCGGAACCCACAGATATGACCAACATGAATCCAGAAAGCGAACCGTCGTCGTCAACAGCAAGAGACTCGACTGGAAACTCAGCTACCCTAACACTGAACATGTTCGCAGCCCTCGTGTTACAGATTGAACAGCTCCATTCTCGCATTAAACTACTAGAGTAGACAGTTTTATGTTCACCCCAATCACAAGAGGACGAAATACACTCAGAACTTACGGAGCCCGGGTCCCAATCACAGTATCTACAGCACACCCCCTCGAGATGAACAAAACCTACAGAATCAGATAGAAAGGGCCGATGACATTGGCTTTGCCGTAGACCTGAGCCGGAGCATCCCGACTTTTGATGGAAAAGACGCATATAAGACTTTACTCACCTTCATCGCGAAAATTGGACTGTATCTTGGATACACAAAAACCATTCGCCGGAAGGGCAAGTGCTCATAGCAGCGTCAAAACTTGTTGGTACAGCACACCACAAGTGGCTAGTATATCAACACGACCATCCGTACAACGTCGTCGATTGGGTAACCTTCAGAGATTGCTTTCTTAAGCCGAGCTTCATCAAGCCCAGTGAGAATGTGGTACTATGTACCAAGCAAAAGAATATCAAAGAACCCAGCTTCCGCGATATTGCTACGTTTAAAGTCATGCTTGAAGAAACCAGAATAAGCATAACTGACCTTTCTGACTATGATGCGAGAGAGATCTACTTGGACGCGCTTACTCCAGAAACACAGGAAAGAGTAGTACTATCTCTTGGGATGACGCCCATACGCGAAATCCCTCTCGAACGCCTAGCTCACGTTTTGCAGCTAATCGTAACCCTACAAGCACCACAGTGTCGTAACAAACTAAAAGGCATCAGACAAGAAGACTTCGGCGACTTTTGTATGTTTCATCGCACGTTTGAAGAAACCAGATTGAGCCTAACTGGCATTTCGGACTATCATGCGAGAGAGATCTACCGGGATGCCCTTACCTTAGAAACATACATTCTTGCAATATTATCTCTTGAGAATGCGCACACGTATCAATTAGATCTCGAAACCCTACAATCCCTCGTTTTGGAGCTGGTCAGAGACCCACAAGAATTCGACGCCATGTCAAAACTAGCACGAGGACAATACGGTAAAGGCCGATCCTTCAAAGCCAAAAAGCACAAACAACTGCGTACAGAAGGAAGGAATATGAGCCTAGGGGGTCTAGTGCTAGAAGCAGGGCCACTGTAGGAGATCGCGTCCTGTCATACTTGCGAAAGAAAAAGTCATAGCAGAAGCTAATCAACGAGAATGCGAACACGATCGTTGCTTGGGCCACAAACAGTAACATTAACAATACCGCACTGCCTGCTTCAAACATATGGCTCGCCGCAGCTGCACACATCTCAGATCGATCAAAACCACATCGCTGTTAGACACCAGTACCATCGTGGCTCATTGACTTAAACAAAAGATTCTGTCAAACACATCGTCAGCTAAATTGATCGCGGATACCCTCACCACGCCCTTACCAAAGCCACGCTCGGACATCGTCTTGCCATGAATGTCGTTTCTGTCTTAGTTATAGACGCTAGAATAGTATGTAGAAAGGTTTTCGAGCGGTCTTAAGGGGTGTTGAGGCAACATTACGTAGACCTTAGAGCAGCTGTCGCCCATAGTTGACCGTCTTTCTTGAGAACGCCCGAAATAGAATACATTATGGAAGTGCGTCATGTTCAAAGTTTCCCAAAGATTGGTTTTCAAGAACCGCAAATAGGGCCGCCTGCCAGAGTGCTCAGAGTTATGGTTTCCTGCAAGTGACTTTGTTAGATTTTGGTCAAATGATATTTCTATTAGACTCTTCAAGCATCCAGTGTAAATTTATTTAAGGACAACTACAGTGAATACTAGGCACAATTAATATATTGATTAAAAGCAACAGCTACCCTCGCGCTACGGTCTTTCACCCACAAGCTTTTCCAAAACATCCAGCTTTACTATCGCATTATGCACTCTAAAATGCAAGGTATTCTCCAAACTAGGCCTTTTCATTCCTTCTCCCACTTCGTCCTCAGCAAATCCTCCATTCAAAGCTGCGCCAAATTCTCGTCTTGCTTTGCCATACTCCCCAGACCGGGCATAAAGCTTACCAAGCTCCAGCCGCGCAAAAGGTAGAACCCAGTGATCCAATTTGATCTTATCAGCATGGTGCACTACGAATTCTAATTGGCGGGAGGCATAATTGAGAGTTTGAATAGTTGATTGGGAGGGACGGGGTTGTTTTGCGAGTTCGGTGACGGGAAGGAGTGTTTCCGAGTTGGGGATAGCCGTTTCCCGCGTGAGTACACCTTTCAGGAAACGTGCCAGGCATAGATCGTCGTAGAATGTGTCGTAGGGTAGGACTTCCTCCTCGTTGTTTGAGGAACTGTTGCTTTTCTCCAATTGGGCTTCCAAGCCCTTTAGTGCAATGTCCAGTCGATCCAGAAACTTTGAAAGCATCTCTTGCGGGATAACATCGAAGCCATTCCAGAGATACAGAATTTCAAAGTGAGGCAAAAGCAGCCGGTTGTTCTGCAGAGCAAACTTGCGGGACTTTCGCGACACGAATTTCTAAGGAATAGAAAAATACTGCTCAGAATACGGCGGCCCTTCATTATATGATAGTCGCTGTTGACTGACCTCCATAGGGATAGACTTTCCAGCAATCTTTTGCGTTAGTTTTGGTACTTCTTTCAGCATGGCTGCCACCGTGTCCCGATTCTTTTCTTCATCAATGGCATATAGATATACAGCTTGCATATATCGATAGATTGCCTTGGACCATCGACTCTCCTTGAACAGTACCTCGTAGCAGTTTGCTGCTTCGGTCCAGTCGCCCAATGCTCCATTACAGATACCTGAATCCCAGACACAGACATGCACCAACTGTCTCCAGTCACTTTGAAGGTTCATGACACGCTTGTATTCGGCAATGGCGGCAGACGGCTTGCCTTCCGTTTGGAAAAGACGTCCGTGTAGAGCAAGGAAGATGAAGCTGTCTGGATATTTTTTGAGAGATACCGACAGAATTTCTTTTGCAAATGGAATATCGCAGTCGGGTAGTTGAACTGCGGACGACAGAATGATGTGATAGCCTAGTAAGACGAGATCGCAGAGGAATTTCCGCAGGCCGCCCGTCTTTGAGTTGGTCTCGGGCATCGCAAACGGAACTCGGTTGATGTCACTTCCAGCAGGAAGACTATCCTCCCTGGAATGGAGCCCTTTCGCACCACTATTACCTTTACCAGGCTTGTGACTTTTGCCACGGGATATTATGGCCGTCCGATCATTGACAGGCCATTTCCCTCCAATCTCCAATCTTGAAAGACCAAAGTCTCTATCCCCCGAGAATCCAATCAATTCAAACAGTCTTAAAACTTTGCCAGGCAGCATACTCAATGTAACATTGAAGCCTCCGACGCCCAGTAGCACGCCAGATACAAAGTGTTCATCGACTCCGTTTTTGACCAATCCTTGGGCTCCACCCTCCTCATCATAGACCCTTTGCAAGAATCTGTAGCAGCTCTTGTAAACGTTATATGCGGATCGTATATTGAGGCCCTCACGTACGAATGCCACCATGTTAGTATCAGTAACAAGTGACAACATTGACTTTAAGAGGTGAGCTTCGGCATAAACGAGCTCGGCATGGCGCTGAAGTGTGGTCATATTCTTTAGGTGGCTCCCTTCTTTTGCCCTCATAACCATACCGGTAAATGAGGCAACGAGCCCTTGTTCTTTTCGAAAGAGGGTGGCCATTTCGAGCGTATTTCGCAAGGCGTCTGTAGCGCCCTCGACATCGGCGGGATCAAAGGTCATGACTGATTTCAGCCATAGAATTACGGCATATCCAAGGGTATAGTACATGGACCGACAATACTTTTGCTTTAGATACCGCTCGGGCTCAACGAAGCGGGAATTGAGAAACATGTCGACAGCATATTCCACCTCGGCGATATCGACCAACACATTCTTCTCCGCGTCCGCTAATAAACTTTTGATCTCCTTTTTGTCCAGTTTAATCTTGGTCGCTCCATCCGTGGCTGAATCGGGTGCGGTATCATTCCCCGACTCAGCGGCTGCTTTAAGATCTTCTGATGCATCCTCAAACTCTGCTTCGTCGCTATCCGCCTCGTCCTCTTCATACATGCTCTGAGGATCATCGCCATCATCATCAAGTGGGGCACTGGCAAGTTTTGATTTCTGTGCTGTGGGCGTTGCGAGTTCCATCTCCTTGGCTCGGGCACCAGCGTCAGATGTAGAGTCAATGGGACTTGGGCGTGCTACAGACATTGAAAATAATAAAAAGGTAGTTGCGCGTGTGAGGCAACTCGTAGTGTCTCGCCGTGAAAGAAGCAAGAGCCTATAATCCTAGAATGTCACCCCAGTTATGGTGCTGTTTAACACGGTACCTGAGCGCTTGAACCTAGTGTGCTGTTTAGATAATCGATTAGCATCATGATTTGATGCTTGAACTCTGCCAAAGAACGAGCGCATGACTTTTGGTTAAAACAACAATAGTAAAAAAAACGTTCTAAATCCTCAAAAAGATCCTCGATGGCCAAGAGCGACGGTGACGCGACGATTACCAAGCAACACTTTTGCATGCAAGTGTTCATTGGCATTGGCAAACAGCAGCTAGCAAAAGCACTCAAAAGGCAAAGCTTTACATCCAGCTATCCTACATTTAACCAAACGATTTGACATGCTTACATGCAACGGAAAATAAGATATACGCAACGATACAAACAAATCGAGTCAAAAACGGATCAGAAATAACTCCGTCCCGGCTATGGCGCAGGCAGATTGCGTAATTAAAAGTCACGCGGAAACAACGCGATGAGTAATTGATCGCAAAGTGTTGCTTGTTGATTACTCGTCAACTGATAAAGAACACTCCGTCATTTCCTTACCCCCGAGTTTGTGTTTTTTATTATCCGCAACCCAACTATAAAAAGGACCACCCGCAAAGGTGTCGGTCCTCTTGCCTTTAACGGCGAGTAGGTTGTAAACACCTAACCTGAAAAGGCCGCGTCAACTCTTATGGTCATGTCGTCGTCACCCACCCAAGCGCAAAGCTCTAGTCAGCACGTCAACTCGGCCTCTGAAACAACACCTTTACTCAACAATGCACCTGACGCCAGCGATGGGTCGACGGGAGACATCCGTCCATGGTATCGCCGTCCTTCCCCCTTACATGTGGTCCTCCCGCTGGTCGGGACTGTGTTTTCGTATAGTGTCTCATTAGTCCCTATTCAGCAATTCATGTTGATGTATCTCTGTGGAAGATATCTGGCCGTAAAAGAAGGTCAAGCCGGAACCGCAGCACTTGGATCTATTTTATCAAGCGACAGCATCAACGACCTGCCGTCGTTTGCAAAGTGTAGAGAAATCCCTGATGTCCAAGCCTTGGCCGCAAAATGGCAAATGATTTTGACACTGTCAACCAGCGTACCCGCATTACTCGCTACGCCGCTGATCGGAGCGCTGTCCGATCGCGCAGGACGGAAACCAGTATTCTTTCTCCCAATACTCTCTGGACTCATTGGATCTTTGGCTATCCTTGCCGTTGCCCAATTTGATTTTGGACTTTGGATCCTCATTTTGGTGCACTTGTTGCAAGGATGTATGGGAGGCGATCTTGCCATTGTCATGATTACCTTTGCCTACATTGCAGACGTAACAACTGCGGAGACAAGAAGCAAGGTCTTTGTAACAATTGAAGCGCTGACGTTCATATCCTTTACGATTGGGCCGTATTGTGGAGGTGTGCTCACTCGGGTAGGCATCCACGCGTGACTTTTGTCTTGTTGACCGAATGCCTTATTCAAACGGTTGGCTATACAGGTGCTTCCCTCAGGAGTGATCGGCGTTGTTTATGTCACTATCATTGGGCAGCTTCTGACAGTGGTGTATGTCACCCTCTGCCTCCCCGAGTCATTGACACCTCCCAAGCGCTCTGTGACTGATCCCGGGCTGTCGACACCAGCAGCCAAACCATCAGTACTGGCCACGCTCATCTCATTTGGTCCGGTTGTGCGTGTTGTTAGCAAACCTCCTCGGATATATCTTCTATCGCTGGTATTCATCACATCGACCTGCGTGGGCGGCATTGCACTCTTCTTTTACTATGCATCCTATCGGTTTGGCTGGGATGCTTACGACGAGGGAGTTTTCATGTTGTATGCTTCTGGAACTCGGGTGTTTTGGATGATGGGTATAGCAACCATTCTTTACAAAGTGTTTGCCGGCGAACGACATGGAGAGTCTGAAACAGAAACCAGCCTGCGAAAGGTGCGACTGGATGTGCGTATCGTGAGAATTGGTATGCTTGTGCTGGCAGGCGGCTGGATTTTGTTAGGGCTTGCATCGGCCTCATGGATGGTGTATGCTGGTAGGTGTGACAGCGTCCGGACTTGTTGCTCAACGGTATATGATCACTTACACCACCAAAATAGTGACATTTTGGAATGGAATTGGCACACTTGCCAAGCCCACCATTCGATCCCTTCTATCACGCTCTGTCCCTCCTGCGCTACAAGGTCGGCTCTTCTCTACTATTCAGGTGACAGATCAGGTTGCCACTATCTTCTCCAACTTGGTTTTCCCACCAATCTGGGCTGCCAGTGTCGGCGGTCCATACCCAGGGCTATTTCTGCAAATCATTGGTGGGCTGTTCTGTATCGCCGCATTTATCGCGTGTGCCTTTATCAAGGTTGGAGATATTGCAAATGGTTTTCATGGGAATATACCCGTTAGTGTAGATGCGGAGAAGGGTACCGAAGAAGTGGTACTGGATGCAGAAACAGATGGAGGAGAACGGGATGCAGAGAATGCTGCTGCTTAACAACGCCGCTGGGCGTACGGAAAGTAACATGTATATAAGAGGTTTGCTTCCATTTTGCTGCTGGGTTTTGGAGTATTAGGGATAGGATTTGCAATTTGGGTTTCGGTTATCCACTATTCTTTGCTGGTGTTTTAATTCATCCTATGTAGATATATTAGTAATGGGCTTATACATCGAAAAATGCGAAAGAGTTTCATCGTACAACGAGCTCCAATGTGTAATGCAAATATAAGCTTCTCCCTACTAGGTATTCCATTGTGCGGGAAAGACTATTCTCGCCAATGCGAGATTGAGACCAGAGTATGTATTGTCACGCCATCAATTCACTATTCCTCCATCAATGCCAAAACCTAGCTTTATCCGCTATTCGTTGAAGATCACATCACAAAGCAAGAGCACCTCATCCTCTTAGTGTATTGTCTATATAGCCCGCCGAAAACAACAAATAGACAGTGAATCATTCTCACCTTCCACTTTCTTTGCAAATGCATCAGCCTTCTTCCAGGCCTGTCTCGCTTGCTCCGGATCGCCCTTTTGTTGAATCTTTGCAGCTTCTTTTCTCATATTCTCGGCGCGATCTTCCTCATTTAAGAGGTGGTCGCGGTCGCCCTAACGCTGTTGATGAGGCTATCGTCCATGCAGGTATTTTAGTGCTGATCTCTACCTTTCGGTCGCTTTTGGGTAACTGCCTCTCTCCAGGTTGCAAATCTCCTCTAAAAATCGATTTGAGATCAGGCTGCATATTCATTTCCGCCTTTGCCCATTTTTTTTGAATGTCTGGGCCACGGAGGAGATGTTCGTCAAGGTCCCGAACAGGAGGCTGGTGCTTGTTGGGACTATCAGTGTAGTCTTGATCGTCTTGGTCAGCTTTTGCAACCTTAAAATGAAAATAAGTCATGTATATTGTGGACAGTTGGACGATCAGCAAAGGTGCATGCCTGATGGTAAACTTGACTCATGACGGGCAAACTTTGGACAGAATTGAGGTTGAACAAAAGTTTTATTAATGATATCTCAGTGTTGGGAGTGAGAGCTTGTGCTTGGGTGCTATTCCCTTTTATACATGTTCTATTTTCTTTACGTAGTCATTGCAGGTCCAGGTCCACAACAACCATGCAAGCCCATGCAGCAAGCCCTTGCAAGAACCTTCGTGTACCGCACCTTTTTTGGCTATACCCTCCATCTGCTTAATCTCATCTTTTGAACCTCTATCTCTTTGCACCAGTTCCCGAGGATATATTTGGAAAACAGGATCTGGGTTACAAGCCTTGTCTCTGTAGTCGGAATATCTATCCACTATCCATATTCGCTGTCTACCGAATGCCTACCAAACAGTGGAGCAAAAGTACTAGCATACATACGACACTCTTTCAAGGCCCCCTTGGGTCGGCAATTGCCGTAGCCGTAGGTGTTACCACTGTCAATGTGTCAGTTACCCAATAGTCGACGCAAATCCCAGGAGCGTCCGGTAATAGATCATTGACCTCGCATCTCAAACCAGGCTCACAAACAGCTATCGGAGTGTTGGGACCGGGAAACCCCAGACATGGCTTCCCTTTGCCCACCTTATTGTGAAGAAGCCTATTGCTCAGTTCTAAAAAGGATGAAGAAACACCATAACCGACCTACCACAACAGTATTGTGCGTAGCAGTGGCTACTGCAGTAGTAACGTCCGGTGTTGCCTTTTTATTTTCCATCCTAGATTTGAGCTCTTGCATAACTACGCTAGGTCAAAAAACCAGCATACCTGAACGCACACCCCCATTGCATCCGGGTACGTTTCTTGAATCCAGCAGCTGAGGTTTGATGGACACTTGAACCCGGCGAAACCTCCACATGGGAGCTAAGCAAAGGCCTTTTACCCTTGTATGTTTGACTATGGTAACGAAAACGAGTAAGGCTACTCACGGCAGTCCTAGTTCCCACTATGGTCTGACTAAATACGGGACTGATGAGAAGAATTGCGATTAGTGGGTTTGGCATATGCATGGTGCTTGTAAGCGTTTTGACGACAAAACAATGTCCTTGTAAAGCTTCAAGTGCATTCGTCCAGAACATACGCGGTACGTAAGCAACGCCAGTCATGTTTACCTCTAACTTTTGCCCATTAAGCGCCATTTTCCAATAGGCCCTGTCAATAATCTGTTGCTGCTGCTTATTACCAATGTCAACGCTCATTTGGATCACATCAATGAAATCATCTATGGCAAAGATCATAAAGAACTAACTAAGACAAGGCATAAAGGAACCATATCATTCATCTCAATTGAGAAGCTGCTGGCTACGAAAGCTCTTTCGCGGATATCGACTTCATGTGAGCACGACTCTTGCGCGAAGAATTTGACTCTGGATCGTTCATGAATTGATCTGAAATTGCCGAAACCCAGCAAGGCGACTGCCAAATGTCCAAAATATTACGGTAGTATTGACGGCGATGGCGATGGTATGGTTGCGACGTAGGCTCTACAAAGCCGTATCGTGCAGACATATGTGCTTACGATAATACACACTAAGCATTAAACCTGAAGTTAGTTGCTATGCGCGCGATATGACCGATGTATTCGAGCTCAGTAACTCTAGCCTATAATATCCTGGTGAACATCACGGGTCAACTTTAAAAGCCAAAAAGTTTATTTTCCCTTTGCATGTGATTCGGTAAGGGTATTCATCGTCACCAGATCGTATATACAACTACTTACAATACCGTCCCCTCGCAAAAATCCAAAACCAACATAATATAGATACAAGTGAACTGCGCCATTGGCGACTCTAATACACCAACATACCCTATAGATAACCTTTGCTCTCTCAAATTTTTCTCCCCTAGAGACCATTATTAACGATCGGAACCTTGTCAAGTTGTATGCCACGCTCTTGCGATACTACCTGACGTTGCTAGCTTAAAGCATTTACGCGTAATTAGGACTCGAAAGCTGACTTGTATGTTCCTCATCTGGCCCCCCACCGTGGCCCCCATTCGGGATGCTGTTGGACACGGTACTTTGAATCATTTGATGAAGTTGTGCGTCCCGCACAGATTTTTCCAAGTGCAGCTTTCGCCGCGGATTCTTTCGTTTGTGTCTCTTTTTACAAGTAGGACTCTCGGAATCAATCAGATCCTGTCGGTCGTTGTCAGAAAAGGACATCCTTTTGTTCCCGACACTCGTAGAAGGGTCTTGTTCACTATCCTCGCCTGTTTGCGAGCCGCTCGCAGCAGAGTAGGAAGCTGTATCGCTAACCTGTTCCACATTCATATGCCCATTCGTCTGACTCGACTCTGCGGGCAAAGTACAAGGGCTTTTGCATGCCCTATGCACATGTTCCACCTGACGTTCACTGAGGGCGGGTCTTGCTACGTTGCCCAAGCTTGTCTCTGAATTCTGTGTGTCATCTGGTGCCACATACTCTGCCATAGTATCATATACTTCCATCATCCAAGGACTCTTGGAAAAGCACACTAGTTCATGCACAAAATGTTCAGTGTGCGACGAGAGGTATTCTTCCAATGCACTCTTCGCCGCCTGAGACTCCAATCCTTCCCTGAAACCCACGGAACTGTGAATATTGGTCCCATGAGAGGGAACGAAGAAGAACGTACCTTTGTAATATCGCAATAATCACGTCGATTATCATTTCGACATCGTCGATACGAAGCAGTACTTTCAAGTCACGTCGAATCCACGGCACCAATTTCTTTATAAGATCGGGATTGCGCTTGAACAGCTCTGGAGTAATTTCTTTGAACTTGGAATCTCTGGTAACCGGCATCGTTTTGGCTCGTAAACCATGGGCATAGATATGCCTGGGCGACGAATCAGTCAGCGGAAGGCGATCAGCAGTTACGATTCTCAAGCAAGCCAAGGAATACCTTCTAAATGCATCACCGGTAACCATACGAGGCTGTTCTAGCAGAAAATGTCTATGTGGCTCCCGATTTGCTGCCCGAGGTGTGCGTCTATACATGTTGCGATTGCGGGTCCGGTAGCGGACATCTGAACGGCTGAAAAACGGATTCGTGTAGTGATCAATGCGCAGATTCGTAAAAGAAAGGCGTTCTTTAGGAAGCATACCTAAAGTGCTGAGGCCAAGCTTCAGTTACATCCGCAAACTCATACTGCAAAGAGTGAAAAACAGGTCAGATAACTGGAGAGAGCTCTGGCAGGCGACCCAATAGGATACCTTCTCATATCCATCATTGCCTTTTGCGGGCACCACTCCAAATAGGATGGTCTGTCTGCATTCGGGGCATGCACGTCCACACTGAGCCCACTGACAAATGCATTGAAAGCAGAACGAGTCTGCCGGTGGCATGTCCAAGAGCAGTCAGTAATGCCGTTCTTGACAGAAACTACTTTAGGCGAGCACTTACGGTAACACGGGTGGACAAACATTCTGGACAGCATGGGCTGTAAGCAGATGGAGCACGTCGGGCCTTCGTCGTCGCTGTACGTGTGCTCTTCCGCACCAGAAGAAATGTCTGGCTCTCCCATATCCGCCTCTTTGACGTCTGCAAGCTCATCAGCTGAGGATTTCACTATACAAGCCTCGGATTGTTTACAATGCACAAGGCATGACTGGTGTGGACTGTGAGGGCATCTTGGAACAACGCTGGTAGATCGAGCCATGCCCGTCTCAAAGGCTGCAGCAGCAAGTCGGAGGGTCAATTCATGTGTAATCGATGTTGGTTGGAATGCATAATGACAAACGATGGGTCGAGCCACAACGTAATCAAGTCGGTAGTGCTTTATTGATCATTGCTACTGATATCCTACTGCTATTTCTGATTCAAATTGCCAATTTCCCATGCGGGCCAATCATGTTTCTTTTCTTTTTCAATACTCTGCCCACCTTTGAGATATCTAATATTACTCTGCAAGCCCATCTTACCAGTCCGTCCCGTAGGAAATACGGGCACGGCTCTGATTTCAGGTAGAAGACCGATTCCGATAGAGAGACGCACCATCTACGTCCACCCTTCGTCGCTGCTCTCGTAACTTGGCAGTTCATGATTTATCGTGTCTGTCGCCACTGGTGGGACATCTCGCAGCTCATCGGCCGAATCGTCGACGTCCATATCTTCCTGAGTTGCTTGATCCAAAATCACAAATGGGTCCTCTTTGATAGATCCTGAATTTCTATGCGCGCTCGGCCGTGAGATATTATGCTGCATATCTATATCGGAACGACAGTTAGCGAGTGATTACAAGTCGAATCACAAATGCGAGTACCGTGTAGGGTGTCTTCTCGATCCAGATGTTCGCCGATCGATAAATGATACATCTTGCTCGTGTTGTCAGAGTTTGCTTGTGAGGTACTTGATATCATTGATTCCCCCCTTGATTCCCTGCGAGAGATGGACAATGGCGTCTCCACGTCGAACCCTAGATCCGGTAAGTCTTCCAAGTACTTGTGGTCCTCATCGCCAATTATCCAAGCTTCCTGCTCAGCTGCCCAGGTTGTCTCTACAACTATTGATGAATCTGACAGGTATCCGGAGGCAGGAGAACGGAGCGATGCATCCGTGCTGACCGTCACGGCATTAGGAATGGAAAGGGGAGTGGGTAGCTGTCGCGGCGGGGAGCGTGGTCGGTTCCTAAATGGAAGTTGCATTTTGACGCTGTTGTGAAGACCAGTCCATTCAAATTTCGTTTTGCCTCTATCCTGCACGGCTGGTGGTAATATTGGTACAAGCTCTGGTACGGAAACTTGTTGACCTGGTGACTGTCGCAATCTATTGAGCTCGGAACGTCGTTTGCGTGCTTTCCTCCCCAGTCTTGGGCTTGTATCGACATATACCTCTGATCGTGATGTTTCATTAAAGGAAGTATCTGACTCGGTGGTCGTTGAGCCAAGGTTGACCCCAGTCTGCTTTGCACTAGTAATCGTTACTGGAACCGTTATTCCATTGACAGACCGCCATAGCGGTATCGGCATATCTTCCTCAATCCGTGCTATTAAAACGGGATATGGCTGGTTGCGGGTGGGAAACGTGTAAAGCTTTCCTCGTGGGAGAGCTGCCTGTGGCATAACCATAGGGGGTTCAGCGGCGAATACAGACAAACAGACGCTTGGCTTTAATATCTCAACTTGAAGCTTGGAAAGTAATGTGCAGGTGCAAAGGTCAAAGTTGAAAGTTCAAAAAAAAAGGAAGGAACTGACAGGTCGGAAGCTTTTGGGAGACGTCAAATAATTAAGTGGCAGCTTGTCTGTGATCGTGCTGACATAATCACCATGATCGACCATCTGCAGGTTGCGGGGTAACTTTGTACGGATGAGTAAGACTGCGAAAAGACCTAAGTGCATAGCATGGTATCTTTCACTATAGCATAGGAGTGGAGATCCGATATTCATTAGGCACAGGCCTATCTATAGTATGGAGACTTACCAGGCAGCCCAATAGGTTCGGACGTTGGGTCCGCCAAAAGCGTTCCATGTGTACCATCATCATCCTCTTCTTTTACAGTTGGATTTCTCCTAGTTATCCCTATCGAGTATCTGTAAAATTATGCTACGAAACACAGATTGCTCCTTCACACACTGCAACTTCTTTGGATGCACGCTTGAAATGCTACAGTCTGTTATCTCTTATGGATTTGTCGAAAAAGAAGATGCACAAAGACGTTGCTTGGAGGTGACAAGAATGAACTGAATGTCACGGCCATCGTAACCGGGATGAATACGATACTGCCTATACTCTGGCTGGTGTCAAAATCCAGGACCCTCAGTCAATGACAGTAAGGAGGCCTTTTGTATGGGACCGATTCTGCACCGTTACGAGTGATCGTTTGTGGTCCCGTGGTCATTTGGCTTCTTTTTTAGGTGCCAATAGGCAGTACAGACGAATGCAATGAAGATGTGTGCACTAAAATAGTTTGTCACAGCTAGATTTAGAAAACGAGTAGCCATTCAAGCCCGTTCAGAAATTCAAGTATAAACACTTGCTACAGTGATATGTATATTTTCATAGTCAAAGTCACATCGTCGGCTACAACGAGGGTATTTCTATGATGAATATATTCTACTAAAGGTCTATGACATTTGGGTATACACAACTCTATACAACTATGCTTTTTATACAGATTTCAAACACTTCATAGAAAGTCACTAAAGACAGTCACCACTCATCAGATATGAGGCATTGACATCAGCACTCAGCACCAGGGCCCAAACGAAATGTCAAAATAATGATTCAAATGGCTCAAGATCCCTAAAGGAGTGACAATAGCCAAGGCCACATTCTTGGCCAGATTTTCAGCGTTAATGCAGGAAGGAGACTCCAATTCGTTGGCTCCGCTGCATTGACGAATGTTTGACTTGCTGGGGATATAGTATTCCTCTTCGTGGTGCAGATAGCCCCAGTCGCGGAAAGGAATGGAAGTAACTTGCATTTTCCAATTAGTTGGAGTTCTACGTTAGGATAATTCTGCTGCTCCAGCTACTCACCAACATCGCCCCATCCCGTTACACGATGGAAGCGAATGGGAAGAGAGTTGACCCAGCGGGCATAGGCCGCATTTCCAACGCTACAGGATATGCGTTGTCAAAAATTGTCCAACACTGGTAAGAATCCATAGACAGGAGAAACGTACCGAGGCTCGCCGTAGGTGTAGACAGTTATCCTTCCGGCCAAGCTATTTCCAAAGTGATCGAGCAAATCCACAGCGGAAAGCACGCTTATGGCTCCTCCAAGACTGTGTCCAGCGACATGAATTGCATAATTCTTACGTTGTGGGTCATTCAGAAGTTTTCCCACAGCAGCACGAACGTGATCGCGAGCAGCCAAGTAAGTGTTTTGGAAACCGTAGTGGATTTGCGCATCAGAAGGAGCCGTCAAGTGCTCGCCACCTAGGCAAAGTTCCGTCTTCCAAAGTAGCATATCGTTTGCAAAGTTTGAAGGAGTGAGACTGCCCCGAAATGCAACGATGATGGCTCTTTGTGCATCGTTGTAGGCCACCTGCATTAGATTGACGTTTGAATTAAGGAACAGTTCCATATAGTCATGAATGCTTACAACGTACATAGCCAACGGACTGGGATTTGGTAAAGTACTCTGTGATGACGGTACCAGAAGTAAGAGAGGTAGTACATCGCTCTCGGCAGTCCCAGTTCTTGTTAAGAAAGAACTTTAAACAATCTTTTAATATCCAATGATTGTCAATCTCATGTGTAAGAGGCTGTTTAAATCTCAATTAAAAACCTACATGCCGCGGCCGCATATGCCTGATGTCGTTTCAATTCCGTCAGCAAGGTAGGGCTTACTGCTCGAGCGACCAGATCCGAGGTTCGGGTCATCAAAGTGGATGGCAGAGAGGCAGATCCGGAGCCAGTTTGAGCTAGATTCTCGGAGACCTGTTTGATTGCTGGCGTGCTGAGGTCTTTGATCATGTCGGGTGTTGCAGTGGCATTGTAAGACTGAGATGATGAGCATAGAACATGGATGTGATTAAATGACCATATTTCTGAAAAAGCAGATATATATATACATACGGAAGACAGGAAATCAAGTCTGGCTTTTTGCATCTCTGCATCACTAATTGCACTACTAGTAGGGGCGGCCCATGCATTGGGAAGCATGAGAGCAACAGTGGCAAGGCAAGTCAACAACCGCATCTTTGAATGGGGAGTCTGGTGAAATCGCCTTGCGAGTGAACTTGAAAAAGACCTGGACAAAAAGCAGATGGGTGATGGAAGATGCTTGTGCCTATTTAACTTTTGTGCACACCCCCTGGGAGCCGCTGTCCCCGACAAGGTAAACCACTGTCGCAGACAGTCCACTTTAAAAATCCCTTCATTCATAAGGCTGAAGAATAAGTTTCTGAAGAAGGTCAACTTTTTGTTGTACATGTTTTATAGAGCTTTTCTTGAATCTCCTTCATGGTTTTGACTAGCAAGTGTAACGCTTTGGGTATTTGGTTGTAAATCAGCAGCGCTTCAAGTCTTTCCACGTTGACTCAATTACACCAAGCCATAAGAACCTTTGCATCTCTCTCGCAAGTGCCAACACAAGGCCCTCGATGATGTTTCCCAACACCGTTGGACTAGCCGCAAAACAAGCAAGATTATCACCTCCCCCACGCGACCAAACCCACGGTCAAAAAAAACAAAACTTGTTTATTACACCAGCAGGAAAATGCTGTTGTTTTCGTCAAAGGACAATCTCGTCATCTTTCCATTGCGCGGATCGAACGATCGACAAGCGTTGCAGTTGTGCCCTGCTGTTCACGCCGAGTGTTCAAGTGTTCCAGTGTTCTTTTTGCCTTGTACATCTTACCGTGCAAACTCTATGAAAACCTACAGACCATCAATCGAAAGTGAACTGCTTCGATGGGCAAATGTGCCAACTGCATATCGGTTATCGTTACATTCAGTCTTTACTTAATGTAATCCATCCGCTATGATGGCATATCCGTTGAGTTGACAAAACAAAACAAAAAAAAACAAAAGCAAAAAGACGGATAGCCAGAATCGAACTGTGCTGACTGTGCCACCAGCAAGATGGCCTCGTGAACTGCTGCCTGCGTGTGTCGAGGTCGACATGATCTTGTTCATTTGTCGTAGATCCCAATTCAACAATCAATTCCTGTCGTCCATTAGTAGAGTCAAACAAATGTCAACGCACCAGGTAATGGATTATTCAGCATGGTCAAAGGAGGATCTCATAGGACGAGTTAAAGAATTGGAGACCATCGTGCAAACTGGGAAGCCCAGCCAAAAGGCAATAAATCAAGAGTGCAAGTGCACACCTCCTACGACGAAAGCAAAATTGCGAAAGAAAGCAGCACCCCGACCATTTGATTTTGAGGCTCACCCGCTCCGCCCAATTGCCCTCCGTCTTTCGTACCTAGGTTGGTCCTATCATGGCCTCGCCTCCCAAGAAACTGATACCGTCCCTACCGTCGAGTCTCACGTATTTAATGCCCTAATGACTGCTAAACTGATACCCGATCGCAAAGCATGCCAGTTTTCAAGGTGTGGACGAACAGACAAGGGAGTGAGTGCTTTCGAGCAGGTCCTTGGATTGTGGATCAGGAGTTCATTGTGCGCTAGCACGGCCGGATTAGTGAAGGGGTGGGAAAACACGGAACCAGCAAAGAAGGGTGTGATGAAAGAGTTGGGTTACTGCGATGTGGTGGATGGGGAGATGGATTATGTGGGTATTTTGAACAGGATCTTACCGAAAGACATACGAGTCTTGGGGTGGAGTCCGGTCCCGCCAACCTTTGATGCCAGATTTGACTGCCAATATCGCCGATATAAATACTTCTTTCCTGCCGGAGCATTGGATATTCGCGAAATGAGGACGGCAGCATCACAGTACATTGGTGTACACGATTTCCGAAATTTTTGCAAAGTCGATCCAGCCAAGAACATTTCTTCCTACGAACGCCGAGTTCTGGATGCAGATATAAGACCATTGGGCCTAGAAGATGACCCCAATTGGGCAGACGGTCCTAATGGAGATGGATTGGATGCGGAGACCGGACAGGCACCTGAAGCGGACAAATGTTATGTCTTTACCGTCACAGGCCACGCCTTTCTCTGGCATCAAGTGCGCTGCATGATGGGTATACTCTTTTTGGTCGGATTACGAAAGGAGCCCTCAAACCTCCCCACAACTCTAATGGATCTGTCAGCGCATCCCCCAAACAGTGGTCGACCAGCTTACGACATGGCAAGCGAGATACCCCTTGTCCTTGTCGAGTGCGGTTACCCTACGGACATGTTACGATGGCACCAGGATGATGCTGAGAGCATCAAATTGGCCCATGGATTGCGAGAGTTGTGGAGAGATTATGCTGTGAAGAGTACACAGATTGGTCGGTTGATTCAAGGTGTCGTTGGCATGGACGAAAGACGATTGTCATGGGTATCTGGTAAAGAAAAGTACGTACCGGTGATGAAGCTGGGGAGATGCGATTCTGTTGAAGAAAGAATCAGAAAGAGCGATGACGCAAAGACGAGGAAAAGAGGAGCAGGAACTCCAGACAAGGTCAATGATGCTGGAAAGCGGCCCAAGATGGTCGAATGAGGGACTTTGCAATTTGTACATAGATGACGCAAGGCATGGAGCAATTGTAAATGACTGTAACAAGACGCTCAACTTTTATAGATGGCGTAGAATTTTCGAATATATTCACAGTAAATATAATAACGATAAACTTGACCAAACTCTGCAATCAAGATCTCCTCCGTCGTTTCTTGCTTCTTTTGTCCCTGTCATCCTCTGACTCTGACTCTGACTCTGAAGACGACGAATCGCTGTCGCTTGATGACGAATCCGAAGAATCCGACGAAGAATCTGAACTGGAGGAACTACTAGAGCTTGAGCTCGACTCCGAATCTGAATCACTGTCACTCCCACTCTCACTGCTATCTTCCCCCCTTTCCCTCCTCTTTTTTCGCAAGATTTCATCTGCAAGTCCCTTTTGTGATCGTCTGAGACCAGTTGGATCTTTTTTGACCATGGCACTTGGGAGGATGGGTTTGGAAAGCTGTTGCGTGCGAGTTGGACGAGATACATACGGACGGGTTGATTTGCATTCATATGTCCAGTGACCGTAACCTGTTGACAACAGAGGGTGAATAACGGTGAAAAGTTCCAGGCAGCCCCGTGTGCGTTCCTTACCTAGACATTTTTGGCACTGCCCTGGCTGCTGGCGACCACGCCTAAAGGTGGAGATTTGGGAAAGAGATTCAACCGGGGCTGTTGGAGCACCAAAGATGGGCGGTTGTGTCATTTCTGTCGATTGGAATTTTGATTTTTCAAGACGATTTGCTAGCTTCTCGTCCCTGCACTTCCCTTCGGACGAATCGCGACTGTGCCACTTGCAAGGCTTTGAAGATGCAAGTTGCAGCTGAACACTTTGGGCTGTTTTCTTCCTTTGATGTCGGGCGCCTGGGGCTTTCGATCTTTGAATAGCAGATATCTCAGCGTTGGTTTGCTCATCCGCCAACAGGGAACATGAGAGATGAAAAGGTTTTGAATGATCCAAAAGCCATCTCGCGAGTCATTACAAGATCTTGCAAAAAACAATGCCGCAAAAGCGACAGCACAACTAGATCTGTAAACAAACTTTATACTTATTTGAGCCTTTTCACTGTATTTTTATTTCTTGTTAATGATATTTCTATTTACTTGCTGTATAAGTTCTACAAAAATTCTTTATACTTCACTTCAAATAATCTCTATGTGCATTGGATGTACTTTCCAGCATTGCTGCATGACGTTCCAGGTGCGCATGCCATTTCTATCGGGGTAAAATTGGGATATGTAGGGTTGCAAACGAGAAATGAGTCCTGGCCGGAACAGACCATAAAATTATCCCCGCAAAGGTCGTTGCCCTTGGGGAGCTGCGCGGGGCCGGGGCCGGTGGTTGGATTTGGTGCCGTTTCCGTCGCCTGGGGTCCGGGGCCGTCAGGCGCTGGCGGCAAGGACCCCGAGTCAGTGGGGAATGGCGGCAACGAAGGGATTGTCACTGGCGGCAATGGCCCCGGGTCAGTGGGCAACGGCAGCGATGGCCCTGCCGCCGTGGTCGTCGGGGGCAATGGCACCGGGTCACTTGGGATTGACGGCGGCGATCCCGGGCCATCGGGGATTGGCGGTAATTGTCCAGGGTCACCGGGGATTTGTGGTAATGGTCCTGAACCACCGGGGCCAGGAGGCGATGGCGCACCCTTCGTGGAAACTGACGGCAATGGCGTTGGCACTGGGTCAGCGGGGTTGGGAAGCGGGGGCGTCGGAACAGCAGTCCCCGCTGGCACGGAAGTCGTGGCATCTCCGTTCTTTTTGCCCTTGTTCTTGCATGGCTTCTTGTTCTTATCATTCGTACGCCGGTTTATCACTCGCGAAGGTCGGGGAGGTGCGGCAATAGGTAGCAGATCTGGCGTCGGGGAGAAACCCTTGTCCGTTGCTACTTGACTGAATCCACTTTTTGGCCCATTTCCTTCAAGTGTCAAGCCGCCACATTCCAAGAAGAATTGGTTTGGATCCGTCGTGTTCATTCTGAATCCAAACACGATGTCCTGCGTAGGGCCGTCGGTAGGAGTCGGAAACTCAAAGATTTTAGTTCCGTTGGCAAGGCAGTCGTTGCGGGACATAGTATTCATAATACGAAAGTTCTTGCCGTCGTGAGACTGAAAAAATTCGCAGCCCCCGTCACCGCGACGTCCATCCCCCCTTATTTCTAGGTTAACAGGCCTACCGCTCCTGATCTTCCCCAAAGGCTTCAGAAGTTTTGCCTCGCAGGGATTAGGGTTCATCGTACGGTCGATGGGCTCTCCAAGGTTCATCGAGACTTGTAGAGGAAAAAGGTCTCTGGGTCGCAGAGATGCGGGAGATGGGGGAGGTGGGGCAACAGGTTGCAGATCTGGCGTCGCGAGGAGGGAGAAACCCTTGTCCGTTGCAGGTTGACTGAATCCACCTTTTGTTCCATTTCCTTGAATTGTAAAGCCGGCACAGGCATAGAAGAGTTGTTGTCGATCATTTGTGTTCGTCACAAATGCATATACGATGTTCTGCGTAGGGGCTTCGGTAGGAGTCACAAAGTCAAAGGTTTTAGTTCCGTTGGCAAGGCAGTCCTCGGGGGACAAACGGTTCATAACACGAAAGTTCTTGCCGTCGTGAGACTGACCAAATTCGCAGACCCCGCCGCTGCGAGTCCAATTGCCCCTTATTTCTAGTCGAACAGTGGCACCGCTGGTGATATTCCCCAAAGGCTGACCAAGTTTTGGTTCGCAGGGAGTAAGTTCCCCCTTAGGCGTGAAGGGCTCTGAAAGGGACATCCCGACGGTTAGAACGGGGGCTTTAGGGTCGGCTCTGGGAAGAGGGTGGGCCAAGTGCACATTTGTTTTAGCTGCTGCGCTCGAGGCAAGAGCCAAGATCACTGCTGCAAAGAGTTTGTGCATTTTAGTGAGTAATCACACAAGGTCAGATCTGATGGTGAAAGGAAGCGTTGAATGCACCCCTTTTTATATTCGGTTTTTTTTTTTCGATCGCCAAGCACAGCTTTGATGACCACAACATAAGTCATCGCAGGGTCTACAATACATTATTCAGGATCTCTATTTTGTCGTCCGGGTATCTGCCCCGAGTATCAGACGAACGTCCACGTCCTTGTAGGACGTAAGTGGTCCAACATTTTGAAGGGGACATTTTCGTGAAGGCTGGGTTGGGCCTATATCTTACTAGTGATATATGTCCCTCAAGTATTCCAACATACAGAGGCTTCTCCATAGGTTGGCCAATTGTTCCAAAGTTTGTCGACGTTGGATCTGCAATACGAAAACCGCATAGAAGAAAGCAACTGGACCCACAACACTTTAGGTACAAACCTGAGATCACTTTAATAACCACAATGGATCAACAGTTCCTGTTGTCTTGGGCCCCGTAACAAAAGATCCCCGAAACTTTAAAAGTTGCATGCTTGGCAAAGTGTTCCGGTAATCAAGATGATACAAAAGACTACAAGACTATGGTGCTCTAGCGCCATAAATATTCTTTTGGTCGCCTTTTCATTCCTGGTGACATTTTCAACCAGCCAAATTCAGATTGAGCTTGGAGCTTTTGGAACAGCATAGCCTGCCTGATTGGCGTTCCTGCGATCGCTGGTCTTTGTCTGCACCAACTGCCTACCTGATACTGTTCCACACACTTTTAAGAATGAACACCTTCTTTGTACGGGACAATTGGTGAAGGGAAAAGGACATAACTGGAGACTGTCAAAACCCACAAAACTCCTTCTCCCCAGTCAATGCGAGTGCGGGAGGTACATACTCCAGTCACCAAAACAAAATCCACATGGCAAACGTCTTTGCATCTGCAAGACTCGCAAGCGACGGAGGAAACCAAACAGCTTGAGTACACGTGATACAAACACGTGATTCCGGTTAAATGCATGACCTCATCTTTTCAAATCCCGATCATTTCCGATTCCTTTTGCAAACCTTCGCCAGCGAACGTTCCATTCCCAATTTTCAACACGCTCAGGACTCTTTGAACGGGCACGCACGAGTAACCACACAATGGCAACAAAAGCATACACTATTGAGCAAGTCGCTTCCCACAAGTCTGCCGACGACGCATGGGTCGTTGTAAACGGCAAAGTTTATGACGTGACAAAATTCTTGGATGATCATCCTGGAGGCAAAAAAGTGTTGTTGAAGGTGTGTACCTAGTTTCACTCAAAGGTTGGTACTGCAGAATCACTTGAACTGTTGCTTGCATAGAACTGTGGAAAGGATGCCTCCAAACAATTTGAACAATTCCACTCGGGCAACGTCCTTGAAAAGTATGGACCAAAGTTGTTGATTGGTGAGGTCTCTCCCTCGTCCAAGCTCTAAAGAGGCGAGCGATGGAGCGACGTATGCGATTGTCTATTTTGGTGGAGACAAGCGCTGTTCTTGGTCCCTGCTTGAAAACCAAGAAAAGGGGACAGTGTATATCATAGAGTTTGAGGAAGAAGTCTAATTTGATAATATAGCAAAAAAAAGTATCCAAATCACAGAAACTGTTCAAGTCAGACCTTCCTCTCCACTTCTCGCACTTTTGTCAAGACATCTTCCAGCTGCTTCTTGTTATCGTGGACCTCCTTCCGTCGCGCTTCAATCGCGTCTTCTAGCAACTTGATGACGGACACCAAAGGCTCAGCGACAACGCGCTTGAATTCTTTGTCATAAGCCGTCTGCCATGTGCAAAAGTGTGTCAAAAATTAACAGAACAAAACCTTATCTATAACCTTGCTTACTCACCATGAGATTATCCTTCAGCGTCTTGTGCCCTTGACTGACTTTCCCCCAAAACCGTCCTTCGAGCATGCCCCACCGTACCTTCATCCACCCAAACCCACCCGCACTAGCCCCAAGGGCAGAAGGAACCATGACCGCTATAGGGACACCCAAATGCACACCCAAAAGTCCAGAGACATACACCACCAATTGATATCCAATTTGTCGTCGCACTAGCTTTTCCGCACTTGATTGCAGATCATCGCAATGTCGCGTTTCATCAAACTTGGCAATCTCATTGCGAAGGAAGAATGGATCCACTTCGCTTCCGGGTGCGGGAGGGGTTTGTTGTGCAAGGACTTGACCAATGCGTGAAATGTCTTGCTGAAGGGATCGCGCAACACCAGCGGATACATCTATAGAGGCTAGGTCGAGCAAACGCTCGAGCGACTCTCCAACCCTCTGGTAAAGACCGTACAACCCTTCGTTCAACTTTCCAATGGCATATACCATTTGATACTCGGCCTGCAGCAACGAATTTTCTCGCATCTTGGATTTGAGGTCATCGGACACGAAGTCGCTTCTCCAGAAAAGCTTCCAAAACTTGACTTTGTCGAAATACTCGTGAATAGCGTCCGAGAGCGACGAGACACTGTACTGAACCGCGGCAAGATCACGAGTCTCAAAATCCCGTACCAAACGCTTTTCTGTCTCGACAATGCGCGTCGCTAAATGCTTCAGTTCCTCCCGCGCTTGATTGAGCGCCCGTTCGGTTGCATTCTGGCTGTCCGCCAGTCTATTCAATGCCCTTCGCGCAGTGAAAGCTGCTGCCCGCATTTTATGCGCGCCCCGATCCGCTGGGGTATCTAGTCGTGAAATCACAGTAGACTTCAAGTCTTGCAGGCCAGATGCGCTCCACTGTTCCGCAAACGTTGCTGGTGGCTTTTTGTCTTTCAATAGTTGCTGTGCGGCTCGCGCTTTCCGAGTCGAGACGGGCACCACGGATGATACTCGGGGTCCCTCATTGGAGCCTGCCAAAGTTCTCAGCCGTGATCTCACTTCTTCAAGAACCTCCAATTTATCCTTGCTTTCTTGATCTAGCCCATCCACGGCCACAACCAACCCTCCTTTGCCATTCGCATAAAAGTTTTCCAGAAACTGAACCTCGGAAGGACTCGTCAACCGCCTATTTACGTCCGTGGCCAGAATGATGAGATCGGTGCGGTATATGACATCCTCTATGCGATGCTTATCGATGCAGTCGAGGCCTACACCGTGTTCATGTGTCGGTAATGCATTATAATAGAGTCGTGTAGCACAGGTTGTACGCACCAGGCAGCTCAAAAACTTCCACATTGTTCCTCAATAGCCAATCAGCCGGACATTTGACATCCACATATCCGCCCGTTGCACCGGCCACTTGTTCCACCTTTGAACCATAGCTGGGAATCCAAAATCAATTAGATCTTCACATATGATTTCCCAACGTACACAGTCTTGAGGGCACCTGATCCTTCTAATACCGGCATTCGAGGATTCTATCGATTCTTTGAGTGGGTTCTCAACCAGTGCATTCACCAGCGCCGATGTACCAACATGTCGCTCGCCGACAACTACAAAGCAATGCCCATCACGATCATGCTTTCTCAAAGGATAAGTCAACTGAACATACCAGTTATTCTAAAACAGCTGTCGAAATCGACTCCAATTCTTCCAAGCCAAGCAGCATCCCGTTCTCCAATTGACACCTGAAGTTCCTTTATATGGTTGAGCAAGGTCTGAATTTCGGAACTTGCTTCAGCAGAGAGTTTTCTTGCTGTGGGTTGGGTCGGTGTTGCTTGCGTTGTCAAATTCCGGGAGTTTACAAGTACAACGCGGCCGGACCACCGTGGTCTTTCCTTCCGGGAAATCAGGCGCGAAACGGTTGGTGAAGGCGACACCGACAGGCGAGAAGACGCCGAGCGCATGCACTGTCGGCCGAGTGTGGACAGCATGTTATTTGAGGAATGCCCTTCACGGCGGTGAAGCGGTAGGTTGGCCAATTTGTGGTAGATGGCAAGCAAGGTCGGTCCTTCCCGAATATTGTTGTCATGGCAACAGTCATCATGAGTATTAAACGATGCTCCATGTCAAACTTGGCCAAAAGTCTTGCATGTCAACTAATAATGCACTTCTCTTTGCGATCCAGAGTTCCAAAACGTGCGTGCCAATTTAGAATGTGAAAGGCTCTGATAAAGACCTGGCCAAAAAGGAAATGATCTAAAACCTACTACAATCCCTCCTCAAAACAACGACTCATTTTGTCCTTGCCCAGCCGCAGGCTGGCTCCCAAAAGCTGCAAAACCAGAATTCGCTCCACTTGCCATAGGTCGCACATTAGGTGTCAAATTTGCAGCACCTCCCATCACTGGCCGAGGTTGCGAAGACGTCGCAAACTGCCCAAATTGACCGAATCCACCCATTGCACTTGTCGACCCTAATGCATTCAAGCTCGGTCCAGCGGCTTCCTCCCGTTTACCCCCACCGGAGAGAGAAGTAGCATCCAAGGAGACAAGTTTCGAGAAGGGATCGTTCGATGCAGGCTAATTCAATACAAATTGTTTAATACACACACTGAGGATAAAGCAGTTACGTATCTAGTACCTTTGTAAATCCGCCAGAGGACGCTGACGATGACGATGGTCCCACCAAGGTTTGTTGTCCAAAGGCCGGAGGAGCTGCACCTCTCGAGGCGTTCATCGAACCGCTTGAAGGTGCACCGAAGCCCCCAAGCAAATCGATGCCCGCGGAGGTTGGTACAGGCACCTGCGCAGGTGGCGCAAAGTTGGCAAAGTTGGTAGTCGATGACCCTTGAGGGAACACGCTAGAAGATGGAATAGGAGGGGACGCAAACGACGCAAACGGTTGCACAGGTGCAGTGACAGGGGCGATAGGAGCACTCTGAAAATCAGCGAAATCGTCAACCTTCTTGACAGGGGCGGTCGCAGTAGATCCCCCTGAAAAATCGCCCCAATCATCGTCGCCGGTCCCCACGTCCAACAAGTTAACACTTGGTGTTGTAGTTTGAGGGCCGGCAGATGCGGTGGTGGTGCTGCTTTTCCCTTTGTTTGCAGTCTCCTCAGTACGAGATGATCCATTTCGAGCAGACGATGGACGATCATAACGATCTTGTCCAGACCGGGAACTCTCATCATCATCTTTGAACCCTCCTCCGTACCCTCCTCCGTACCCACCGCTCGAAGAAGAGTATGACTCGGATTCTGGCCCGTAACCGCCATATCTGCTTCCGAATCCGTTAGAAGCCATGCCCGTATATTTAGCTCTATTTTCTTTTGCTTTTCTTCTTTCTGCTTTTATTTTGTCGTTATCCGCCAATAACTCCGCAATCTCTTTGGCGCGGTTTCGGACTTTATTCGTCGAAGCGGTACTTTATATCAATTTCAGAATAAAAGCACTACATTGTTTACTATTGCTCTTACCGTTGATACCCTGGTCTTTGCCCTTGTCATCGATGTAGTGAAAGTTTTTCAAAGCTTTCAATTCATATATGCGATCCCTAGCAGTGTCGATAACGCGTTCTGATCCATTCTTTATTAAATATTCCAAGAGCTGAAGAGCCTGGTGACCATCAAAGGCATTAATCAATCGGCACAAAATTGAAAATACATGACACATCAACCAGGTGCTAACCTTGTAGATCTGCCTCCACTGAGAACCGCCCTTTTCCTGAAACCGGGTATAAACTGTGTCCATGATTTCGGCAAAGTGCGTACTGGTTTGACAAGCAGGATTTGTAAGTTCAGCGGTCCTTGATACTAATGAGCATGGTGAATCCTGCACATACTAATGACTTGTTCCAGCCGCAATGTCTTGCATGAGAGTGGAACTGGCGCCCCCTAGAAGCGAGAAGGGACTATGGTGAGAATCCAGAACTGATGTTTACCAACCACCCGTGAATATGACATACATGGCTCATTATTTGTCGCATCGCGGACCTTGATTTCATATTCTGTGTAATTGTAAACTGCATTTTTCACCTTATTCACCATAGAGGTGATTTTGTACACGTCCACATAGTCCTTCAACTTGTCGAGATCCATGCTGTGCACTTTTGGCCTTGGATAGGTCAACAGATGTCCAGTTACAGAAGGGACGATAGCTCGCCGCTACGAGGGAACCGGCCCAGTCGATGCGCTAACAAGCCCAAATCTGTCAGCTCGTCTGTCAGCACGTCGTTCAAGGAATCTCAACGCGTTTCGCAGCTGTTTGCGCAATTCGATGTGGCTCTTGACGGGGGCTGATGCCAATTTCCCAGGTGGTTGCAGGTCCCTTATCCCAAAAGCTCCCATTCAACTACGAGTGCCCGCGTTTACCAACCTGTCGGTCCACGTGCCGCCGCAATTTGCTCTGGTAGCCATGCCAACCATGAATAAACTCAGTGACTGAAACTTTAGTTGATGGCACAGCTCACTGCTGTTGCCTCTTCTCAGCCCAACCTTCCTTGGGTCATATCGCCTATAAATTGGCGACGAATTACGCAAGAGTGATGCGAAACAGCATATGTGCTATGGGCAGTGCAGAGAATACAGATCTCACTGCTCCCTTTATGGGTGGAGTAAGAAAAAGGTCGGCAAGAGACGCGTTCGGTACCGACCCAAGATGGGATGATCCCCGTGGAGGGTAAGCAACTTTCGCTATTACATTGCATGCGGTTTTGCTCTTGTACCTTATACATGTATTCCAAAAAGGGACAATTTTCGCTCTTACAATCCTTCAGCCCAAGCTTCAGCGGTTCAACCATCGCCATTCGTTCTCGCCCATGGTGGCGTTCCATTCTCTACTCAACGTCTCGCCCATCGATCCCTTCCCCAGATATCCTATCAGCAACGCCCGGATCACTTTGTTTTTTCATCATACCCAGCACATCAATCCCATGTCTATGTCCCGCAGTATCCGTCTCATGCTCCGTATTCTTCTTTTCGGGCTGCGTCGGTCCCCGGGGAAGGAGGTGTCGCTGCTGCTGCCGAGGGCGAAGCGGCACCCAATGCAACGTCAAAAGTTATACCCGAAGTAGGCGAGGTTGAAGTCAATAGGAGTGTTAAAGGATTGAGACATTTTAGTCGGTGCGTGGCAGATAAAGTTCAATTGAAAGGAACGACAACCTACAATGAGGTAATAGGGGCACACTGGTTCACATCTTTTGAGCATTGGATAACCTTGCAGCTTCCCAGGTAGCGGATGAGCTTGTTGAAGAATTTACGGTACAGGCTCGAGATACGAATACCGTATGTACGGCTGTTCTGAGTTATCTGTATGTAGCTGAAAATTGACTAGTGCCAACTGCAGAAATTCGACCATAAGAATATTCGGCGTCGAGTATACGATGCCTTAAACGTTCTTATGGCCATGGACATTATTGAAAAAGACCGTAAAGAAATTCGCTGGACAGGCTTGCCCGCGGAAGGGTCCTTTCGAAGGGAGCTGGATGTCCTAGAGGTAGGGACTGTCGAGAGGTTCGAATTGGCGGTTTGTGTAAGCTTAAAGAAATAATTACATAGCGACGCAACGCAGAGCTGCGTGCACTAAACGAAGCGGAAACCCGCAGCGTTAATGAACGTATACGAAAGGTACGGCGAATGAGTTGTGCCACCTTCCAGACTTTGTGTCGTCGTCTTCTGATCATGCAGCCTCTAGCAACGTCTCTTAAAAGGACTTATCCATCGAAACCTTCAAAGAAAGGATGCGGAAGTGACCTCATCATCTATCGGCTTGACAGGGGCTTCATTCACCACGATACCTCTCCCTGAGCATTGTCTACCATTACCATTCCTCATATTAAGTTCCTGCCGAGATGCCGAAGTTAAAGTAGAATCGAATGGAGATAAATCGCAGTGCTGCATAAGTTTCTCCAATCCCTTTGACATGTTGGAAGACATGGAAGTTATAGCCATGGTGGTCGGGCAACAGCAAACGGCAGAAGGGAACGAGGCTATTTTGGACTCTGCATTCACAACCTTCAAAGAGCAACCTGCATTGACGGAGCATCCCGCCCTTGATAATGGTCTTATGGGCATAGGTCAGCACTCCCAACAGCCTATACATCAAGGGAGATCCTTTGGAGGTGAGTGAATTTCTTAGATAACTCTGCAAGAGCGTTTGATAATAATCGATCTTTAATATTTAGAGCCTCATCGAACTTTGCTTTCAGCAAATGCTGCAGCATCGGTAGGCGCCGGTGGCATGGGCCGCGGTGCGTCGCCTTTGACGCTCCCCCTGCCGACCCCATCATCGGCATACGGTACCCCGGTCGGATCTCGACCGGGATCTCCGAGTTGCTTCCAATACCCAGCTCCCGAAGAGTTGTTGGGAATGGTTGGTTTGACAAAGTCTCGAAAAGTTGGCGAGTGACAACACAGCAATTTGACAGTGGGATGGGTGGGTTATTTGACAGATCATGTGTTTATTCCTGTCAGACCGGGAACGTCATAGGTATCTTATCTTCATTTTTGACATTCGCGTGCATACGCGGGGAGGTTAGAACGATGGGGGAGGGAGGGTTTGACATGGACGAACTTTTCGCGGAATTCCTTGTGTGTTTTTTATGTATTTTTCCTTTCTGATATCCACCGACTGTTGAGTCGCGTATATACCCTACTCGGAAGAAAAAATGCAAATATACCCTTAACTTTGCCCTTTTTGCTGTTGAGGTGCTCGATCGCATCGATTTGCAACTTGAAGGATTCTGAAGGAACTTCACCTCCCACGTGACAAAGGATTTGGTCATTGGTGTGAGTCACTCGGCGAATGGGGATAAACTGTTCTAAAAGTTGTGGGAAACGCCGATGATCCGACACGCAATCTCTAGAACACATTACACCTGGTTGATAATAGATGCTGCCATAGTACGCCAGTGCTATATGCTCCTACATTGAGTGCCCTGCCCTGATATCTGTCAAAAGGTGAATGACGCTTATCAGATGGAAGAGTTCCAGAACAAAAAGTGTGACGAAAAAAGAATGTTGTTTTTTGACAAATGTTGTATCGCCCATTCAGATAGTGTAGACTTTCACGATTGACAGCTGAGAGGCTTTGCGCACGGTTTTTTATTTTTATATTGGAAAAAGCATCTTTTCGTCTGCCCATCATGCCTACGAGCCAGAATGAGCGAGTACCAGACGTGACTCGGGCTGCGGAACTTACAGCAGAGTTGAAGACATTAGAGGTACCCTGGGCATTTGACAAAGAGATAAGCAAAATGGCCTTTGATCTGACAAGCGCTATATTAGGCACGGGCAACACACTTTAACGAACTAGCCCAGCAAGTCAATTCCGAAGAAGCAGCATGTCTCAAAGAACTCGCCAAGCAACGCAAAAAGGTGCGAGAGTTCCTACGAGACAAAACGGTGGTGGCTGCTGCTTCCCGTGATCAAGTATTTGCGGATCGGTTGGAAGCGATTAGAAGAAAGCTTCAGCATTTGGAGTTTCAATTCCCAAAGCCTGCCCAGTAAGTAGCAATCCGAGTTGATCGGATTCGTTAATGCAGCCTAGTAATACCTTTTATAGTATCATTCTCCGGTTAGCCTTGGGTAGTACTGCTCCCGTCTCTCTCAAACCGCTAGCCCTCCGTCTCCATTACAAACAAGAGTACGAACTCTTCAAGCTCCGATTCACCTTGATTTTCATTTTCCTTTCGATTGCCAGTCTCTTTATCTACGGCGGTCGTGTCTTGGATGCCATCTATGGATTTGCTATGTTGTACTACTATTGCACCTGTGTGCTACGGGAACATATCTTGTTGGTCAATGGGAGTCGGATAAGAACTTGGTGGTTTGGACATCACTATTTGAGTATCATTCTGAGCGGAGTCATGCTGGTAAGTCAAAAAGTGGGTTTGATGGGACCGTTATCTCGCAATTTTTGTAACTTGCGCAATTTTTTGGTCAGATCTGGCCAGCAACTACTAGCTACAAATCTATCCGGACCCCCTTTTACGTCTTCTGCCTTTACATCAACATTCTCCAGTACTTTCAATATCGATACCAAAGAGCTCGATTGTACGTGCTCGTCGCTCTGGATCGTGCACGGCCTATGGACACTTTGTCAGGAGATGGGTTCTATTCTGGCTCACTGGAACGGGAATTCCTGTTCCTTTTACCTTTTTTGGTTATTGGGCAGCTTTGGCAACTGTACAATGCATGGGATCTCTATTGGCTGTGGGAGAAGCACCCCGCCGAGAAGAGGGAATGGCAACCGTTGGTTGCGAGCGGCCTATTTTTGATTCTTGGGATAGGAAACATGCTTGCTACTGTTAGAACGTGGGTATCAAAGAAGCGGAGTGGGACGGGGTCTAGAAAACGTGCCAAGGATTACATGCTCAGCAATTTACCGGGTAGTCCACCGGTCAGCCCTGGTATTATGACCAGTGGAGTGAACGCATTTCCGTTCCCTCCTTTAGCGGGAAAGGACAGGAACGGAAAGGAGGGGATAGATGGAGTCGGAGAGGGAATGGATAGAGAGACGGACAAGTTGATTAATGGTGTTCTCAAGGAAAAGGCTGTATCATGATGATCTCTGTCTTGCTATTTTTTTCAAAGTGTCAGGCCACCCCGTTTACTACCAGCCCTATGCACCACCCTGTCTAATGCCATATACTCCACACACCATCAATGCAGTCTTTACTAAACCAACTCTTTATCCACCATCCCCATCATCCCCGCCACACACGATCCCGTCATAAGTCATCAATCGAGCACCCGCTGCTACCAACGAGGGCAACGCGACGGAGGAGCGATAATCGGGCTGTACTGCATGCGAGGGAGGGAGGGACCTGTACAAGATTTACAAATAAAGAAAAAGATTGTTAGAGAAACCGAAAACAAGATAGTTTTTTCTTTTCCGTGCAGTAGGGGTTGCTGACACTTTTTCCCGCACTTGTAAAATACGGTATCCATTTTATTGGGCAGTTGTTTACCCATTTCAGCACCCCACATAACAAACAAGGCATTCCTCACCGAATCTACAACACACCCTATCCCTCCTAATGAAGATGCATTCAGAAATGTAGGTTGCGATAATGTCGGAGCCGAGGTTTGGCGGTGGGCTGTGGAGGAGAATGGTGTTGCGGTGGGTGTGCGTGTTGATGCCGACTTCAATGAATGGAGCGGCGAGAGGCGAGTGGGGAGACGAATGTGGATGCGTGGTGGCATGGTCGGGTTTAACGGGATTTACTGGCAGGCCATGCAAAAGATACTGATGGCAAGTCGGAAATGAGACGAGGGCGTTGTTATGGAAATGGGCGTGGCACAGTCCAAAGCAGAAACAGATGTGAAAAGAAATAAAAAGGATTATATTGAAATAACAATTTCCATTCAAGAATGGGACCTGATGCATAAGCTAAATAAATCACACATGCGCTCAAACTAAATACACAAGAAGTAAAAAAAACAAATTGTAAACAACGTGAATAAACTACATATAGTTCAAGGATACCTGTCTACTCCTTTCAAGACTTAGGATCCAAACGCAACGCCAAGGGGCACATTATCCTCCTCGGGATCCGCTTTTGGTTTGCGGGACGATGGTTTTCTTTCCACCCCAGTATTCGCCATGTTTTGCTGTAAAGCTTGCAGGACGACAGAGGCAAGTGGTGTAGAGTCTTCGGCATCGTCCGACTCGGAACCCTTGGCCTTGAGATTCGCATGGCTGGCGGAGCGGGAACCAAGGTCGGCGTGATTCGATTTGGGCTTCCGCGTGCTAACACTACGACGAGCCGGCCCTCCGGTACTTTGCGAGCGGTGTAGATCTTTTGCCGAGCTATCATGTGCAGATTTGCGGGAAACGGCGCGGCTGAGAGGGATGTCAGAGTCGCTGTCGGATGTGCGGGACGATGGGGCTGGGCGATTCGATGAACGAGTGGACTGAGGGTCTCGGGTTCGAGAGCGGGATGCATGCCGCTTTTTAGCTCGCTCGCGATCTTCGTCTCGTGTATCATCACCGCCCCTTGGTTGCCTAGATCTCGATCGTGCGCGTGACTTACTAGAGTGGTGTCTATCTGATCTTGAAGCGGACCGACTGAGCGAATCACCAGCGTTGTCTCGTGAGGCAATGTAAGTCGGTGGAGGTGGAATAAGATCACCTATGGATCCTAACGATCCTAAATCGCTGTTCAAGGGAGGAAGTAGCATAGAGACCGGATGAACCGGCGAAGGAGGCGGGGAAGTGTCTTCGTCGCGCCGTTGTGATCGCTTGCTGCTCTTTCGTGACAGATTCGAACGAATTGTACCAGATCGACCCAGGGCTTTTGTTGACAGCAACTTCTCCTCTACATTGCTTGTACCGGTACTGCGGTTAGAACGCGCGCTCTTCATCGTTGGGTACATTGGCTGCGCATCCTCGGTACTCGGGGTTGCCAAATCTTCCTCGATCTTGATGACAGAGCCAAGGGGCATATTGGCAAAGCCAGAACCAAGACCCAAATCACCATGACCAGCCGCTTTGATAGTCGAGAGGACATCCTCGTTATCCAACGTCTCAGTCGACGGTCGGAACACTGCGGCAGTATCGTGATCCACATCTGATCTAGCTTTTGAGCGGGATGAGGCTGCTGTAGGTTTTCGCACAACGTCAGCAAGCATTCCACCCTTCTTGGTCGATCCCGCCCGCTCTAGTCCTCGTTCATTTTCTTCTGACAATCCACGAGTGTATCTCCTGGCTTCTTGCTCGCTTTTTCTCGTGCTCGGCTTTCGAGTATTTCTCATTCTCACTCAACGTTCCCAAAATGGTTCCAGCTCGAAACGGTACACTTGACTCCTCCTTTTCCACCCGGCTC